TTATATTTAAACTTAAAAAATTCATTAAATCTAACATACCAAAATTTGGTAAGCTTAGTATATACAAACGACACCAAAATTTATTTTTTTACAAAATATAGGCTAATTAAAATCATTTAGAATTGATTCCGGTGAATTTTCATACTTTGAAACTGTTGCATAACAACTTTATTATTTTTTATATACACCATCATTTTATCACTTTGGTCTTTATATACATAACATGTAAAAAAAAATTATATTTATTTGATATAAGTGTACACTAATTGATGTGCCAAAAAAATAAGGTGGACATTAATTAAAAAATACTTGAAATACATATAGGGAATGTTAAGAAAACAAATTTGAGGATGAACATGTGCCCCTGGGCATATGCTGGCTCCGACTATTCTCTCTACTAAACCCATCAACTGTGCAAGGAACAATAAAAAAAATCAAGGAACTGAGGAAGGAGCTTTACTCTGTTTTTTCTGATTGGGCAACTGGGAGTGAGTGAAACAGAGAGGAAAAAAAAGAGGTAACTAATAAGATATGTGTTACTGATGTCTATCAAGTGGGCCAAAAACTTTGTTTTTTAATGGTAGACCAAAAGTTTTTTTTTTTAATAAGTTTGGGTGAATTGTGATAGGTAAAATTTTTATTTTTTAATAAATTTTGATAGATAGTGGTGGGCTCAAATTTTTTTATTTTAAATGAGCTTAATTTTTTAATTTTTTTGAGTAAATAATGTGGGCCTAATATTTTTATCTTAGATTTTGGATTGACACAAATAATATATTATATAATATATATATATATAATAAGATAGCTAAGTGTTTGAACTTATGGGAGGTATATTTTTTTCCCCAAATTTCACACACCCATCACATACTTTCCCTCCCAAATTTCACAAACTCAACATAAATACTCCACAACACATAGTTATACATACTCCAATACACACTCACATATTATATATACACTCCAGCTGTACACACACTCTCTAATACACACATAGTGTCATATTTTAATATTAAGTAACTTTAATCATAGGGTATCGCTAGTATATATTTATAACTAATAAAAAAAATTTTATTTAGGGGGGACGTGCCCACCCTGGCCCTAGCCTCTCTCTCCGCCCTTCACAGGATGGGTTATAGCTTCACGTAATTAACCTGTAAAGGTGTTTGTAAAACCTCTCCAATCACATGCATGCCTCTTGGTTCTTTGTTGTGGGCTCACCAATGCCATTAAAAATCTTATACCATAGGAGCAAAGAGAGTGATTAGGAACATAGAAGGGATAGCAGCACTTAAAATCTCAAGTTCAATTCTCACGCGGTTGGTAAGAATAATTCTAATCCAACTTTTATTTTAATTATTCAAAATATATTTAAATATTATATTTTTTATTTTAGAGAGACACTTTTATAAGTTTATTCTAACCACACTATTTATTTTAACTAACTAGTTTACCTAACTTTCAATAATTTAAGAGATTGTAACATATATATATAGAGAGAGAATTTGGAGAGGTGGAATGACTCTCTAATTTTGGTGAAATGGAAAATAGAGAGTTGGATAAAGAGTGGGTTGGAAAATTTTTTTAGTGTTTGACTAGTTAAAATTGTTTAAAAATAGAAAATAGAGAACGAGTTAGAGTTGCTTTAAGTAATTGCACACATTCCGAATTTACGTCATAGTTACGTGTCTGAACTTGTATTCGGACAATTCTCCAATGGAAAAAAACAAAAAGAAAAAGAAAAGAACCCAATTTGCCATACAGAGAGGTGATTAGAAAGCTAAGTGGATAATTAGAGATCCATGTGATCTAATAATAATCAACTGTAATAATCACACATTTGAAAGTTTTTTTCCACTGGTGAATGAAGCTTTTTGTCCCGAAGAGAATTTAAGAAGACAACAAAAGGATTTCAAAAGGGCCCCACGTATATCATTACCTATCATGTTCTATCATTTTGGTGTTGTGAAATAAAGTTGCTCTAAAACGTGTGAAGATATAAGAGGGAAAATTCCCACCTCCATTTGTTTTGAAAGTATGTGAAGATATGATCAAACGACCATCAAATGATTTGGACCTTCTAAAGTATATAAAACAGAACAATGAAAACTGTTTTTTCCCTTTTTTTGGGGGGGAGAGTTGATGGCCATTTCCCCAAATTAAGTTCTCTCTCTCTCTCTCAATTTTTTGGGGGTGGGGGGATTCAAATAGTTCTCATATCACTTTTTTGTAATTTGAATCATTGATGTTTTTTCCTCTATCCAGTTTTTCTACACTAGTTTTTAGGGCCGGGTTTGGAACAATATTACACATAGTATTCCCAGTCCTCTTCAATGTATTTTTTTGTTTTACATTTCGTAACTTTTTCACTAAAACAACAGAGCAAATTAACAAATGCTCATACATTCAAGTGTTATGTTCAGAGTTCAAGTTTGAGAATCAAGCTCTCGAACCTATCACTTGCCGGTCTCAGGATCATATTATAAACAGCAACCCTATGGACCAAAATATGACATTTTTTATTTTATTTTGCAGGTGTAATATGCTCTTTTAGCTCCCATCCATTGCTGCCATTTGAAGTAAAGCCAAGGTGAGAAAACCCATTAAGAGTCCAACCTTTTAAGCAAATCTCAAACTATCATCATGCTGTTTTAGAAGATTGGAGCCTATCTTTATCTACCTTTTCTGAGTTTGTTTGCTTGTCTAAACTCTAGTCTGCATCTCAATCATAAGTTACAATATTTCCACTTTTACCCACTTTTCTCACCCAAGTTTGCAAAGCTTATAATTACTCGGTGCTATGGTTGTTGGTCACTCATAGAGACAATGGAGGGCAACCCCATATGCCCATGAGAGGCCTATTAATCATCACCCCCTTCTTTGTGGTCCTCTCTCATATCTCTCCTCATTGTACTCTTGGTAGTTGGTCTTGTACATTTGCCCATTTTCTTAACCATCTAAACCATGCACATTACAAATTCAAAAATGCACTTTAAATGCCATGCCATAGGTAGGGTAAGGGTACTTAGTGCGAAAACCACGTTCTGACACAAATGATCAGATACTGACATGATATCTTATGATATGTGTAAATGACTAGTGATCACCAATTTTTTTGTTTTCACTATTTTTTAAGATTGGGTTAGATACTGAGATGACATTTAATGATGAGCATAGATGACTAGTGATCCCCAACTTTTTTACTATTTTTCAAAACCGAGTTTCTTGACGTGAAATATTTCTAGACATTCTTTGGCATAGTTATAATTTGACATGAGTTTATAACCATCCATTAGATAAGAAAACAAGATTTTTAGTGATTTTTGTAAGGAAGAAAAAACATGTAAGTGTTTTAAGGGGGGAATAGCTTCATATGATTAAATCATCAATTGCCTTGTTAGATTTTTCTTTAAAGAAAAAGGTGAAAGAATAGTTCTTTTTTTGTTCACCCACAGTTTCATTGCCTTGTTAGAAATTTATTATGCCTTAGTCATTTTATATCGCCCAGTTTTGATATACTGTTTTTAGCAATGAAATAAAATGATGAGAGTTAACACAAGAAAAACACAATTTAAGTGGTTCGGTCAAGGTAACTTACTAAACTATGAAAAACTAAAATGACCTGAGTGTTTTATTATTTCAAGAAGTGCAGGTGATATATAAGATGTCTCTCATGTGTAAGTAGAGTTTATAATTTATAGGCGCCTCATAACAGATTGATTCGCCTTTCTCATATCAGGGGAGGTAGTTTGAAGGAGATGACGCTCTTCTCGTACCAGGTGAGACAATTCCATGGAAGTGCTAATATGCGCGTCCCAAGGAGATCTTTTCACCAGTAAGTTATAGACTAAGTTTCTTACCATGAGGTAGCTGACCAAACTCTTTCTCTCAAGATGGTGTGGTTGTGACCTAGCTTCCTCCTTTCTCCGATGACCCTAGCCAACATTCTTAAATTGAGCCTCTGAGCTGAACTTCTGAGTTGAGCCTCATTTGTGATTCTGGCCATGGTTCATAATTTTGGGTTGATCTGAACCGGGTCTACACTTTCAACCATATATTCTTTTGACTCGAAGATACTATGTAAATTTGAGATCTATATAATTGCTAGCAGTGAGCCCATATTTGAAGGATCAGAGAAGGCAACATGGGGTGTGTGTGTGGGTTGTGGGGGGGGGGGGGGGGAATGAAAAAGTTGAGACAAGTAAAATATTTGGGCGCGAGGTAGTGCAGGGTGATTGTGATACAGGAAGAGAGCTGGAGGGCATAGGCATGCTAGTGCAGATACAGATGCTTTTGCTACCATTTAGTATTTTCTGAACTCCATTACACATTTGAGGAAATGGTAGTTCTTTCAATGAGGATTTATGCAACGAATTAAATTTTGTTTCTTTTCATCGAAATGAATTAACAAAATTCTTATGTTTTAGGATGTTTTGAGTATTTTGATACTTTTCAGCTAATGTTTCAAAATGTATCACAATTAATTGTTTTCCGCCGAAACTATGAACCGAAAAAATGAAATTTGTATCTTTAGCATCATAATCAGACAGGCGAAATGGAACATCTTTGTTCTTGATTCAGTTATAAGGGACTGAACTTGGACACAACACGAGCTGCTAATCTACAATATGGGACAGTTACTAGCAATATTAGTAGACTTGCGTTCAGATGTGGACTCTAAATCTCGAAAAAGGAGAGAATTTCATCCCATTACAAACTCTTTTTTTTTTTTTTTTTGGATTTATCATCGTCAACACCCCATTACAAACTCTTATTCACAAAAACAGACCCATATTAACATGAGCTTCAAAAGAAACCTGAGTTGCATTTACTACTCATTTTAATTACTCCTTGGTTTTGTTACTTACCAAATTATAGAAGAGATGAGAAGCACAAGGCTTTTCAAACACAAATATGCAAAATCCAATATGCCTTGATTACATTAAGATTTAAAATTTGTCTACTTTAAAGAAATGTTTCAAACAAATACTCTATTCTCCAAAGATTTGACGACTAAGAAGAGACCTATTAAGAGAAAGATTTATTCAACAGAAAATCATAACAGTTACATCTGATCACAAACTACACAAAAGTTGCCCCTTTTTCATGGAGATTCCAACAAAGCAATCCAATAGTAAAAGTGAAGAAGCTCATGTGATATAATATCCCAAACTACAAGCACATTACTCAATATCCTGAACTCGGTAAATTTAAACAAGTTTGATTTGACCAAGATGATGACAGGAATCTTGTAGTCCCAACAGAACTAACAATCCAACAGATAACAAAACTGGAAAGACAATAGGACCAAATAATATGACAAAGATCATCGGTAGCGACGGAGGGAGAGAGTCTGGTTCCTCTTCCACGTAGCCCTTCTTGAAGGTCGTGCCTTGTGGTGCAAGTGTCCCCTTCCACGAAGACCCCTGTATTTCTTCCCAGCAGAGGTAAGACCACGAAGCTCTCTGTGCTTGTGAACAGCGTTGCAGATCCAGTTGATCCTCGGGTCATTGCGGATTGCAGCATGGGCAGCATCAACCAAGATTACCTCATAGTACTTGTAAGTTGAATCCTGTATTAAGAAATGCAGTATTACAATTAAGGATCTTCCCAACAAAGTTATCAACCCAAATGCATGAATTGATGTATACCTATGATATAAAGGATGGACACTTAACCACTAAAAATAGGCAACTGGAAACTATGTATGGAAGCATAACCAACACAGATGACCCATAAAACTTTCCAAATTTTCCCCAAAGAAAAAATTAAATCCATCATCACGAGATAAGACTTCTTTTTTTTTTCTTTTTTAAGTTCCTATCATCATGTTACAAGTGTTGAGATAGTGTATCTGTAATGGTATGAATGCACAGAATACACACTCCCCAAATAGAACTATTGAATAAGTATGTTGTGGTGCAAGTCTAACAAATTTCTATCAAACCTCATTGATCCAATAAGAGTTGAGAACCCTAAGACCACCAAGTTTCCTGCCAGCCCGTTCCTCTGCAACTGAACGTTTGCTTCGTTGAAATTTCAGCTGAGTGACACCTTGGTTTGTGGGCTTGCCATAAACAATACCCTTAGGAACTGGTCTCTTCCGTCCACCACGCCTTACACGTACACGATAGACAACATAACCCTGAAAAATATTATTATCTCAAGTCACTACACACACAGACAAGGGATAATATGGACATAGCTACAGAAAAAAAAAGACCATCCATAGTTTCTATGGATCAATTAACATAGAGAAAGAGAGAGCCGACAAAGAGTAGTAAAAGAGTAATGCAAGATTGACAAAAACATGGACCAAATGATATGGCGTTACCGTAGTGGTGGTATTGGTTCCATTTGTACACATTCGAAGTTTAATATTTTCTATTATGGTAATACCAAATCTTTTGGTATTAGTCTCATTTTGTGGTCAGTTTAGGATTACTCGTAGTGTAAAAATATTCGTACTCAATTGTAGCTAAGTTACGGTATAGATAACTCAAGTAATTGTTCGCTAGGAACAAATCAAGCGCTTATTTATCTACAATCTTTATCTTGAAATGACATAGAAATATAGTTTTTTGTTAATTGATACCACCCAAAAATATTGTGGCAACAAAATAAATCAATCAATTTGAAAGCCATGATATTATAGACATCGAGTAGAATAAATGCCAACCAATGCAATTGTAACTACTGCTGTATTTGGTACACGACAGTGCTTTTACATGACAATGGAAAGATGGTGAAAATGAAATGGAATGCACATTCCATTCCAATGTTTAGCAAATAACTAAGATTAAGTGCTAAAATAAAATTAAAAATTCACCCAAATATTTGAATAAATATACAATTTTACTAAATTAAATTTAATCAAAATACTCTTGATGACATTAAAATAATAGTTATTTTTGATGCCCCAACTTCTAAATATCCAAACCTGACCCTGAACTCAGACGCATTGCTAGACCAAGGTTTGACCCCGGGCACAAACATGACGCAGAGCATACACTCAACCACCCCTAACTCGACCTGTACTCGAACTCGAAACCAACCCCGACCCCAAACCTGTCTTTGGACGTGAACACCAGACCTAAACTTGAACCGGACATGTACCCAAACCCGACCTTGGACTGAGATACAAACCCAAACTCGACATGGACTTGACCCTGGACCTTGGACTTTGACCCTGGGCCCTAGACCCATATCCAGATCTAACTTAAGACCTTGACGTCGACACCTCGGACTTAACCCTAGACCACACACCTAGACCTCGAATTCGAGGTGAAGGTGGTGGTGGTTTGCTATTAATGGTGGTGACGAGTTAAGACAGTTAGGAATGAAAAATATTGTCAAATATTAAGAAATAACAAATCCTACAACAGTGAAATTAGGCAGTCCCAATATTGGAATAAGTATTACTAAGTAATGGTCATTCCATTCGTGTGTTTCATTAATATCAATATATAATTAGGTATTTAATGCAAACTAACACAACACAATGAGGATTGCTCACCAAAAGCATCCTTCAAAAAAAAAAAATACAAGAGTATCAACTAAATTACCTAACTTTCAATCCCCACTAGGTTATTTCCAAACAAAACCCGAGCCAAATACCCACTGAATAGCATTCTTGTAGGCTTGCAAATGAGAAGTGTTGGAACACCTAAAACTTCAAAACATGTACTATGATATCAAACCAATATTAGGGTCCATAGAACCTACACAATAGCTAACAGCACGATGGTACTTAGCTCAAGCGGAAACACAAGAACAGTATAGTGTGTAAACATGAGCAATATTCAGTCTTATATGGAAAATCACCAATCTCCCATTGCAAAAGCAATGAACATCAAACCACATAATTAACAACATTAAGGACAGAACTGGTGATCCGATGAAATGCTTATCAATCATCACAAACTATAGATATTATACCTGCTTGGCTTTGTAACCCAAGCGGCGGGCCTTATCAGGGCGTGTGGGCCTAGTGACTCGCACAATGGAAGGAAGCTGGCGGTACTCCCAGCACCTCACCCTCAGCAAAAACCTCATCACATCCGATTGCTTCTTCCTCCATAGCTCCGAGACATAGGTGTAAGCCCCTAATGTCACCCCCAAATACAATAAGAAATTTCAGAACCAAAATCCAAATATCAACGCAGATGTATATGTATATGAATATGAATATATCCCCCCAGTGCTCATGTTAATGTTCGTGCCTGCATATGTATATGTTTTTTGCGTGTGCTGAATCAACAAAAGCTAACAAATAGAACCCAAAATAAAAACCAAGCGTGAATCACAGAGTAACTTTATGGATGACAGGTTCCCAGACTCTCAAAAGTCTTACCATCACAAATAATGCACACACACAAACACCCCCATACACTGTTAATGCGACAACAACTAACAAAATCGGAATCACACCTAAGCAAATGCTATAACAAAAAAATCTTATGCCATTATCTCCCCCAAACCATACCAAATTCAAATACCCATCAGCGAGAGTCAACAAGAAAAACAAATCCCTTCTGCCTCGCATCAACATGAAACTATGAAACGAAGGATTTACTGTACACGAAATACACAAACAATCGTACAAAATTTACATGATATCATGCATACATGTGAAAAAATAGGGTTAACAGAGAAGAGAACAGTAGATCTAAGAAAGGCATACCCATTCTCCCTGATTTGGTGGTAGTCTGTGAACCTCCGGCTGAGAAGATCAGACAATTAGGGTTTTAGCGAGTGGAAGATGAGCAATGAGTTTATATTGCACTATTAACTGGGCTTTAGTGGATTTGGGCTCAGCCTCATTGCATGGGCTGTTTGTCGGCCTTTTTCATTGGATCGGGAGGAAAGCCTTTTAAATTTTTTGTTTTTCGGTCCACAATTATAATTAAAGTTGTCAATGAATCGTCTAGTCTAGTGTAGGATTTGTGTGCGATCAAAATCATGTTGTGCTAACAGCTGTTCAATTCATAGTTGATCAATTTATAATTATGTATAGTCTGATTTGTGTTGTGTTTTCTCGAGTTCACGCTGATTCATTTATTCGATAAGTCTAATAAGTCAACCTATTTTCCTCTAAGAACCCACTAACAGAATCTAAAATCCGCTAATGTAGAGTTATATTCTTGGTTCATGTGTAAAATTACCAAGCATGTTCACAAATATCAGTACGATCCATCAACTCAACACAAATTGAGTATATGACTTTAGTGTTAATGAATTCGGGATATAAACTAGTTTTTTTTGTTTGAACAGTTGATTTATCGAAATTGTTTCCAATTATACGTCCATTTTTCAACCCATGAGAACATATCACGTGAATAATTTTTTATTCAAAATTAATACATAAGATTGATGAAAATATCGTAATCTTATTCATTTGACTAAATACAGCTTATGTGACAACTATTTTTTATTTTAATAAATAAATTATATATAAAGTGAATAAATTTTAATACAAGGGCCACATGTTAGCGCAAAACAAACGAGGTTTGATTTTAGGTACAACAAAATCAAAAAAGGATTAGGACAAGAAGGATGTTGGCGGTGGTGGGTAGCAAAGCAAAGCTCCATTCGGGTTTTCAACCTCAGCAGAAATGGAACGATGTATGCTGTGTTGCTTGGAATGAGCATAGAGAAGGAAAGAAACACCATGATTCATGATGTCACATCATGCTTATCTATGAACCTCCTATTGCCCTATCCGATTTGGATTTTGTCTAACCTTTGCGTCAAACGTTCTAAATTGAGACATTCGTAAATTCGAACACAATATTTGAATAGTAATAACAATGGACATTTACACACCTCGAATATGACTCTCAGCCTCGAACTAGACCCAAGACTAGATCCTATTGGTCGCATGGATATGGAAATGGCGATGGCGATGGCAACGGTGACGGTGATGGTGAAGGTAGGTGGTTGTTGGGAGTAAGAGTGATTGATGATAAGTAATACTATTTCATATTAAGGAAAGACTAAACTTACTACTAGTGGAATTAGACTTTTCATAATAAAGAAAATGAATTTTTGCTTACTATAAATCAAATATTAGAATGAGCATTACTTAATAATCTTTATTTTATTTGCCACCGATCAAACACAAACTTTAATGCTCAAACTTTTAAGCTTGAGATGGACTCATGTTATACATCTCTAAGTTAAAATTTGATTTAATTCTTATTATGTTTGGTACGATGAGAAAATGAAAGAATAGATAATTGGAAGAATAATTAAACCATTATATTTGGTAAGGAAGAAAAATAAGATTAAATAGAAAAGTTGATTGAAGAGTTTTCTTTTTAACTCACCAAAATCAATCATTTCAAAATTAGGAGAAAAAATTAATTATGTGTGTTAAAATATATGTTATTTGTCTATATATCCTTTAATATATATACATTTATTATATTTATAAATTATATATTATATTTAGATATAATTGTAAAATATATATTTATACTTTTTTCTAAAATAAATAAATAAAAATTCTTTTTTACTTTTTTATCTCTCTTACCAAACAAACACAAAGGAAGGAAATAAAGATTTATCCTTTAAAAATTAGAAAAATATATCTTTCTCACTTTCCACCATTCCATTTTTTCATCCACCCTCACAAATGGATCATTAGAGTCAATTTTTGGGTTGAAATCTAGATTTTAATCCTTGTTAAATTGATTTCAACATGAGTTTACTTAAGTTGGAAATCGAATTTACTAATTTTTGGTTGGGTCCCAATTTTGAGACTCTGATATAAATATTAGTAATATTTCTAAAATTAACATCGAATTTTGTATCTAAGTTTAACTCACATATTGAATTTTTTTATTTTATTTTAATATTGGAGAATTTAGATTGGACTTGAGATAAGTTTGGATTAACCCGTCCAAGATGCACTCTTAATTTTTTTTGGGCCTTAGATACAAATATAAAAGAATAGAAGGGTTTTTGTGCAAATAACCACTTTCAGAATTAGTTTGAAACTACGCTAAGTTCCAACTTCCATCCTATCCATAAATTATCCTCGAAACAATTGCCGAAATCAGTGTAAAATCCGGGAAGAGAGACGAAAGAGAGAGAGAGAGCGGGATAAGGGCATGAAGAGGTCGTTTGGCGGTGGCAGAGGAATGGGTGGCGGCAGTGGTGGAGGAGGTGGCAGCATGTTAAAGATAGTCCAAAGGGCCGTGAGGACTGGCGTTGGTAGTGGTGGTGCAGCCCCAGAGTCCTTTTCTCATTCAACCACCACCGCCACCGCCACCACGACCAACACTTCTAAACCAAGACCCACTTACAAGCCAAATACTTCAAACGTTCCTTCACTGTCCTCTTCAACTAGTTCAACACCTTTTTCTTCATTCAACCTTCCAATATCCGCCACCTCCACCGGACCCACTTGGCCTTCTTGTTCATCCCCTACCTATAGTAATGATGAGTTTGATTGGGAGTGTGTTGATGGAATTGAAGATGAAAGGGCAATTGGGTTTTATGATGATTTTGTTTTTGGGACTGTTCCATCTGAGGATGAAGTTCAACGTGCAATCTCTGCTCTTCAACAGTAACTTTTCCAATCGCTTTGTTTCAATTAACTTGTATTTGCGTTCTTGCGTTATTGGGTTATTTGCATTATCTTTAGTGATTTTTTGAATATTATGAGTGGGTGATATGGAATTTTATTTGATTTATCTCTATTTCATAGACTTATTTGTTGTTGGATAGAGGAGATTGCTTATTCGATCATTGATCATGGTATTGCTGAATTGATAGTTAGTTTTTTTTTTTTTTTTTTTTATTTCCACTTTTCTGGTTTTAATGTTAGGATGAAGGATATAACAAAATCATGAAGCTAGAATACGAAAAAATTAGGCAAGAAAGCACTAAAATTAGACTAGAATCATCAATGGCATGGTTGCTACCCTGCCACGTATTTGTTTGTTAGCACTATAACGAAGTGAAGGTTGGTTAAAGCTAGAAAGCTGTAGTCGGTCAAAATTATTATTTAGTGTTGAATAATCGCTATAATTATGATGAGTGGAACCTGTTTGAGGTTAAGCATCACTTAATGTTGTTGTTATTGTAATCATGTAGATAATGACAATGGGGTATCAATGCCTCAACTTTGCCCAACTAATATTTGTCAACAAATGAGTAAATGGTGGCCATTGTTTTCTCAAGTTTGATGCATTTGTCATTTATTTACGAATGATGAATTGATGATAGAGTGTGATGCTGATGTTGATAACGAATTTGGGGGTCAAAATTAAAATACTCTACTTAAAGTTTGATGTCATCTTCTCTGATTTTCTATTTATACTCAGCTTAGTTGTCACTTTTTCTAATATATTTTGTAAGTTCGTAAGTGCTATAAGGCTCAGTAAATTTGAAAATTGAGAAAGAATCTCTCAGGTTTAGTGACTGCAAGATAAAATGAAGTCCAATAAACCTGCAATTCAGAACTTCATTTAGCTATTCAATTTATTCCTAATCACATGTTTGTTGAATTCTAATTCTTCAGAAACAGGCAATTTTGGCTAAACCAAATTTATGCGGTTCACTATCACAAACTGAACCCTGACATTTCGTTCTTGATATTTTTTCAACCCCCACCCTCATTCAAAAAAAAAAAAATTCCAACAAAGAAAAATAAAGAACAAGAAAAAGAGGGGGTGGGAATTAGTACTGGTAGCTAATTGCAAGCTATCTAAGACATAATCTGGAGCTGATTGCAAGCTATAAAAGATGAAATGCCTGGAGATTTAAAATTTGGTTCAAGTAATCAAGTACTGTATCACTATAGCTCTACAGGTCTTGCTAATTTTCAAGACAGATGCAGGCAGCATATTTAGAATTCAGGTGCTTGATGTAGTAGGGGGGTTTCCTCTCGACTAAGTGCAGGCTTTGCCTCCTTTATATCTAATCCTATAAATAGCTGTAGCTAAAGGGATCTGTTGTTATTAGAGAGTGTGGGATGGACGGATGGGTAGTTTCTTCCACAAACTACCACATGCCTTACTCAAATATCTAGGTTGTATGGTTTTACTGATGCATGATCTGACTGACTTACAATTTTCAATGGGTTAGATGACCAGGAGCCGGTTACAAACTTACAATTTGAATACAAGATTTCTCATTTGCTGATTTTCATTCAAGCTGTTGCTCAATGCTAATTTTGTTTGATCATCATCTTTTCACATTTCACAATATCTTGCAATTTTTCACTCCCAACTGAACTAATGTTGCCTCTTTTTTGTGAATGGTTTTGTGGTTTCAGAGTCCTTGATCCAGCCTCATTTTCACAGTTCATGAAGGATAGACTTGCTTATAACTCAAATAAGGATGTTGGAGATCAAGCTAGTTGTCCAACCGGTACCATACAAAGAGTCACTTCTGTTGGATCTGACCTGGATTGGATTGAGCCCTCACTGCATCTATGTAATTCACAAATATTGCAGTCCCACGGATCTGAAAGAGTTTATGACGCTTTCCATTTATTGCAGACTGAGCCTTCTATCCAGGTGCTTTTTAGTATTTACTCTGATAATTCCCACCAGGGGTTTAAACTTTAGAATTAGTTGACGACAAAAAATGAAGTTACTTTTTTCCTGTCCAATTTTTTTTTACTAATCTATCAATATTTCTGAGAGACCTGGAGTTCTGATACAGAAAAGGTTGAAGTTAGCTTGAATTTGATAATGACATCAAAAGTAAAATAGTATCCCTTTGATCTCCAAAATAGACAGAAAGAAAGTATTTATGAGATTAAGATGATAGATATGCATTTTGAAAATGATCAAATGTGCACATATTAATTTCTCTTTTTGGAAAAGTGAAGGTAAAATTGGTATTGCTATAATTTGGTTTTTAATTTTATTGGTTTTATTTGCATGTTATCATGAATTAAGAATTGCGTTTTCCCCTTGATTTATGTAGAGAATGGTAATATCATTATCATCAGATAAAGCTGTTTGGGATGCTGTTTTGAACAATGAGGTGGTTCGGGAGCTTAGAGAGACACTCAATGAAGGTATATGAGTTAAGATTATGCTAATGATGTGTTTAGTACTTGTCAACATATCTGTTGACATTTTATTGTCTTAAGGTATTATTACTATGGTGGTTGCCGAGTAATAATAGTGGAATTCACCTATTTCTTATGCCAAATCTGTATTTGCCGAACACATGAAGCAACAATGGAAAAGAATTCCATGATTGAAATGTAAATTTATTCAGTTCAAAGTCTTAGCTGCTTGAGTTTGAAAGAAGCATCTGTAGGTTTTGAATAACACCATGGTAGCTGTTTGATTAAGTTTAGAACAGTTTTGTCACTAAATTGACTGAAAAGTGATATGACAAGAGTTGGTGTAGGAGATATACCGAGTCATTGTTACTGTGTTTGACCACCCTGTAAATATGGTTAATGAGCAGCTGTGATATCAAGAAAATATGTATATAAGCAACGTTATCTACTTTTCTGCCAACATTGATATTTTGTGAGAGAAATGGGAACTTCATACTGTTAGCTTACTGGAAGAAGGAAACTTTGCACTAACTAAATTGCTATTTCATATTTTAACCACTACACTTGATATTTACTTATGTTATAGGCACTTGTGAGACTGTCAATGAGAGACAGATTGTGAGAATGTAATTTGGTCCAGTTGATGTATTTGTTGATTTTGGTCATTGGGATCTTTTCCTAAACGCATGCAAGTACACTTTTAACAAAGAAAGGGACTTCAGGATCAGAAGTCAACACCCATTACAGCACCCAAACATGTAGAATTAAACAACCTAGCTTTTAGAGGTATGGAGGACCTTAAGGACTTGAAATAACCATACTAAACCAAAAGGACCTGATTTTTGATGGTATAGAATAGCCTTTGGAGCCCCTTGGTTGTGTGTGTCCATGTTTATTTGCCACACAAACCATCAACGCAAGCAAAAACTTTGGTGGGTTGTCTCGCTTTGATTAGTAACTGGTTCATCTTCGAAAAGAAAATATCAAATACATACACCTGGGTCTATTTTAATTTGGTCGCTTAATATATTTCTGATTCATGCAGCTGACAACAATGTTCTCGAGGGTTCAGATGAGGGTCCTGATGGCTCCAATGCAGCAACGGACATACTAAGTTGGATCTTTGTCAACACTAAGGCAAAAATCGTGGAAGTAATTGAGAGAATTACGAAGCTGGTAAATGAGTTGTTTCAGCCTCCTGACAGTGAGAAGACAGTAGCAGCAGCCACAGATCCATTCAAGGAAACACTAAGAACTTCTTTCCTACTCTCAGTTGTGGTCCTCTTGATTGTGGTTGTTACTCGAGCCCATAGGGCTTGATCATTATTCGACGACATGACAGAGGGTGTCTCCCCTCACAGACTTGCAAGGGCGGTAGCTTTCCCACCATCTTGTAGGTTGAGTTGTTTTTCGCTACAGAAATGTATATGTTGACATGGCTGGTTTTGTGTACAGGGAACATAGTTGTACTTCATAAAGTCTTGTTTGGTTGCTAGCTATGGAAGTCTTGTATGGAAGGTTATGGGGGCATTGGAAAGTGTTAAAACGTGTATAAAATTGTTGGAACTCGATACTTTTTAGATGCTTATTAGTATCAAGTTTCTAGAATACAGTAGTAAGAACTGACCTCTTGATTATGACTCATACAAGTTAAAGGTTAAATTCATATCTGATTATATTTCGTGTCACGTTATTGTATTCATTTGATTGTGTTTGGTACTTATTGTGTCTACTTTTTGTAGCTCGTGCCATATTAAAATTGGTCAAAACATGATCCATTTAGTCAACTTGATTAAGATCCAGATTCAGTAAGTTAATTCCTGATAGATTCTTACTTGAAAATTATTCCATTGGAACCTTAACAGTCAGAGACCAAAAACAGAGAACATAAGAAACAAAGTAGATTGCAAGCTTAAATCAACTTGTATTTACATGAGATTTGTAGAACAGGAATGTGAATACCAACCTATGTTCAGAGTAAGTGGGGCTAGCAAGTTGGCATTGACATGTATCTACATATTTACACAAAAATGTGCACCAATCAGATTTACATTACTACTAGATATAGACCATGTTAGCTTCTCTCCTAGATGATAAGGTCACCCCTACACAATTACATTACCAAAAGTTCTACTATGTCAGCAGCTGCTCTCCCAGATGATCAGGTCAAGCTGCTTTCAACCCAGTTGTATCCTCAGACCATGGGGTCCAAGATGGAATCGATGTCAGGTGTTAAAACAGCTCGCTTCCCGAGTTCTCCAAGCAAACAACAATGTTTATCAACGGTGTTTATCGCCACAACATCTTGAGCAAACATACAGTCAGAGCCAGGTGATACCTGCAAGTGATTTTATGCTATTATATAAGTAAACAGTGTATTCTTAAATAACAGGTCAGTGTCTTGTGAATTGTAAAACTATGTTTTCAAGTTATTGCAAAAGGGTGTAGTCTAGTCGACAAATTACTTCTCCAAAAAATTTGATAATTCTAATACGAACTGCAACAATTTTGATCCTTGCAGCTTGTATACGATAATGAGGTTATCGGGGTGATCTTCATGTCTTACAGATCAGAACTGAATGTAACAGAATAAATTTGGCACTTTATATGACCCCAGTACTGCAGTAAACCAAAAGCGATGGGTCAACAGTACCAAAAATGTGATACTCCTAGATTGCAGAATATATGCTCCACAGTTCAAATGAAGGAGAACAAATTTCAAGTAAATGTTACTTTAGATAATAAACCTCAGGGTCAAAAGCAATTGCTATAGAAACCTTTTGTCTATAGCACAAGGCTACCTCAACGTATACTAAAATGTTGATGGTCTTCACCATGATCAACTTTAAATTTTATCTACTCTACTAACACATGATTATCATGCATTTAAAAAGCAGGATAAAAAATAAAAAATAGAAATGCTGAGGCCTAAAGAAAGGTGAAGATATGACTCACATCATAGAGGGTTTCTCCAAGCTTAAATTTGATTGCTCCGCTTTTGTAAACCAACATTTTGCCCATGTAGCCCCCGGGCAACTCCTCCAAACTGCAGCCCTTGCTTGAAGCTGATTCATTCCCTGTAGATATGGAGTTCCCAACTATCTCCTTCCCTTTTGTATAAGCTGAAGCACCTGAATCCCTAGAAGATATGATGCTGCCAGCAATCTCTTTCCCTTTTGCTCTAGCTGAACCAACTGTTCCCCCCAATGACACTGAGCTCTCAGCTATCTCCTTCCCCTTTGCACTGGGTGAAACACGCTCACTTCCTGATAGTTTCAAGCCTTCAGCTCTCTCTTTCCCATGTCCACTAGCTGCTCGCTTGACTGAGGGAAGATTGGGAGGAAGCTGAAGAAAAAGCATTTGTGTATCCTCGTTGTCCTCCTGCCATCAATATTAGTACATTTTCAAAGCAAATATATTTCACCCAACTATTCCATAATATCTTGTAATTCTATAAATCAGATTACCAACCAGCAGCCCAAGCTCTGATGCGGAATGTACAGTGCTCTCATCATACTCATAATTTGCTGCAGCCTTCCCAAATTCTGCTTCATCAAGAAGTTCTAGAGGAAAAAACAGCGCAAGTGGTATTCAAAATCACATATCAAGAATGGCATAATCATGGCGGCACCTTTTAATCTTTTAAAGGCGTAGAACTCACCATCACTAAATAGTACTTGGAAACAGAGACACTTTACTAAAATTAGTGAAATTCTTTCCAAAAAAAAATAGTGAAACTATTTCCAGGCCTTCAAAAATTTATCAGATTCCCCCCCCCCCAAAAAAAAAAAAATCTTTTCTCATAGCTGGCTCTAACACAAGGCCACCAAAGCCGTCACTTTAGGCCCCACCCCACGATGAGGGTCTACTATTATGTGTGTCAATAGTACAAGTTAGATAAGTCACTGAAAGACAACCACATTTAGGGGCTGTTTGTTTCGAGTATAAGATTTAGGTGGTATAAGATTTTATATCCATTCCACTCCGATCCAATAGTATATTATACCCGGTCTTAAATTATAATCCCATCCTTCCCCTTGTTTGTTTGTCACAAACATTATCTGTGTAATACCTACTTAAAAAAGTCAACAAGATGCATTGAGAACATACCTGGGTCTCCAGAGTATGGCCTCCTCAAAGGAAGAGTTGTGGGGTAGTAACTATGATGGTAATCCTGAATTTGCATAAAAAAATAGATCGTCAATGTGTGTGTGTGTGTGTGAGTGTGAGAGAGAGAGAAGCATGGCAAAGATTTCTTACCCATGGTTCTCTGTGTTTTTTCTTTTTCTTCTTGTCAGATGATGCCCTGGCAGTCTTTACAAAACTTTCACTGGTTCCATCTGTTCGAGCAGTTGAAGGCCAAGAAATGAGGTTTTGTTCCGGAGCAGAATCTTTCAAGCCCGAGTCACTACTTTTATCAGCATTCCCTTCTCTAGGTTTGCCATATGTTCTTATGGAAGTTGATGATGCAACACTAGGACCAAATACCACATGCACCGAAGCTACAAGTTTGAACACCAAGCATGAGCCGCTAATGTAATAACAAGGGTGATCCTCGGAAAAGACAGATATGGAAAGAGAAACAATATGCTTGAAAAACATAGAAAGTTGATGTAAGAACACTAGCTGGAGATAATATATCATTATAGTTGAGACATCAATATCTAAGTTCAGTGCAACAGAAAATTACACATCTTCTCAACTTTAGGTCTTGGTCTCCCCAGATCCTGTGTATGTCAAACAAGAAAAAACTCAATGTTAAATTCAGAAACATCCATTGAATTGTCTAGATGGTTTTCAAATGGCATATTTAATTGTGGTAATAATAAACAGCAACAAAAAATTGTGGCAATAATATTACGTCATTCTTCTCTTTTATTTTTCGTCATTGGCTAAGCAATTGTACCCTGTTTCATCCCACTTGATACCACAGACCACAACTCCAAAAGAGCGGGAGACGACTATGGTTATTTAATGCTCTATTATGCATACTATAAGCCGTACTAGAGACGCCGACCACTGCACGCCATAACAAGTTAATAAGAGACAGGCTTCCCATTTCAGCATGTAAGTGAACAAATTTCTAGAATCACCCACTCTAACAATGAATTTTCAAAGGTTTACTCCGGCCATGATACAGAAACTAAGCAAAAGCTTTCTTCAGGAGTTGAGAAAAATTTATAGCAATTCCAAATGTGATTGATGCCGTCCATACAACACTAAAAAAGTTAAGCAACTGAGATAACAAAAATTAGTCCATTTGGGTTGCTAGACAAATGAGTAAGTACAATCAGTTGTAAAGTTGCATTAGGCCAGAGTTGATATAAGGTTTATCACTAACCCTCTTTAAGGATCCACATAATGCAAATATTGGTTGTTGCCTTGCTGGAAAATTGAACAAACATTTACTCCTAAATTTGAGACAATCTTACAAGGCAAAATTGACTACCAAAATAAAAATAAAAATAAAAATTAAATGTTTTTTTCTTTTTCAATTGCTGTGAAAAACAAAAATATAAAATGACATCCAAACAGTAACCCACTATTTCTCTCACCAAGTCAAAGAAGAGGTTATTAATATGATTAAATGCAACCCAAAGCCAAACGCAAACACACGCTAACCCCAAGATAGCTTAAGTGGTAATAGGAAAATCTAGACGTCTTAAGCATCGATAACTTCTTAGGGCCAGTCGAGAAACAAATTCATTCTCCCTAAATACCGTAAAATTCCAGCATGCCTGGTTGACCTCTGCCTTTTGAACTAAAAAAAAAAACACACACACACACACTAGAATAATAAAATGGTTACAAACCAAACCGAAGTGCCAAACAACCGGCTCCTAGCTCAAATGGTTTGACGAAACCGAGAATGTTTAAAAGGTCACATGTTCAAATAATCTTCTACAGCAATATGCTCAGAGAGAGAGAGAGAGAGAGAGAGATTATTATTAACCTTGACTCGTCGGAGGAGAGCCTGAGTAGCATCATCAGTGGGACCACCATCATCATCAGCTTCAACATCACTGAAAATATCAGTAAAATAAAACAATTATCGAATTTATTTTTAAGAAAAAAAATAAATGAAAACAAACAGAGAATTACGTTTTGGGAAGAGAGGGTTTCGCTGTCCGGCGAGGAGGTCCTTTGGGGGCAAACCTAACCTACCAGAAAAATGGACCACAAAGTTAGGGTTTTGTTTCAAATTAACGTAAATCTAAAGGACATGAAATAAAACGAAGCAAGACCCAAAAAGAAAGAATAAGGATAAAAAATGAAAGGTAAATAAATAACTATTAACCTTTCTGGGAGCAGAAGAGGGCGGATCTGAATCCATGGGGGTTGTTTATGTAAATTAGCAAAAAATTAGAGCCTCTGAATGCAATCGGATCTGGAAAATCTAGGGCTTTGAGTTGAAGAAGATGATAACCAAAAAACTAACAGAGAGAGATTCGAAATCGAGACCTCAAGGATAATTTTCAGAGGTTCTGCCACAGATCCAAGAGGGTGGTTTTATTGGCTCTCCCATTATTATTTACTTAACTAATTCAGACGATTGGGACATGGTGACTTCTCAGCTGTCGTGTAAATATTAAGTGAAACAGTGCCGCTATGTGTGTGTCTAGAATGCGTAAAATTCTTCTGTTATACTTTTATCAAATAATAATATTACGTGACAATAATAACGTGGTATCACTGTTATACTCAATATTTTTTTCTTGTCACCCTAAATAAATATTCATGAGTTTTCTACTGTACTCAAAAAAGAAAAAATTGGTACATCCTTATGTAAAAAATTGCAAATGAAATTATTTCTAAAAAGATGTAAATTAGAAAAGATTGGTCAATGAAATATGAACCGGAGACTGAATTTTGATACATCCTAGAACAATATATTTTTGTTACCATGAGATATATTGGCAACCACAGATCATTTGATCGGAATAAAATTTAAAATAGGTATACTTGACAATATGAATCATTTGAAAAATAAATGAATTCGTTTTATAACGAATCTTTTACAAGATCGATTCGGATTGACTCTGGTTTGTTTAGAAAATGTAGTTCGAGGAACTATATGTGGAGCAATTAAGCATAAATTTATACCAATTTATCAGAATTTGGTAACTTCAACTCTATTAACAACCAAAAGTAATAAGTTTTTTGATCGTAAAATACCCTATAAAAAATTATAAAAACACCCTTTAAGTAATTAAATTTTAGAGTTGCGGCACCAAAAACTTTTGGGGGTACTTTAATCAATTGCAAATATTCATTACAACAGTAATATTGTATCATATAAAGGACATGATTTTACAATTTAATAAGAAATAATCAAATAACTAGTGAAACTCGTTATTTTACATAAAATAATTATTATATTACATGGGTGTATAATAATTGCAAACACGTTATTTTACAAGAAATATTTATTTTGTTACATGACGAATAATTATTGAATTTGATAAAATTTATTTATTAACTTGTCATTTTTTATTAAATAGTAACACTATAAAAAAGTGATCATGTAACATCACCTAAATATTTTCTCATATACCCAATTTATAAATAATTTTTTTTTGCAATACATTGCTAATTTTATCCAGTTAAAAGATCTCAAGACCCACAATGACAAGCAATTTGTTTTGATGCTTGATACTCGAACCAAAATTTTCAAAATCTTTTTTATTTTTAATAAAATAACTCATTACTTCAATTTTGATTGACATTTATGAAAAATTGGGTCACTTAATTTTTTTTTTATTTCTCAGTCGATCTAACTTTGAGAAATATATATTTTTTTATAACAAAATAATGTCCAAAATAACGGTCGAGATTGATTTAATCTTCGTCTATTTTGATCTAATGGTATAAAATTCATCTCAAACATTTTTTTCCGCCCAAAAACATTAACTTCTCTTGACACTTAAATCAACACACTTCTCAATGTCAAACATTCTCGTCAATTCACACCTACTTCTCTGTTCATTTTAATTTTTAATTACATCATTAAAAAATTTAATTATTATTTAAAATATAAAGATTACAAAATCAATTCAAGTTTTGATATTATATAAAATCTTTGAACAAGGAGGTATTACTAGTTGTTACATATCGGTGATGGCAGCATTGTAGTAAAACATAGTCATAACTACGAAGTCTTTTGACTATTTCGTATTTCTAGAAAAGTTGGCACGTCTCATAAGCATAATATAAAATTAACAAAATTTTACTTACTTTTAACAGACTCAAAACATAAATAATTTTTTTTTTATCACTGTTGCAAAGTTTAGCAGGGAAGGGCTAGTAAAGTTCGAACTCGTGACCTATCAGCGAGCTGTAATGCCACTAGGCCACCGCTAACTTCCCGAAACATAAGTTAACCCATTGCACTTATCAAACAAAAAATTAGGCACAAACTCAACACAGTAAAGATCCAATTTCATAACAGATTGTGAATGAGTTGAGCAAACTTTTGATACACCACGACTTGAACCCAACACCACCCGACTCGATGAAATCTTATAAAATGCATACCACCTTTAGGAGTACTATTCTGCTCACTGCACTCCATCATGGGTTTCATCATCCTTTAAGGCCAGAACATAGTAGTCTTCCATTGTAATTGCCAGGTAAATCATCCCCAAATTTTCCAGGTGACTATTGATCACCTTGCAATACATTTGGATAAACCACAAAGAGTACAAGGCAATTTAAGCCTTGTCAAGGATAGTTTCACTGAACTGGCACTGGCTTCCTACCTTGGCTTCTAAAACTGAACAGGTAGTTAGTCCCCTCACAGATAGGTTGCTAAACAAGCAGGATAAAGAGAACACGAAGCTGCACTTCAAAGATCAAACCAACCTTTTGGGAACAGTTGAAATAGCCGGCAAGGAGCAAAATGCCTTGTCGCCGATATAGCTGTGCACTCGTGATCAGATGTCCATTGGAAAGAGCAAGGGGTGTCCAAAAGGGCCAAATACAGTATAAGGATCAAAGAGATGCATGCATAAATACTATTAGCTAGCAAAAAAAATCAAAAGCACAGAGTGACCTACAATTGCAATATAACTTTGGTAAAAGAACACAAACCTATTAAAACAGTACTAACCTAAACAACATCAATACTATGCAGTAACATAGGTGTAAGCCAAACAATCCCCTCACACCAAAATGGGGAAGAAAATCAGTCACACTAGAATGTGGAATGCAGTGATACTAAATGTGGTAGAATGCAGAAATGATGTAAGCTGGTGCTAATACTACCAATACCATCCAAAATACAGTAAATTCCCTGTGGCAGGTAATGCAAGCAAATACCAACCTACAGGATATCAAAACCAGCAATCAGATGCATTCATTAGAAAATTAATGTCCATATATTTGTACAAATTCCACTAAACTACACATTCAACCTACAGGATATCTTTGGCAACTTGGTTGACAAAATGCAAAATGATTGAAACTAAAGATATTAATAGTGTTCATACTAGGACACCCCAATTGACTAAAAACATGCAGTTATAACTTACAATAGCAAATATGTCTCCCCTGCGACCACAGTAAACCAAAAATAGATAAGTAAGAGCTCAAGAAAAAACCACTTTAATAGTTGAATCCTTTGATGTTCCCTTTGTTAAGGACCCATGCAGATGGCACAACACTGCCACCATGTAGACTTTTACTCTACAAAAACTAAAGCTTAAAACAGTAGATAAAGGGCGACTGCAGGGGGCTCCAACCACTACCAAATTTATGCAGTTTTACCCCCACATGCAGAGCTCACAATGAAGCAACTTACCACAATGCGAAGGCCCACCATCAAAATAAGGTCAGGTAATGTGTTGAAACTAATTTATATGACACCTGATGATCTACCAGACAATGCAACTTCTGGAGTGAAGCAGTGCAAAACCAGATAAATATAAATGACCAAACAGTCCTATGCTGAATCATAAGCTTCCACAACAAAGAAGCACAACAATGCAAATGCATACACTAATGTGAACCATTCATCAAAGGGCAAAGGATTGTATGTTCAGTAGTTCACATGTTGTGGACTTGTGATGGGTTCAGTACCAAATCATACAGCTGAAACAATCACTGCTTCCAAACAATTCACGTCTCCGCAAACCCTGATCCTCAATCCCATACAAAGACCCAACCAACACCAATGCAAGCTTAAAAAATGGCCAATATAGTATGCTACAAAGCATCCAGGTATTATCGCGCGCTCGCGCGTGGGGGGGGGGGGCAGTAACAACCTTTCATCTTATTGTTCAAAACATGTTTCAGAGCATGAGGAACAACTAACAGTTATCAATCCAGTTCTTTGAGAAAATTGTAGAGAAGGCGGGGAAAAATCTTAATGAAGGTAAGTTAGTTGCAAAAAAGCCAAAAACCATTAAATCCAATCAGATAGTATGATAAAATTTATTGGGATAATCTGCAACGAATAGGACCAAAAGCAAGAAATTTTCTCTTCGAAAGGAAGAAAGATATCACGACAGCCATCAAAGCAGAAGGCCATCAGAATCATATCATCATATCAGTGTCAGTATACCAAGTTAAGGTCATGTGGAATAAAATCTAAAACCTCAAAAGCAACTTTAAGGGGTCAAAAGGGTTTGTAACTGAAATTTGAGGAAAAAAAAGCCGCAGGATATCTAAGATCACAATACGAATACAAGTTGTCCCAGAAGATCTTTAGAATATACTACCAGGCATACAAAAAATATGTCCACATCCAGCACGGGACCATTGAAACGTTGATCGAAGGTATGCAAATGTGGTATTGTGAAAGCTAGAGTGCACAACACCATGCTGTAGAACATTTATGTGTATAGTAAATGTCCATGGACAACTAATGTTATGAACACGAAAACCTATACTGTCATTCCCACCCATTCTTCACTCCCTTTTCTTTTTTCCCCTCTTTTCTTTTTTATTTATTCCTCTTTTTTGGTGGGCTGCGGAGAGGGTAGAAGTCTTTCTTACAGACGTGCATCGTAGAACACTATCTCACACTTAAATGTTATAATACCAACTGCAATTTACTATTAACTGTAATGAGAATTTTTCCTCTTGTTTGTGGGAATCCTAGAAACATGTTCTTATTTTTCGAACTAGCCTCAACTCAACCCAACAAGATATACTGGGATTTGGAGGCCATTCTTTCTAACTTTCCCTAGCGACTCTTCTAATGACTTCAAATAGCACTGCACGCCTTCTCCCTGTAATTGATCACTTAAGACCTAAGTCATCATCAAAAATCTTAATTCATCCTGGTAGTTATAGAATAAATTCAGAGTAGTCTTGTTAGACATTAATGAAGACAAAACAAGGTTCAAGGTCAGCCCAATCCAACACTGGAAAGACCAACTATTCCAACCTGAGTTTTATTACCTGCCACATGAACTGGAAAAGGCATCAGAAAAATCACAAAAAACATGTGTAAAATACACATGAATATAGATGCTAACATACTTTCTAAAAAGAAGCGGTCACCTGCTTTCTGGACGAATGTTATACAGCAAGCATCATGCAACTTCAGTACTATGGAGGCTAGAAAAACTTGGAATTGTCAGGGTTAAAGTGAGTACAACAAACTAAAAAGAAGGGAGAAAATTAGGAGACACAGTAAAGAAAACACTCAAGCAGCCCAGTAAATCAGGTCAGAAATAGAGAATGTCAGTAACTAGCCATCAAGATGCTCAAACAAACTAATAAATGACATTAGAAAATCCAGAAAATGTATACGCAGCAATAACCATCCAAGGAACAAGGAAGATGGCCATGTAAAAGTTTTGCACCAAATTTTGGGTTGAATGCATTCTCCAACTTAAGTCTGAATAAACTGAACTTTTAGCCCAACTCTCTGCAAATGTCATAACAGTAGTTAAAGAGGTGAGTCCCAAACTTCCAACAAGTAAGTCATGGCAAGAGGTAAGAAATCAGGTTGACAAGTGCTCCAAGAAATCATGCCTGTAAAATATTACAATAATAAGAAAGAAAAGGCGTTAAGATATGCAATTGTACAAAACAATAATCATAAACAACTATGCAGTGATAAACTGGACACAGTTCGTCAATGAAAAATTTTAACACAGAAATTAGAGGACAGAGGAGGTCCATCCCAAATATTGGGACACAGTGCAACTGTTAATACAGATTCTTGTATCCACGCAGAAATACTCCCATCACTGCACCATAAGGCTTACAAAACAACTCATGAGGAAAACATCATCGTAAAGTGAGCATGAGATAAATTAAGGATGAAAAGGAAAAAAGTTCATCAAGGCTAATCTATCCATAGTGCCAAATTGCATTTTGCACCAAATATGATCCACTTGAAAAACATAAAAGGTAGTGCACGAGGTTCCCACCACTAAGGAAGTATAGGGAGAATCAGTCGGTGAGATGTACGCGACCATAGCCCCAATGCAGAGAGACTATTTCTGCAATTCGGGCCCTTGGGCAATGGAGCAACCTTACCGCTCCTAACCTCGTCAACTTAAAAAAACATGCTGATTTTAAAAAAATATTGAATGAGACATTTCAAAAAATAAAAGGACTGTGAGCTTGGCAACCTTTGCAATGTCACGGAAAATTACATCAAATAGTGAGGTCCGAACTCTGAAAGATAAGATTATTCCAAGCAACCACACACAAAAATATACTAATCCAGCAATTCCTGGTTAGGACGGACAAGCAGTTGTTCTCTACAGATATCCAATATATATATATCTCATGTACTTTATAATGTGTTTAACTGTGCATGCAGTCATATTGTGACACCTACAACCAAGCAGGAAACAAGTTGCTTAAAATTGTTTTAGTCAGCATATGTTGTTTAACATGTATTGGGCGCATTTCTCCAAAATTCAACTAGACAACACCCCGATGAAAATAAGAGAAAAAAGGGAATGCAGAGTGCTAACCTTTCATACCAAAAGCAGTACTGAAAAGGATCACATCACTTCATCTCTGCCATGAACTTTTCGTACTCCATGTCGGTACCATAGCTTGTCTTCTCTGCAGATGATGCAGGTGGAGGAACTGATGGATTTGAGGCCCACGGAACATTGCTTATACTCTGTGAATGGTCCAAAGTCGACTGCGGTACAGTGGGCGGAGGAGGAGGGGCTACACCATAATAAGAAGGGTAGCTGTACGAAGATGCTGCATAAGCAGGTTGAGCAGCCAGTGGCATGGCAGTCATAGAGTTCTCATAGAGGTATGTAGGAACGGATTGAACAGATGTACTACTCTGTGATTGCACTCCGGGCGGGTAACTTTGTTGTGATTCAAGTGTCTCACCAGAAGACACAGTCTGCGATGGGACACCAGAGGAAGCTGTCTGCATCACCAAAGGATATTGAACTCCATAAGGAGGCATGGATTGACCCGGAACTGAGGCATACATGGTAGAACCCAGAGGGGGAGGAGGGTAACGGGCATAAGGGGGAGGTACAGGTGGCCCCCATGGAACCGGAGCAGCAGCATAGCTCCCAGGAGGTGTACTTCCAATGGGGCCACCTGATGCATACTGCTGGGACGGATATGCACCAACAGCCTGATTACGAGCTTGATAAGTAGGCATTGCTGGAGCAGGAGGGCCAGGAGGCACAGCAGGCTGAGGGGGCTTACCCGCCACTCTCACAGCAATAGTTCTCCCATCTAGGCGATGGCCATTCATGCTAGCAATAGCATTATTGGCCATTTGGATATCAGCATACTTCACAAAACCATAACCTTTGCTCAATCCATTTATTCGATCCTTAATCACTTTAGCCATCACAATTTCACCAAAAGGTGCAAACAATTGAATCAAACCATCATCTTCAAGAGTGGGCGGCAGGTACCCAATATACAAATTCGTATCATCATATTCCTTGGGCTTGGCTGCTGTTGAACCTAAGCCAGGTGTCGAGGTAACCCCAGCAGCATTCCCGCTGGCCCAAGGAGGATTGCTTCCGGAACTGCAAGCACCAAGAGCCAGTGTTCCAGAGTTTTGCTTGGTCAACGACTCAGGTACCGTGCCTCCTAACTCTGCCAAAAAATTTTGATACTCATCATCCATTTTCTTGCCTGTGGTTCCCTTCACTGGACAGTCAATGGTGGGATGTCCACCATCACCACAAATCCTACAAAGAACATCACTCTTAAAAGTCGAAGTACGAGAAGGACAAGCATACTGCCGATGCCCTTGTTCACCACATAACCTACAGAACTCCTCATCTCTTATAGTTCCATTGAGAGCAGCAAGTTCCATAAGCTGTTGCCTCTTATGCTCATTAAGCACTTCATCAACTGGCTGTAACAGCTTCTCCACCATCCCTGCCGCAGCATCAAGTGCTTCTTGAGTCTCAGCTTCCACCAGCACATGCAAATCCTCATTCTCACTCGGATCAAACTTCAAATCCTTTTTTTGCTGCAACCTACCTTCTTTCACAGACCCTTTACCCCGAATCACAATTTTTGCCCCGGTCTCTCTTTCCATCCTCTTCTGGGTATTCCCTCTTGGCCCAATAATAAGTCCAATAAAATTGTAACCAGGGTACTCTTTCATCGGAATATAAAGCTTCTTGTGAAGCTTTGGAGGCCGATAATCAGCCGGTGGCTTAAAAGCCGGATTTTTCTTCAAAATTTGCGATATAATTTCTTGCCTTTCCTTATTCAATCTTTCACGGGCACGATATTCTCTAGTATTTACCCTAACTCCGAGATTGTCATATATAGGTTCGGGTGAAGGTGATCGAGCACCTTCCGGGCGGTCATCTAAAGGCAACCCAGATTGCAATTTTCTACTAATTTCCAATAACCTACTATTCAATGCTTGAACCTCAGGATCAAATTCTATACCTACAGTAAATTCTCTCATGAAATCGGGCAACTGAATAACAGGAGTCGGCTCAGCGTCCGCCCACCGTGACTTCCTCTTCCGTCCTGTCCCACTGCCTTCACTACCGGTCCCGTCGGTGGTCGCTTCGCTAGGATGTGGATCCCAACGACTTCTGCGCCGTCTCCTGCTGGTTGTTTCCTCTTCTCCGCCCGAGTAGTCCCTGTCGGTGCCACTGTGAGTGTTCGTCACGCCGTTTTCAGCCACCAACGGCTTGAGAATCTCCAGTTTCGAGGACTTATTATCGGTCTGAACACCTTCCGATGACTTCTCTCCGGTTGGTGTATTGTCCACCGAAACTTGTGCTTGTGACATCGAAGCTTCGTTCTGAGAGTTTGATTCTTGGGTTTCTGAGGGTTCTTTATATACGAAGAATCTAGGGTTTGTTCGGACTGGTTTTGAACATAGGAATCTAGGGTTTGGGATGGATTTTGATCATAAGAATCGTGAAAGGAAGCGTCCAGGGTTTGTGGAGGGTACTGCTTATAGGAATCTGGGGTTTGTGAGGAGTATTGAGCTGAATTTTCCTGTTGGGATGGAGAATCCGTATAGTTTGATTGAAGAGCGTCCATGATTCTAAGAGAGACAGAGTGAGAGAATTGGGATTTGGGATTTGGAGGGCTGAATCAGCAAATCAGAACACCACAAACGCAAACGCAAATGAGAATGAGAATTGATTTGGGGCAAGTATTTATCGTCGTTATCTTCTGGCAGGTAAAAGCTTCACTGTACGTGGATCAAGAGTTTGTCTCGGATATCTTATGGGTCGAGCCGGAAAGGGGCTTTAGCTGAGGTTGTTTGAGTTTTGGACTGGGTGAAACTGAAACCCATCAAAATTTGAACTAAAATTAAAAATATCCAAGATTAAGCTCTTCATGAGTATCGCATATATAATCCTAACAATAATCTAGTATAAGAACATATTTGACAATACCAAAAATTAAACATTAATCACATAATATTTATATTTAAATAAAGAGAAAATAAGAGAAAAGTACGGAGAGATGTGTAAAAATTAATGGGATTATTTAATATTAGAGACGTACAAAAAAGATGATATTTCATAATGAGAATTTTTTTTAAAAAAATAAATTTTATACCATTAAATCAAAATAAATAAAAATTAAATCATTATTAACCGTTGTTATATTTTTATTAGTTGAGAATTTAATTTTCTAACTATAATATTAAATAGATATATATATATATACAAAATAATTTTGCACAAAGTTTGCCAACTTTAAGGTCCCCAGAGCAAGATTATATATTTTATCAATAATTTTGACAATGTTGGTCACGTTAGCTAAACCCTTTTCCCTAGTTAGCAATTGTTTGGCATTTAAGTTTCGTATGTTATTATGAACATTCTCCCTAGGTAATGGAAAATAGTTCAAAATTTCCAACCACTTTCCATTTGGACTCGAAAACCCACTTGGATTGATTTAACGGTCAAACAAGGGATAAGACATCAATCCGCACTTGTCGAGTTCGAGTCTCCCATAGAAAGTCATATATAGCACTTCTGACCAACAGAGGTACACAATTGGCATCAGAAGATATTTACCTCAGAAAATGCCAACGGGAGATTTGCACTACTATACATTATAGAATCACAAGAAGGCTAATTACAGAATAGGTTCATGAAAGCCAGGGTTTTCAACAGGTTATAAAAGATGTTGTACATAGATATTGGGGGTGGGGTGGGGGTGTTGCTGCAGCAGGGTGAAGAGTCAATAACCACCCCCACAACCAAGTGCTTTAGCTCTACATCATATATGCAGCTTCTATCTGCCTACACCCATAAAAACGAAATCCAAAATCATCACTAACTATTTGAAAACTGAGTAACAAGGATGCAGATAGTCCAAGAGGTGCAAGAACGAAATTTAACTTTATCATCAGAAAGGAAATGAAAAACGAACAATTGGAAAAAAAAAATTGGAAAATAACACCATTGGCATAGTAAAAGCAAGTGATTCCAAGCACACGTTGACATGGAGCACTCATATCTCTCAAGTACCAAGTGGTGTGAAAATGCAATCAAGGAACCTCAGCTTCTTCATTATTCAACATACTTAAACACACAGGTGCACTGTCCACCTCAATGGCATATTGGCATTCATGTACCCAGGTTCATTGTGAATATTGTTTGACTAACATAAAGTAAATATATTAAGTTTTGAAGGCTTTTAAGTGGATAATGTATTCAGCTTTATGACATTCTTAGGTACCAATTACATGATGGTAATTCTATAACCATTTGTTGTGTTGAGTCTGTTGACAACCAATTGACCTATAGAAATATGAGTTTTCAACGGTAGTGAAGCTGTCATGAACATTCAGATGAAACTAATTTGTGGATCCAGGGAATTGGAATTACCTTTAAATCAAGTGCTGGAGCTACCAAGATCAAAGTCCATAGTGTAATCATATTCAATAGTAGGAATCACAGAAGCCACAAATTTCAAGAACAAGAACAGGTACCTGTACAAAGTTGTTTTAGAGATTGATACTAGAAAAAAGCAACCAACTGAAACCCCCCCCCAAACAAAAAAAAAAAAAACAAAAAAGGAAAGAAAGAGGTTACAAATATGGCAGCAGAAAAAGCATTTGAGTGACTAACTAAATTGAACAGACATCAGATTTATAACAAGTTGCAATGGAAAAGACATGAAATCAACCACCCCATGTTTTCAGCTATAGCCCTCCACCTGACCATTACCACCTGATCTCTTTATCTTCCATTAAAGATCAGGTTAATCATTTAATTTTATAAAATGACCCATTCATATGATTTACTGGATTCATTGCTATTATGGTTGGACCAAAAGAGGAAAATAAAATTAAAATAAAGCACAAAGGGCTACTGTAAGCCCGGTGGTTACTGACTCAACTTGCACTTTCTGAGGTGTTTTAGTTAGACTGATTCGTGGTCCACTAGTTCAAATCTGTTTCACTTGATGGGTCAGAATCCAACTCACACCATGGTTTCAAGTTCAAGTCCACAAGCAAGTGACCCTACCTGACAACTTACTTCCTAAAAAATCAAAAGCAGGTATAAATCAGAATTCAGATCTCAATTGTGCAAGTAATTAGAAAAAAATTACTTGTCAACTTCTGGCTCAACTCCCCGTGACATCAAAACATCAATTATCTTCTTCATCACGGCCCCATGCCGGCATGGATGTATAGATGCATGTTTCCCAGGCAAGTGCGGATGGTTCTCGATAGTTACCTGAGTTTGATAACATTTAGCTATTGTCTAAAAACTTTAAAACAAAAATAGAAGAAGAATAATCAAGGACGTGAAAGTAATAATGAATTAAAAGCCATTACAATCCTTAACTTGGCACAAGACAACCCCGAGAACTTGTCAACATTAACAAAGAAGGAAGCAAACTACAAGACACAACATGATCATATTAGTCATGCAGTATCAGAAGACGAACAACATATCACCTCCCCATAACATGGAAACCCGCAACAAAATCATCAAAAAAATCCGAACATGTCCAATTCAGCATAATTATATTTCTGTCTCACGGTCTCACCTATGTCAACACAGCAGATCTGAAACCCAGAAAAGGAGGTTTCAAAAGTTTAGACCAGCGTAAGAACTTAACCCTGCTTGTGTCAACATGACATTGTAAGTGACAGCAAGGTTTTGGGCCAGCTCATTGGGCAAGCAAAGTAGTTTGGCATACAAAAAACACAATTACAACTTAGTGTAGCATTCCAATTATAAGTAGCCAAGAAAAGGACAAGAAAAACTGATCGCACCATATAAAAAATTGTCTCTGTTTCATAGTTTAGTTATTGGCTAGGGTTTTAGATGCCACCAATTAAGGTTTGCTTTGTCGGACAGCACCTTTGCTAACTGTTACTTCAGACCACAGGTGCAATAACAGTTCTGCAAAAAAGATTCGACCATGAGGGGAATATGAGCTACTCCTCCTGACATCTCCTTCTGTTCATTCACTCCAAATTATAACATCTTGAGCTTACTTTTACCCATAAGTTCCTTGTGGAACTAACTGAGATACTCAATGAAATACATAAAAATTAATATCTTACAGTTTTGCGTGCATGGTCTTGACTAACATCTTCGAGTACAAGCTCTGGTTGCAGAAGCATCCTTGACTGCCAAATAAAACAATAAGAGAACTCGACAAATTATTCAAAAAATAAACATCATTAGACCAAAAGAAGCTTCCATTCAACTATATTCAAGAGTCGATTCAGCTTCACCTACTTAAATAAGCTGTCAGAGTATCGCTCTCATAGGGGCGCAAGTCATTGGTTCACATCCAATAGTAGCTCAAACTGACCAAAATTGGCTAACATAAATAGAATCGTATCATTTGATTCAAGACCTGTCCATTGTTATCTTGGGAAGACAACCAATATCCCAAATCCAAGGGCTACATAGGTTTTGTACCAAGCTTTGTACCCATTCAGAGCTCGTAATAAAGTGATTTTATGTGAAGACCAAACTTACAGCTGGATCAGCAAATAGGGTTATGATCCATTTCCTAGCACAGTTGTTAAATTCAATCCAATAACCTTGATGTTGTGGATTTGAACTTGAGTACACTCAGTTTATGCAAATAACGCCGAAGGGTAGGTAGGTAGGTATCAAATCTACTGTCCCAAACCCACTATAGTGGGGACTAAACTAAGTTTTTTATTTTTACAAAACTTCCTAGTTCGCATGGAATTCATTCTAATAATTAACATTAGCACCAAGAAAAATACCTTATTTGCCACAAAAATGTACAAATTACAACTTCGAAAACTTCGTAAAATGCTGTGCAAGAATCATCAGGAGAACTCAATATGCAGATTCGGAATTTATTATCTGCAAAATGCTTGCAAACAAACAATCTTTAACACTGGACTCGTACAATGCTAAAAAATATTGGATTCTCTTGAAAAATCAAATTAAAATGAGTCAGATATGGTGGCACGAGTTTGTGTGCATTTGGAGCATCGGTTTCTTGCTTGTACAGGACAAACTAATCAACTTCAATCCATAACGCATCAACACTTGTTTGCTAATTACAAGATGTTAGACAAGAAGACAGTGCAATTAGTATGACCAACCTCATCATATCCAGTAAGCCACACACGAGGAGTTTGGTAATATTGGTCATACCTGAAATAAAAAAATAGAGAGGGGGAGAGAGGATTGTGTCATAATGGGCTGAAATGCACCAAAGAATTTAATCATGCTTGAGGTGTAAACAAAATGCCAGTTATAATGAGAACTTTACAATTCAATTTAACTTACGTGATGCTGACATCGTATGTTCGTGTTCGTAAAATATTGTCATCATCAGGTTCATGAGCCACATGATACGTAAACTGAAGTGTTGCCTGGAATACATAGATGCATGAACGATTGATGTCACATAGCAGTATAGCACACCATTCAGTGCTTTTGATATGTTTATAAGAAGGGTAGAATAATATCTTCAGTGCTTGGGTGCATGCTATGTTTATAAAATGGGTAGAGTATACCTAATGTTTGGAATTGAAATGATCACGGTACAAAAGAAAGAAAGAATTCTATGCAATCTGAAAGCATAGATAGAATGCATTTGCAGCATCATTATGAAGGCATTTTTCACAAACACATCGATCTGAGAAGTTACTAGCACACAGAAACAAAATATTGAAACTAACTCAAGTCAAGCATGGTTCAGCTAACAATACCTAGATCATAATACAATAAAGCAGTTTAACTAACTTACAGGGTCGGTTTCAATAAGGTTGTCTGGTTCTTCATACTCTGCCATATCTGGTATGTCTTCCTCCTCCTCACCCCCAAAGTATGAAGAGATTGGCTGAATAGTACTTTTTGTGCTGATTTCTAGTGTCTCCATGGAAGGTAAATTTTCCACCTCGTCGCTTTTGCTTTCTGAAAAATAGATACATTACATCCTCCTACCAAAGGATGCAAAAAAGGTTCAATGTATCTAGCCCCAATTAATAACATACCTTTCGGTTTCCCATGAGTAGCCAGCCAGCCATCATCATCATCATTATCAAGTAGGACTTCACCTCCAGCAGCTTCATATTCTTCTTCTACTGATGCAGCTCTTCGCAGGCAGGGAACTGAAAACGTCAAAGAAATGTCAAGCGCTTATTGGATTTTGAGATCAATGAACACATGCGCCAGGAGTTGAGATGGAAGAATCACCAACATAAGGTTCTCATTTTTGGTATCTCGTTGAATCTCTCGGGCCGGAAACAGGATTTGATTATGACTTTCTATATGTCGAAGGGCAAAACTTGTAGGAGAGATCTGTGTCCCCCTCCAGAAGAAAGAATCAATTTAATAATTTTATGGTTGTCCATTGGGCATGCCCAGGTCAACTATCACTAGGAATGTTACATTGATTGATACTGAACAAAATTTGAGAAAATAGGTAAAGACAGTCAATTACCGTTCCTGGTGATCAAGAATTGCTTCTCAGCAGGCAAATATGACTTCCGTTTGCTTGGCTCACCTGATTCCCTGGCCATAACACAGGAAAGGAACAAGAAATATTGTAATAACAACAGCAATAACATCAAGCTGGCTGAAGTAACAACAAAGTCATCTTTACCGTCATTGCATTGTTGTGTCTAAGTCTATTCTGTCAGAGGGAGGGTAAAATTATTAAAAGAACATATTGAGGGACGAACAACTAGTACTCCAAAGCTACATCAATATTGTGAACTCTAGCAATATCACGCTTCAAAATAGATAATTGTTTAGCTATATATATAATTTTCATCAATCACAAAGCAATTGGACCACAGTGAATGCAACCAAAAACTGGTGCTTTGGTCTAGTGGTAAACAATGGATCCTATAAGGAGGAAGGTCGAATCGCATCAACTGTCACTCAACAGTATAAAAGTGAGTGCCACAACAGAGAGTTACAGCATATATATCTAGGCGCAAACAAGCTAGTAATTCACAATCCCATTTCTAACAGTACCAACTCTTCTTAGATCATAATTAAATTTACCAGCATATGAAAAACTCAATCAAAGAGCAAAGCTATTCCCCGTAACATTGGGAGCAGTAAGGCCATTGTCTCTCTTCAATTTCAAGCCACAGCTAGCACCATTCCCAACCAATTTCGAAATGGATGTTGCACACCAGTCACGAAGTTCCTAAAAAAGCTCCCTGTACGAATCCCTCTCTTTCTCTCTCTCTCTCTCTCTCTCCGAGTGTGTGGTGTGTATGCGTGTTTCTACGATCGAATCCGATCTCGAATCTTTGCAAATTGAGTCAATACCAGTAATCATATCAGCTTAAAGATCCAATAATCGAAGAATTCAGTGGGGGCAGAGAGTGGAAAATTATACCAGGACCAGGTAGGACATTTAGAGACGAGATTGTCGCCGGCGATGATGAACTCGTTAATACTAAGAACGCCTTTTTCTTTGAAAGCAGATACAGTGCGGGGACTAGAGATCCTCTCCATCGTCCCTTTGAATGTTTCGTACAGCTTCTGTGACAGCATTATCCCTGTAACTGTAATGGATCTTTCACAGAGTGATACAACAAAGAGAGAGAAGGTTTTGGATAGAATCACAATTGCATGGAAACCCTAGAAAATTCGATTAGGAAATGAAACATAAACCCTTTGAAATTGCATGCAATATGACTATTTTGCTACCCGTTAGTTTTTTTTCGCGAGTATCAATGGGTTTGACTTTTTTGACCAAAAAAATCGTAGAATTTAACAAAAAAAACACATTTGTAACAATTTAAAACATTAAGGCTGTAATATAAAAATTTTAATTTTTAAAGGTATAAACTAAAAAAATTAAAAAATTTGGGTGCAAAGTGCAAAAAACTCTAAAAATTATTGTAATAAACAAAGAATATTGAAATTTGCTCAAATTTTCTTCACTTAATAGTCCATCAAATTACACAAACGTCGACCTATGCAAAGTTCGACGTGGTGTTAAAATTTGTTCAAGCTTATTTGAGATTATTGATCAATTTTATTCCCTCCCATGATTATCTTTAGAATATAAATATGCTTTTCCTATGAAAACTGCTGCCAAAATCACTTTTCCAATACCAAAATACTTTTTCCCAGTTGTAAAAACATTTTGACAACTCTATAATTGTCAACATAGCTAAAGAATTAATGGCATATTTCCACATGGGTTTCATCTTTTGTAGGATCTCCTCTATATAGATTTTAGACAGACTGACAAGATTTAAAATCAAAAGCATCTAAAGTACAAAGGAGGATTCTTCTAAACTTCAAAAGAAGCTGGGAATGTAAAAGAGGAGTCAGTTTATTCCAAAGACAGAAAAAAAGAAGTTAAAGAATAAAAAGATTAAAAATAAAAGAGAGAATGAATGCATTAAAAGCATACAAGGTCACAATAATTGGTATAAAAGCATTGATACAGTGCTTCTTTCCAACTTGAAAGCCAGATGGTAGCCTTCATCTCTCTCTCTCTCTCTCTCTCTCTCTCTCTCAATGTGATCTGCAAGCATCAATTGCCTTTACCAAAGATGGTTTAATTGTATATTATAAACTGCCATATGAGTTCTCACCTTTCTGGGGTCAATATGAAACCAAGAAAGAAGGCTAAGGTGGAGATGGTGGAGTGTGTTGTAACTCACTGTTTAGTTGATGATCCTTTGTCAAAATATACTGTTATACAAAAAGAGGAGATGTTCAACTAAATCAGTTCAATTGAAATGTATGAAGCTATTTTCAGTTAAAACACATTTATTTTTGGCCCGAGTCAAGAACATTTATTTTATTTAAACCCCAGGCTAGCGATGCAGGTAGCATTGCCCAAAGGCCACAGTAGTAAACACTGCTATTGATAAGCCTTTGGAGGCACTGTACCAAAAAATTACACTTCAAGAGCCCAAAGGCTAATCTTGAGTCAAGCAAGTTGATGCCAACTTAACTTTAAAAAAAGTGGCACCATCATGTTGCTCTTTCTGATGTTACCCCACCCCTAACCAACAGAAAAAGTACACACACTTCCACACAGATTAAAGAAGACAAGGAAATAAGAAAAAAGGTAATCATGGGGGAAATCGTCTTTAAAATCACATTGTCGTTTACTGATTCGCGATGAATGATGTGTATCTATTCAATGGTAGAGATTAAATATAACAAAAAGTATAAAACCTAGTTATTTTATTGTTTTATTGTATTTTATTATTTCTGTGATCAACGATAATATTTGTTTTGTTGTTTTTAAGTTCACCTCATATCCAATAATGTCTATGTTTGTTTGTTTACTCAAGTGCACTGAAACCCACGACAACCCCTCAGTCAGAAGGGCTTAACAACCTTGGAGTGACACTTGTTATAAAATTACTATGTCTGGTTCAAGGTCCATTGAAACCTTCTTAACTAATTTAACAGAGCGCATGGACATTAGCCAGAGAGGACCTTTCCCTAGTATGAGAGAACCGGGAAAGACGCAGCTCTGGTGTACCAGTTTTCTGCATACGAACTCAATAACGGGAAACAAACAAACCACTCTGATCTTGAATAGGCTTCATTTGAGAACTGAGAATGGATAAAACTGCTGTGACCAACTTGGCAGAAACATATAATTCTATACAAACATTATTGTTCATGATACTAGCTATTTAATATACTACTAGTTCTCTAGTTTCAATCCCAAGTAAATGGCTCCTCCAGCAAAAAACCAATGTCCACTCCAGCCAGCTGCGACGATGAAGCATAAGAAAATCCATGAAGGGGAACAACAGAATCAAACGACAGATCAGGAAGGTCAAACAATGTATCATCAATACTATCTGAAACTGTCTCTCTTAATGGTGGTCTCGGATCATCAGTACTATCTCTTGCTAGAAATGTTGGTGATTCTGGAGTTTCACAAGACATTTCTGTGGCGTCTGGAGAGTGAGAAACTGTCATTGTTCTTCCTTTCCCATAAAATATGCCAGCTGCTGCTTTTGCAGCTGCAATTTGGATGTCCTTTGGGGCAGCTGAAGCAGGACAGGGAAGGTCCTGAGCTAGTTCAGGGAAATTGAGGTGAGCCAAGTGACCTTTAATTGCAATTGCAGCCACATCATGTGCTCTAGCTGCCATTTCTGCTGTTGGGTAAGTTCCAAGCCAAATTCTTGATTTCTTTCTAGGCTCTCGGATTTCAGACACCCATTTCCCCCAGTTTCTCATTCTAATTCCCCGATAGATCGGGTGCTTCCCTGCATTGCTGCTGCTGATCTTATGCTTCTTGCTACTCTCATTGTCACTGATGGTTTGTTTACCTTCCTTTGATCCTCTCTTGGCTGATGATTTTGATAAAGTTTTCGAATCCCAGGAAGTAACCGGAGAATAGGAGGTGAAGGTGGTGTTTGTAGTGGTGGTGGTGGTTGAGTAAGAGGAGTAAGAAAGAGAGGAGTTTTGAGAGCCAAAATCCATAAAGAGATGTTGTTTCATTAGTGAGGAGCTGTTGGTGTATGACTGAAAGAGTGAGAGGTGATGCTTAAAAACAAGGAGGAGGGCTGCTTTTTTGGATTCCTTAATGGTCCCTTGGATATAAAAGAGATACAGTTGCACTAAAAACGCTTGTCCTTGTTTCCAAAAACACATCCAAAATAGAGACATGAAAGAGCTAAGCACGGTCTTTTGCTTCACTCTAACAATGATTAATTTGCTGTCAAACTGTTTTACATTGAATTCTTAAATAGCATGGCCCATGTAGGCAAAGCCAATATTATCGATCAATTTATATGTCACTTGACTCGACTCGGCTCGATTCAAGTCAAATCAAAGATGTCGCTGGTTTAAGCTTATTCCCATTCGTTAATGCAGTCTTAACTGCATTTAACCTTGATGAAACTCAAGCTTTTCTCTTCCAGCATAATTGTACTTCTTTGTCGGCACATTGACGAGATCACATCGTGTTCATTCGTACTCTTGGCTTCCGTGAGATACAACTCCTCTTAAATATTGGGGATTACCTCTAGTCTCTACCAAATTGAGACACGTCGAGTGTCTTTTTTGTTGAACAACTTCAATCACTTTATTAGAACGAAAATTTAAACTCTTACTTAAATTCGAGTTAAAAAAACAAGGTACAAAATTAATTTGGTGTAGATGTCTTCACTAGAAAATTTAAATTTAAAAAAAGAGAAATTAAAATTTAAATATGAACAAATTCGATTTAAAAAAAAAGTAAAATATGAGATATTTAATTGAAATTGATAATAAATCTCAACTAAATCTATTTAATTGGTCGGAGCTCGAGCACATAATTGATACTTCGACATTCAATTGTAAAAAAAAAAGGTTATCTATAATATAAAACAGGGCGACTTCAACAAGTTGATCCTACGGTCTCAAATTTATTCATCTAACAGTCAAGAAATTATAATTTTTTGATTACAGCTAATCTTGTAATACATCCTACTGTCTCAAATTCATTTATGCAACGGTCAAAAAATTATAATTTTTTTCCTTAATATTTCCCCCCTTAAAATGTCAACATTATGACTAATCTTAAACATCTTACGGTCTTAAATTCATTCATTTAATGGTCAATAAATTAATATTTTTTTTCTTAATATTTTCTCTCCCAACCGGTCAATGATTACGATTGATCTTGGAACACGTGATTTTCTATGACATATTAATTAAATTGGTCAAATTTGTCATTAATATCATCTGTATAGTGTAACATTTTGAATTTGTATAAGATTCAATGATAACATTTTGATTAAAAAAACGCATAATTAATTTTATTTTTATTTATTTAATTAATTATGTCAAACTAACATGTCTTACACATATTTTGAATCAAAAGTTCAAGTGTTAGTTTTTTTTAATCTCTTAAGAAAACTCAACGCTAATATATTCATATAAATTAATAATTTTATAAAAGCTTGTACTAATTAAAAAAATAATATTTTATAAATGATATTTGTAAATAATTTTTTGATAGAAAATATTTTGTCGATATGTTTTTTGATAAATTAATTTTTTAGTTTGTATTAGATTTAACTCGATTTTGATTATATGGATATAAATTAATATTTTTTAAGTAAATCTATAATCTATAATATAAAATAAGGCGGCTTCAACAAGCCCATCCTACGGTCTCAATTTATTCATCCAACGGTCAAGAAATTGCATATTTTTTTCCCCAATCGGTCAACGATTAAGGTTAATTTTGGACACATCTTACGATCTTAAATTCATTCATCTAACAGTCAAGAAATTACCATTTTTTTCTTAATATTTTTTCCTCAATCTATCAACGATTACGACTGATCTTGGAACATATGATTTTCGTTAACATAATAATTAAATGAGTCACATTTTTCATTAATATCAGTGTAACATTTTGAATTTTTATATGACACAATAATAATATTTTGATTAAAAAAACTCATCAATTTAACAAATAAAAAAGACAAGGACGCTATTTAACACATTTATATTGAATATAATTAATTTTAATTTTATTTATTTAATTAATTAATTATCTCAAACTAACATGTCTTACGCGTATCTTGAATCAAAAGTTCAAGACTAATTTTTTTTTATCTCTTAAGAAAATCCAACACTAATATATCCTTATAAATTAATAATTTTTTAATAACTTGTACTAATTTAAAAAATAATATTTTATAAATGATATTTGTAAAACTTTTTTAATAGAATATATTTTGGTGATATGCTTTTGATAAATTAGATTTTTAATTTATATTATATTTTACTCATTTTTGATTACATGTATATAAATTAATATTTTTTTAAGTCAATTCTATCATATTTCGTGGATTTATCTATAATATAAAAAAAGAAAGATTTTAATAAATCCATCCGACGGTTTCAAATAAACTCATCCAACAACTCTCTGAAAATCATTTAGATTAAATTTTACTTTATTCTTCTCACTCTTCACTTTCTCTCTCTCTCTCTCTTTGGCAGTGGCGGATAGAGGAGGGGGTGTAGGACCACCCTGATTTTTTTTTTTTTTAATTATATATGTTTTATATTTTTTTTGGATATTCTAAATTGGGCCTGCCGCAATGATTCATGAAAAAAATTTAATTAGGTCAAACAAGTTGGGTACTAGAATCAAAAAAAAGAAAAGAAATCCATATCAAATCTCTTAAAATTAAACATATTAAAATTGATTTCTTATAGTATTGGTCTTATTTGTTGGAGCTTCATTTGGTTCAAAAATTATGGAATATATAACAAAAAATGAGTAAAATGTAAAATTTGTAAGAAGATTAAATATTACATAATATTACTTTTATTTGTGTCAAATCTATAATATTAAATATGAAAAACTTCAATAAATTTATTTGACGGTCTTAAATATATTTATTTAACGACATCTAATATCCCTATTAAAATCATTCACATTGAATTTCTATCCTCTTAAATTCATCACTTTTTATTTACGTTACACCGTGCTTTCAGGTACAGATTACTCCTAGTTAAATTAAAAAATTAAGCACAACTTTGTTTTTTAACAATGGGACCCACACGGGATAATTTAGTCCAACTTTAATAACTCAGAGGTTGTTTGGTAACTCTCTTTGTTTTGTGTTTTTTTTTAATTTTTATTAAAAATAAAAATAAAAATATATTTAGATACTTTTTTTATTTTTGTTATATATTAGTTGTCTCGGAAACAAAGACAAAAAAGTGAGAAAAAAAAAAATTTAGGAAACGTGTTATACACCTATTTAATGGGATCCCTCGTTCAAATCCCATTAACAAGGTTTTTTTTTTTTGTGTTTATTATAAAAACCCTTTGAAGGTATTTTTTTATCTTTTTTCTTCGCTCTATCATCTTCTCTCTCTCACAGACGACGAACTCAGACGAAGATCCGTACCTCAGACGACGAAGAACTCACCAACGACGAAGATCCATACCTCAGATGACGAAGAACTCACAAACGACGAAGATCGATCCGTTGCTCTCTCTCTATCTCGTTCTCACAAACGACGAAGAATTCAGACCATCTCTCTCTGTCGAACTCAGACGAAGAACTCAAACGACAAACCACGAAGAACTCAGATTGATACCTCAGATGATGATCGCTCTCTCTCTGTGAAAACCCAGAAGATGTGTGTGTGTGTGATTTGTGGAAACCAGAAGATCTGTGAAAACCCAGAATCAAAACCTCCAAATAAAACCCAAAACATTACCAGAATCAAACCCTCCAAATTAAAGTAAAGTTAATTTGCTACCTTTTGCACCATCTGCGATTTTGATTTCTCAAACCATCTGTGATTATTTGGTTGTTAAATTTCTTGAACAACAATCAAAATAAATCTGTATTGATTTTGTTGGGGGGTAGGGGGGGGGGGGGTTGGAAGTTTCGGCTGGGGTGGAGAAGTTGTATGGTGGGTTTGTAACAGTGGATGTTTGATTTTTTATTTAGGTGTTTTATGATTTGTGGATGTTTTAGTTTAAAGAATTTTTGGATTTTAATTTTGTTGGATTAGATATTATAAAGCATGTTTAGCATAAAACGCAAAGTAATTATTAAATATATTTTTTATTTTTATTCTCTTTGGTAGATAGAAATGGCTTTCACAATTATTTTATTCCAGAATTCACTACAAAACAAAAATAAAAATTGTCTACGTGCCAACCCCTCAATTTTTCCCGTATCGTTGTACCAACTCTCCCCTTGGAATGCCCGCCCAACCTCTTTTTGCCGCCCAAAACTCTCTCTCTCTCTCTCTCTCTCTCTCTTGCTCTCTCAAGCCGCAAAATGGAGGTGAGCATGTGGGACAACTGGGTGGAACAGGTGCTATCAAAGTTGGAGTCTACGAAACTCCTCCGATCTCTCAGACCCATTCACCTACCCAGCACTGAACAGCCACAAATTCCTTCAAATTCTGACGAATTCGAGGTATATGATGGTTTGCGGCAATGGGATAGAGCCTACGTTGAAGTAGAGATTGCAGAGACCACATTTCAGAAATGGGTCCAAGATATTCCCAGTTCTGGTTCGTACCATTCATTTTTCTTCCTCCAATTCAGTCAATGTTTTCGCTTAGGATGACTTATTTCACTAAATTAATTGATTCACTTTCGTTTTTTTCCCATCGGTGGACATGTTCAACTTATCTGTACTTATTTGTTTTTATATTCCGTTTGGTATTATAGATAAATGAAAGATGAAAAGTTGGTGGGATGAAAAAAATGGGTGGATTAACTTTTTTTTTCAACTAACTAAAATCAGTGCTTCCAAAATAAAATTAAAAAAAAAGTGGATTAAAAGATAATTATATGTGTTAAGATGTATTTTATTTGTCTATATATATATATATATATATATATATATTAATTTTATATAAAAATATAATAATAAAATATGTATTTATATATATACATATATTTAAAGAAATTTAAAAAAATAAAATAAAAAATAATATTTTAAATTAAAAAAAATATTTTTTTCATCTTAACTAGGAGCGAAAATTTTTGATTTAATAAGATAACACGATTCAAATTCAATGCAAATTTTATGACATAAATTTAATTATAACTCGACACCAACTTGAAAATGACCTGACACACAAAAAAGAAATATAAAAGATTCATAATTTTATAACTCAACACGAATCTGAGATGACTTAGACAAAAATTTTTTTAAAAAAAATTAGTTATTTAGAGGATGAAAAGTGTATCATTCTTACTTTCCATATCACTGTTACTTTTGGACCATCCTATCAATCAAAGCATTATTTTTGAATTTTTCTTCAGTTTCTAGTTGTGGAACCATATAATATTTCCAAAAAACAAAATATGTAATTCTTGTCCATTTCGTTTGTTTGTGTATTAGTTCCTAATCCATTTTTTTACTGGTTACACGTAGAGTAGTCGTCCTATTTTCATGTATACGGCTGGATGTTTCTATTGGAGCTTGTAAGTACTATGTTAATGTAAATAGATTCAAGTGTTTCTGCAAGTGTAACCAAGTTAAAAATTAATGTTTAAGTTGCCGCATTTAATTTCCTCCACCACTTCTAGAGTTTCTTTGCGAATAAATTAGCCGTATTGTTACCAACACAGTGTTATCAAAGATACCATACCAAACAAAGGGTTATTGGAGCAAATCCGACAAACAAATGTTCTGGCAGTGTGGCGGGTGTATGCACACACACACAAACACTCGCACAGATGTTATATGTGCATATGTGTGCGTTCAAATGTATTCAAGTAATTGAAAATAGTGTATATTGCCAAAAACAGCTTTCTAGTTGGTCGTGTAGGTGCATTTTTTTTTTGTTATTGTCATGCACTGGTTATCAGTAAGCAGGGAGCAGGTAATTGTATACATTTAAGTCTTCTTTTTGCCAATAATAGTTCTGGTGATATTGTAATGTGGACGCAAAAGTACTCTCACAGACTTGCTACTTATCATATCATTGGTGCTGTACATTGCTAAGATTTTGTTGAACTGTCCTCTCATATGAATGAACAAGTATGACGTGTTATGCTGCACTTTTGTATTTTACAGGAGATTATGACATCAGTAGCAATGGGGAAGCTGATATCAAAGCAGGGACATGCCCTAGGAAATTTAGAAAGCTACTGTTATTCTCTGGAAATGATTACTTGAGCTTGAGTTCACATCCGACTGTCGCCAAGGCAGCTGCAAAGGTGTGGTCAATGGTTGCTGATTTTTGCATTCTATTGGCCGGAACCTGATTTATTTAATAGTTTTTGAGACTAAGTTAATCTATTATGGATTGTCATTTAAACCAGGCAGCTGAAGAACATGGAATGGGTCCTAGGGGTTCTGCCTTAATCTGTGGGTACACCAATTATCATAGACGACTAGAGTTGTGCTTGGCAAACTTAAAGGAGAAAGAGGTATTTGATTTTTTCTTATTTTTTGCAAACTATATTTTTGTTGTAGGTTGGGAATATGCAAGTGTTGTACTAATTTATAGTCTTATTGTTTGTGACAAAACTTGCTTGCTTGTGCAATAGAATATGCAAAAAAATTGGCCTTGTGCTATGCACACATTTATAGATGGTTAACAGAAAAAAAAAAAAAAAAAAGAAAGATGGTATAGGCTGTCAAATGCAGTTTTGCCTGTAATTTAATTATTTTTTTTCCCTTCATAAGGTTGAAATGACAGGTGGAGTTACTTCTTGTATATTGTTGCTTGTTGCAATGGTTGATATTTTCTTTATCTGTGGTCCGAATTCCTGCTATATACCTCAGAAAATATGGTTCGAGTATTGAGCAGTCTTGTGCAAATTTTGTGGTTACACTTTTTCTTTCCAAAATCACAATACTGTAGCTTAAATCAGTTAGTTGGTTATTCTTAATTGATAAGAAACTAATTGTATCAAAAAGGAGTTTAAGATGAATAGAAAAGGAGTTTATCTGTCAAAGGAAACCGCATGCTGGTATTGAGATGAATCGAAAGGAATTTAGATGAATGACCTCAAATATATCACTCATGTGGTTTTGGTTCGCTTTGCCGTGGACAACTGTTAAAAGGCAGCCAGTGCATAATACATCCGTTACTGTGAGATTTGGGGCTGGTAACATGTATGCAGCCTTACCTCCACGTGCGCAGAGGCTGTTTCTGCTTTTAACATGGACTATTGTTGTTAGAGTTAAATTGGAAACCTCAAACAGTTGTTTAAACTTTAATTCCTTGAAGTTTTGGTTCTCTGTGTTGTCATCTAATGATTATTATCTCACTTATACATTATTTATTCTGAAATACTCCCTAACACTAATGCATCATCATTCCAATATCATGCTCTAGGATTGCCTTCTTTGTCCTACAGGCTTTTCAGCCAATATGGCAGTGATGACTGCCATAGGAAGTGTTGGCTCTCTCTTAGCTGCGGACAGAAAACCTTTAGAAGATGAAAAAGTTGCCATATTTTCTGATGCTCTTAACCATGCATCCATAATTGATGGTATCCTTCTTGCTGAGCGACAACGAAGTTTAGTGGTTTATGTCTATAGGCACTGTGACATGTCTCATCTTAGCACGTTATTGTAGGTTACTTATTCTATCTATTACTATGATTACTGGTCTGCATACTCTCCCATGTCATCTGAAGGTTAGGCTTTTGTGTTTTGACAGATCAAGTTGCCCAATGAAGAAGAAAGTTGTTGTGACAGACAGGTTAGTGATGCTATTTAATCTGCTTATCTGATGCTAATTGTCCATAGTTTTTACTTGGATTAGTCATGTTACTAGTACTTCTTAAAGGCCACTTATCTTTGGTTGCTGAGATAGATGGATAAATAAGGAAAAAAGAAAAGTGGAAAGGACTAATCAAGGTTTTAATGCTGTGTTGCATCCCTCCCTTCAAAAAAGCAATACAAAAATAAAAATGAAAATAATAATTAAAAAAGTACCTTCCCCTGTCCTTGGTAGATGATTTGTTTGCCAAGCTGAGCATTTACGGATAGTCAACTTGGGTTGAAAAGATGGCAGAGGCTAAATAATTCTTCTTCTGCTATACTGGATGTGACAAATGTATTGAATGCTCAAATGAAGTTATGAATTGATAGAAATAATCAGGAAGCTATGGAAGAAAGGGTTTCAACAAATCCTGTTGGAGACAAATCTTAAGGAAAGGATTGAGATCTCCAATGCTTGAAGTTAAAGCTTGTTCAACTCAAGTATTCTAACTTTTTAGATTGCAGCTGGAGAGCTCCTTTGGCAATAAGTCGATCCATCTGATTAGGGTCATATTCTATCCTTTCTACAATGCCCATAGACGAAGTGCTTCGTTTCAGACCAATTCTTTGCTGCAATCGCCTCGATCCACTGCCTTGGTGAAAAACCATAATACGCCCTGAGGAATTCCTACCAGCCAGGGAACTTAAGATATTTTTCTTTTTAAGAAAATTGGTAAATCTTGTATTTTAATGTGCATGTTTACAAATATATTTCATTAGGGTGGGGTAGGGTGTGTTCTGAAATTGCAAGATATAGGTTATTTGTCTGATCTGGCATGAATGGATAATTTCTGGTTAATACTGCCGAGGATATGCAGAAAAGCGAGAGAGAGGTGACAGAAAGCAATTTTAGTTGGTTGTGATGATGAGGACACTTTATCAGATTTTTCTCCTGGTGAAACCTATCTCTTTCTAGATAAAAAAAAGTGGTTGTACTTATACCTGGCTCTTCATAGAAGTTCTAAATTTTGAAAGTGGATTTTCTGGAGACTTTTTCAGATGTGTTTTCTGTGAAAGCCTTGTTTTTGTATGTTGTTGTTCTGGTCTTCAGGTATCTTATTGTTGACAATGATGTCACATTCTTTGCCTGCCCCCCAAAGGAAAAAGAAAAGAAAGTTGTGGTGATAAGAAAATCATTACTGTGTGCATCTGATTTGTTGTATGGGCTTAAATCCGTGTTTTTACCAGCTTGTTTAGTATGGATGGAGACTTTGCGCCAATGGTGGAGCTTGCAAAACTTCGCAAGAAGCATGGATTTTTGTTGGTGATTGATGATGTAAGTTTCTAAAATTCTCAGGTATAGATGGAACTGTAAAATTTGTTGGAGCCTGTACAGTACATTTGATATTCCATGAAGCTCTGAAAGACTCTTCTTTATCGTGGCAAAAACACATTTATACCTTTTAAATTGCAGAATTTAACAAATACATGCCGGAGGACAAAAGGCTACATTTATAAATATATCTAAATCAGATATTTGATCTTATTGGAGTGGTCCCCCATTTAACTTCCATTTTGCTCGTGTTTATCATTCATGATTGAGTTGTTGTGTAGAGAATAAGAAAATCCTGAGTTTCAAATCTGCTTTGCCAGTCACATTAATCAGATTTCTATTACCTTCCTCTGTAGTGATTGCGATCTGGCCTGACTCTCTATTTTTTGTTCAGGCTCATGGAACATTTGTTTGTGGCAAAAATGGGGGTGGTGTAGCTGAGCAGTTTAACTGTGAAAGTGATGTTGACATATGCGTTGGCACTCTGAGTAAAGCTGCAGGTTGTCATGGTGGATTTGTGGCATGCAGGTAATCCTGTAAACATGCATGCTATTCCCTTATGAAACTCGTAAGGGATGAAACAGAAACAGATTTGAGCCTTAATCAGTTATCCCATCGACGTTAAGTATGTCCCATGCAATTTGCATTGCATGTGTTTTTGGTTTCCATGAGATTTTGTTAGCTTTGATGTTTTTCTTTAACCCTTTCCCCCAAAAGAAGAGAATTTCTGGATTTTAATGAACCACCAGTAATTTCAAGTGGTTACAAATAATGTATTTATACCGACTTCATTTCATCAGCTCCTTTGACCTTAGCTTCTATTTTCTGATATGAGAATTGGATTTTCAAATGCAATTGAGTAACACCTTGACTATTTAAATTTATTTATGTGCACACAATATATTCCAACTTTGAAAGATGTTCTTTGGAGATGGTTTGAGATGATGAATGAAGAACATTTCTTTTTCTTGTTAGTATTCCTGGATTTCTGTCATTAGGACATGCAGATCTAACCTCTACTGATTGCAGAATGTTTTAAAATAATAACGTTTGTTAGTCATTGATTTGATGTTTCCATTAGTTCAAAAAAATTGGTCTTTTGCATTTCTTGCATCATTTAGAGTCCCTCATGATACATAAAAAATCCTATGTATAAGGGACAAAATAAATCAATGAATGAATAAATAGCAAAAATAAAAAATTATTTACCCTTGTCATATGAGTACAATGAATGTATTATCTAGTTGATATGAAAGTAATGTGGCTATACGCATTCGTTTCATTTGACTGACAAATGGACAGCAAAAAGTGGAAGCAACTCATACAGTCAAGGGGTCGCGCTTTTATATTTTCAACTTCTACACCAGTACCAATTGCTGCTGCTGCTCATGGTAAATTTCCATACTAATATAGGACAGTTCTTTGCACGGTTTACTCATGTTAATATCTGGCCACCCTTTCACAATAAATCTTTATGGTCGACTGGTTTCAGTTCTCACCTCTGTAGTCTCGTCTACACAAGGATTATAGGATGTGCTATGCACATAGGAAAGAAGAGATGTAGATAAAGTGAAACTTTTGGGAATGTACCAGGGGGGTATTGCCTTTGGATTGGCCTTGATATGGTTAATAATGCAAATACACGTGACTATGCATCTCTAACGAGGGTTGACAATATCTCTTTTTCATACAACTTTGGATGTAAGATAATGAATCATGAAAGCCCATATCTGTTCTACCCGCTTAGCCTCTTTATGACAGTGGCTTACCTTGCAATGAAATTTATATGACTAAGTACGTGATTTTCGTTATGATTAAAAAGAAAAGGAACAAGAAAAAGAAGAGTGTTGTGGGGCTGCTACTTACAAGGCTATAGTGGCCTTTCATTTACTGTGGTGTAGTATCTGTTGATAATAACACAAGTGTAACTTAGCAGCTGCTGTTATTGTGGCAAATAAGGAGACATGGCGTAGGAAAGCTATTTGGAACAGGGTCAGAGACTTCCATGCTCTCACTGGAATCCCCATCACAAGCCCCATCATTTCCCTTATAGTGGGAAGTGAAGAGAAGGCCCTGCAAGCTAGCCGGTCTCTCTCTCTCTCTCTCTCTCTATTGTGCCCATGAATGTGTCTTATATTGTTAATTCTGCAGCTGCTTCTTATTGTCTCAATCTTCATGAAACAGGCATCTTTTGAGATGTGGGTTCCACGTAACTGCAATCAGACCCCCAACGGTGCCCCCCAACTCATGCAGGTTTGTTGCTTATCTATTGCTTTTGGATCCTGGAGAAAGTTCCACTTGTTTTCTGTAGCTTATTTATTTATTTATATTTTGCACACCTTAGAAGTTTTGCCTTGTGCCATTTGATCTAGTATATGTAGAAAGTTGATTTGTCTTGTGAATATTTTTATGCATGGGAAATTATATAGATATATGCTTATGAATGTATTGATGCTCTCTACAGCTCTCTCCAATTTCTTCATCTAACTCCCTCTTTGAAACCTTCTCCTTTCCCCCCAAGCACTCGATTTAGATGTTGGTCCAACACGGTCTCGTCTGTAAATTCATATTATAAGTGTTCTCAGGTAATAATTGTTGAGACAAATGGCATGCAATTCAAAACATGATTTAACGATCGAAAACTAATTCTGAGAGACAAATTTATTTATTTTTGGCAAGTGCATTCATTGAGCGATCATTGTTAGCTCAACTATGATCTTTCACATAGTGTTGTAGCCCTTCATCTGCTCAATCAGCAGTGTGGTTTCCATTTTCTCCTTTATGTGCACTCCTATGTGGTATTTTATACATTTGATTATCTCTCTTTTCAGGTTAAGGGTAACTTTGAGTGCAGCACACACGCTGGACGATTTGAGGAAGCTCACAAATGTTCTATCTCAATGCATCAACCTTCAATCTATTGGTGTCCAGGGCACAAATGGATATGCAAAGCTTTAGGATTTGGATTTTGTTCTCTTATTCAATCTGTAGGAAGAAGATTCGAAGCATTCAATAAATCACATTTTATTTTGAGCAACGGGTGGAGTCAGTCTGGGAAGCTTAGGCAACAGGGAAAATGTAGTTGATGCGATTTCATCCATGCGATCGCCCGGTTTACTCTTATCATCATATGCTCGGGTATATTATTTAAACAAAGACGAGTGTTAAATTTCAGATATACTACATTCCATAACCCCTTATATTGGGGGTCATGAGGTAAAATTTATATTACCATCATTGATATTTTATGCTCTCTCTCTCTCTCTCTCTCTCTCTCTACCAGATTCTAACATGTTTTTGGTTCACGTTTGAATTCAACTTGTACATGAACCCAGATTCTAACATGTTTAACAGACATTTCTCTGTCAATTATTAGAGATGGGATATTAAGGAATTACACAAACTTTTTTTTTGGTTCAACGGTTATGGGTGTTTGGGTTAGTTTGTGCATATTTAAACTCCCTGACAATCTTTTGAAATTAAGTCATTAGTAATTTATTTCTCACGAATATCTTAATCTTGAAATTAAGTCACGAATGATTTATCTCTCATGAATATCTTAATCTCTGCGTTAAACCCAACCCCATCAGCAGATCCTCCCAAAATCATGCTTTCGGAGAAGACTTGAAAATGCTTAGATCAAAGATATATAAAGCTAATCACGTCCATTAAATGCAAGGTAAACCAAAAATTGACACAACTCTGATTTTATTTCTTCTGAACATCACAAAAAGTACATGAAAATACACACTATGATTTTATTTCTTCTGAACACCACAAAAAGTTCATGAAATTACATTGACACTAGGGTGGTACATTTCACACATCATGTACGGAACCCAACCCAGTGTGCAGTTAAACATGGAATGTTTGTGCAAATTCATCTATTCCCACTCATACTACAGAGAAATGAAGAGTAACAAGTATTATGAGCTTACTGCTCAACACTCTCTGGTATTAGCACAATCGATCCTGATGTTTTCCGGCTCTCCAGATCAGCGTGCGCTTGTGCCGCCTTAGATTATGATTCACACGGACATTTAAGACGCCGGAGACAAGACCTGCAAATACTTCTTCAGCACTTTCCAGCAGCTCATCTCGTGTTTGAGTGTAGTGCAGGAGGGCAGGCGCCGTCAAGAACAGTGATTTGGCAACAAGAGCTGACAATGGTACAGGGTCAGGGGCACCAGACGATTGCCCAAAGTTTACCATGTAACCGCGAACTTTTAAGCACGCCAAAGAACCCTGAAACGTGATAAACAACCGACTAAGAATTTATATAATAAAATAGGAGTTTGTTTGAATTTTATTCTAATCATATTTTTCTCCTTAAAATCATCATCAATCACTTATTTCACCCATCATCACTTTATCAGACTTAAACATTAAATCACATCACTTATTTTATATAATTATTTATATATCTCTTTTCTAAAAATATTACATCACTCATTTCTATCACATATTTAATCATTTAATATTTAATTAATTTATAATTAATATATTTTTTAAAAAATTAATATAATAAGATCGATTTTTTGAATGCTCGAATTTTATATTTTATCGTGCCAGAAAGCACGGGTTATGACTATTACTCAAGAAAACAGACGGGAACTTGGGGTTATATAAACCAAAACCAACTGACAACTCTAATCTACGGGTGACAATTTTGACACAGTACAAAAAAAATGACACAAAATTAGTGGGTTGGAATTAATTATTTTTGGACACGAATCCGTATATGACACAACTCGTTAATATGAATAATAAATAGGTTAGGTTAGTGTCAAACACGATCAATACAAAAATTGACACGATTAACACGTTTAAGTAATATTATAAAAATAAAATGTCAATTTTTATTATATTTTATCAAGTAGTGACCTAATTATTGTATAAAAAAAATATTTTTAATTATTTGTATTATTATATTTATTAAGTTAATTTTAGTTTATAGAAAAAAAAAAAGAACATAATTTTGATTAAGTAATAATAAAATTTTAGACATCAAAATGAGCGTTAAATTTTTTATTCACTGGTTTTATGGGTCAACACGACACGATATAAGTAGTTAAACAGGTTAGCCTAGGATTAATCCGACCTAACCCGATATGATTGTCACCCTTACTATGATCTGTCTCCTTTTGGTACTTATTGTTCCCAACGACTCACTTTAATCCTTAAATCTCTAATTTGTGATTAAATGGTCCAACTGATTACAGGCAAATAGACAACGGAAAATGCCACATGACATTTTGATCAAATACACTTGTAGTCATCACGAGTTTGAAGTCTCTGATTAGAGGTTGAATAGTCCAATCAACGTGTATATATAACATAGTCGAGTTATTTGGGCTTGACTCGGGTTCCGCTTAGGTTCAAACTCAACTTGAGTTTTAAAAAAGTCGAGTAATAATTTTTAAGACACGTTTAAAAAAATGAGCTTGATATGCTTGGACCCAAACACGCAAAATTTAGTTCAATTAACACCCCTAAACATTATCACTAGAGAATAGAATTACCTGAAAGGTGTCTTTTCCGACGGAATCATAGACAACTTCAACCCCTTGGCCTGATGTTATCTCACTGACACGAGTAACAAAATCCTCTTCCTTGTACATTATGACATGGTGACACCCATCATCTTTAGCTTGAGCTGCCTTCTCTTTGGTTGAGACAGTTCCAATGACAGTGGCACCAAGGGCATTTGCCCACTGGCACAACAAAGACCCCATGCCACCTGCTGCTGCATGGATAAGAACAGTGTGTCCAGGTCAACTCAGTCAATCTCCTCGTGTTGGATCGGGTTATATTTTGACATTCCTACGATTAAATTGAGTGTGAATGATCATAAAATCTAGAAGATGTCATGCAGATTGTATAGCAGCACAGTACTTGAATCGATATCGGATGGTTTGGATTGGTCAAACACACTAACTTTTTCAGAGCCATTTTCTCATACATGAGTTTTTAAACACTCATGTCTAGTTAACAACAATGGGGCACAATTAACTCATAACACCCGTGATGACTTAGGGTGAATTTTGGGCAAATTTCCTTGTTTTGTCCCTGAAAAAGTACCTTTTTGCCTTTTTTGGTAATATTTTGAAGTCGAAGAACTTCACCGTCTAAAGTCAGAATTGATCGCCATCAGTTTTACCTTAATTCAGGTGATTAACAATTTTTAACAGTATAATTATTTTGATTTTTTTTTGGCAAAATTTGTATTAATGACCTAATTACATAATTAACGACACTTATGTCATATTTGATTATTTCTTAATTAGTTTCAAGGTTTTAGCACTATTTATATTCTTGTAAACTTTAGGGCTAAGCAGTTTTTGATTGATTAATACAATTGAGAGAACCTCTATTTTATTTCCAATCTTTCGGATATTCTTAAGAATCATCAGATTGATTGAAGACTTTAGAACTAGTATTCTGCAAAATCAAGAGGTCTAGAATAGGCATAAATAACTGTTTAATTTCATTATCCATTTTCATTCATTATACCCATATTTGTACCTGCTTTCCTGGACTAATAGGTTAAGTAAACATGCAACTTACCTTAAAGCAACGTCGGAGTAGGAACTGAGCTGTCATTCCCTTAAAAATGACCGATGCTGCTACAACAGGATCAATAGAGGAAGGGACAGGCACCACTCTGTGTGCAGGAAGGATCTGCTCTTCTGCATATGAACCCATTGGGCTACGGGCATATGCAATGAGATCTCCAACTTTCATGCTGGTTAGTCCAGGACCCAAGGCTGTCACCACACCAACTGCCTCCATTCCTGGACTTAAAATTTTGATTAGCTTAGTCCTCAACCAAACCTCAATTCTGTATAAATGTCACTATCTATTCATTAAGTCATCATGTATAAATCTCTCATGAAACTGATATGCATAAGTAAGGCAGCTAGATTAAAAAAAAAATTTAAGTCCCCTTAAGTCAGATAGCAATCCTCACAAAAATGACAATTCCACATAAACAAAAGAATAATCCATTCTGAGTTTTGAAAGGAATGGATTAAAGGAGATGATCCCATTTAGTTCAATGAGAGAAAGCTATTTCCAAACACTACATTGATTACAAAGAGATCCATCAAAATAAAGTAGGAAAAATTATACCCAGACTCCCTGACATTAAAAATATTATACACAAACTCCTTAAGGTTTGTACGCGCGTAACACGTAGACCCCTACCATTAATGTCCATTCATTAGTAAATTACATTCATACCACTAAAATTTGAAGTGTGTAATAATTAGATCTCTCAAATTCAAATTTTTTGGATTAAATAAACTTTTCACTTTGGGTCAATTTTTCTATCATCAAGTACGAACATGTGAAATATGTTTAATCAACACATTTACATGTTCCATTATATCATCAATTGACAAAAAAATAATAATAATAACCTAATTTATTGACAGAAAAATAGTAATTAGTATACATATATCAAAGAACTCAATTCAACATTTATTTACATATAATTATACCGTGTATTGGAAGAAAACTAAAAAACCAAACAAAGGGTCAAATTGTAATGAATATAACATCTTCCATTTTTAATTGGAATAACTTAGTCGTTTAATGGATTCCGTTAGTTTCGTAACTAATAAGGGATCTAAGTATAATATTTCAAATTTAAGAAATCTAAGTATTTTAAGCTTACAAACTTTAGGGGATCTAGGTGTAATTTATTAAAGAATATACATGGGTCTGTACAAACTTTAGGGAGTATGTGTGTAATCTTTCGAATGTTAGAGAGTCTAAGTGATTAAGTGATAACCCTCGAGAGATTTAGATATAATTTTCTCAATAAAGTATTAATCATTTTCTTCACTTTTCCATCCTAAGAAATCTAGAATACCAATTGCAACTACTTTTGGCCAAAGTTAAACCATCTTTAATTGGGAAGCCAAAAGGGTGAAGGTGCCATATCTTCCTACAGAAATCAATGGCAAGGAAAACAACATATAATAATCTGCCCAGATAGGGTGGAATTTTGAATATTTGTTAACACATAACAGAAGAAACAGAATCGAACCTGGTGTAAAAGGCATTGTGGCAGCTTTGTAAAATCCTGTGCGATAGTACACATCAATGTAGTTAAGCCCAATGGCCTTATTTTTCACCTTGATCTCTCCTTCCTTTGGCTCTCCTATTTCCACTTCCTCCCATTTCAGTACCTGAAATCGTTTTCATTATGTAGTGAGTCAAAAATGCCACTCAAACCCACCCACCCATCTACCTACCCATGGGTGGAAAGATACCAATTGCCATGTATAGAGAGATATTGAGGAGCATTATGGCATTTTGTTTTACAAAACAAAGAGCATGGATGGAAAATGAAAAAACACCCCCACACACAGACTCTCTCTCTCCCCCCCCCCAACCAAAAAAAACACTAAATCTGCCCCCTTTCAATCAAATTCCCTCAATTTCAGTTGATGATAAATCGATTGGGGTGTGATGATCAATCAATTACACACTCAATATGAGTGTGGAGCCCACATACAAATAGTGGGTCTCATTTAAAAAGTGTAATGGAAAGAATCTCTGCCACTACCTCTACACCCAAAATCCATTCACCTCCACCTCCACCTCCATCTCAATCTCAAAGCCAATCCGGTCACCTCCATAACCTTGCTCTAACCCCAAACCCAACTCAGCCCCCTCCCCCTCCACTTTCTTGCGAAAGCCCGTCCGTAAATTGATCGGATTTTGATCCGAACTCGAATCTAAATTTAATAACTTAGATCCAAGTTTGGATAAACCTCATAATTGTGATCTGAATTATTTATTTATTTATATATTTAAGAAATTAAGTAATTATTTAAAAAAAATTTAGTTGCGATTTTTCAAAATTTCAACCGAGCAAAATAAACTCGGTCAAAATATCGAATCAGATTCAAATCAAACTTTTGAAATCGAATTCAAATCGATCAGAATTCAATCCAAACTCCAAAACGTTGGCAGGCCTACCCACCACCGCCTCTACCACCACGGGCAGACACCACCCCTTCAGCCACCGCCACCGCCACCTAGAACCAATTCTCACGTACCCACACACAAATGTCAGAGAAAGAAAACGGAGACAGAAATTCAAGAGAGAGACAGAAACAGACATAATTAGAGAGAGAAGTTCTCACAGGCAGAACAGAATAATTCATCAATTCAACCCACTTTAACAATCATATCCATCAACACTAGACTCACACATACAAATTTTAATGTGCGGTGGAGTGACGATTTGATGACGGAATCTCCTTCTCCCAGAGCCATGCCTGCCTCTGGTCGATCGAAGCGTCCTGCGCCGTCGACCAATTCAACATCGTTTTCAAATTCAAGCTAGAGGGAGCCTCGGGGTGGCTTTGTAGATACAGAATCCGTTTGGTGACCAGGGTGGGCTTGGTGACTGCTTGAGTGTGCTGGTGTTCCATAGAAAGAAAGTGAGGGAGCGATTGTGTGCGGAATGGAGAGAGTGTGCCATGGGAGAGTAGTCCATAAATTTCCCACTTATTCGGGCTAATCTCACTTTGCTCTCAAAAGATATTTTAATTCTTAATTCATACCCTCAAACATTAAAAATATTAATTTATACCCCAATTTTATGAATTAATAGTAATATAGATCTAGCACATTGTTGTTCAATTTTACGTCACAAATTAAATCACGTGAGCTACAAATGCTTTGGGTACGAGTTTATATATACATTTATAAGTTGTTGGTGCTTTATATAAGTTACACACGATAATGTTAGTCTATATTTGATTAATGAAACCCTATTTTTAATATACAAAGCGGTACTAAATTAATCACAAACGAATATCTACGAGATATACGCCATTCTCATTAATTCAATAAAAATCCTACAAATAGATAATCAATTTTTTTAATAAAAATTTAGCAGATCATGTTATATTAAATTTTGATATTGTTAACATCCGTTTAATACATTTATATATTTGTATAACTTGCTAGCTAAAAAAAAAGGTGGCTAAGAGGAGCTTGGTAGAAGCCCTAAAATCCACTTCAAAAACATTCCATTGCATTAAATCACAACATGCACATACTTTAAAGCACAAACAGCATACACACACACATATAAGAGAGAGAGAGAGAGAGAGAGAGAGAGAGAGAGAGAGAGACCTGAGGGCCACCAAGTTCATGAACCCTAATGGCTTTCACCATTGTTGTTGCTGCTGCTGCTTTAGTTTGGTGGAGAAAGTTGATTTGTGGGTGGGGGATGATTGATTATTTATTATAATAGATAGATGTTCTCTGGTTTGTAAAATGATGATTTTGTTGCCATTTCCTGCCTGCTGGATCGAACGGTATTTATATAACTTGCTAGCTAAAAAACAAAGGTGGCTAAGAGGAGCTTGGTAGAAGACGGCGGGGCGGTGATGACGAATTTGATGACATAATAATTAACTACATAAAGCTCATTTACTCAATTTAACAATATATATAATAAAACATGAGTGTGTTTGAATTTTATTTCAATCATATTTCTCCCCTCAAAATTATCACCAATCACTTATCTCACCCATCATCCATTTGTCAGATTCAAACGTTATATCGCATCACTTATTTCTATTATATGTTTAATCATTTACATATTTCTTTCCTAATAATATCACATCACTCATTTTTATTATATATTTAATTATTTAATATTTAATTAATTTGTAGTTAATATATTTTTAAAAAAATTAATATAATGTGATCAATTTTTTAAATATTCGAATTTTATATTTTATTGTGTCTTTGGATATGAGTCATGACTAGTACGTATATATTTCCTGTTTGACATTAACAAGTCACTTCAAATTAGGCCCACTTTTGAATTTTAAATGAAAGATGACAAATGCAAATCATATTGGCAAGGTCTTGGTTAAATCACAATCAAACACGGCTTTGGGTTTGCCGTATACACTTACTATATGTCTTGTTACGTAGAGGAAAGAAATGTGTACTTTATTTTTTTTCTTTTGTATTCAAAAATATATGTATTCAAATTACTATTATACCCTCACAAAGCTTTAACTGATCACTATTTGAGGATCATCGCTTGTTGGTTAAAAGAAAATTTTAATTTTGTCCTTTACATGAGTTGTGGGTTGATGGCATTACTAAAAAGAGTAAAAGAGTAAATTTAGTTTTTGAGAAACTTTTAACTTTATTTCGGAACTCACTTTCCGCCCAATTTTGGGCGGAAACATTTTGTGGGTGGAAGGTACATATTTTCCCTCTCACTTTTCTTTTCTTCCCCTCTTATTTTTCACATCAACCAAACAATAGAAACTCAATCTTTCCATCTTATTTTTCTTCTTCAACTTTTCATCCATCATATTTTCTACCGTACCAAACATAGTGTAAATTTAAGAGATTAAATTGGTATTTTTGAGCATTGGTTCTAATCCCACAAATTCTAGAATCGAAAACAAACAAGGGATTGATAAATTGGGTTGTAGTAGATATTAATTTGGATTACATTCATTCAACTCGTATGGATTGAGTTAGACAAGATAATCTAATTCAAAATTTGTCATGTGGGTCCAAATAAATCGTGAGATAACGCAAGCACTATCACTAAATTAGACAATCTTATGCATAACATATATTTCTTGCTTTAAAGCATCTTTTATGCACCTCCATGCAAGCTTAGAATCATAACTTTATTTTTACACATACCAACATAGTGTTACTTTTACTTAAAATTTTGACATAATTTACTAAATTTATCAATCATACTGACATTGATTTAATTGTAGGTCCCAATATTTGTTGGAATCTATTGTCAATTCAATAGTTGTGATTGATTAAATCTACAAATCAGATTAGTATTTTAAGTACAAATAGCATTTTTCTAACACATACACACACATAAATGTCTGTGAATACATACTATATTTACTATAGATTATACATATGAACAATGTTATATGAACCTAATTTACTGATATAATTTGTTGACTTAACTACTCACAATCATTGAATTTATTGTGGATTTCAGTATTGATAAAGATCCGCTACCAATTCAATAGTTGTGATGAATTAAGTCAATAAATTATGTCAGTAAACTACATCCCGTTGAAACTAGAAAGGCTAGATATCTCTAGCTTAGAGGTAGTTAACTAGAGATCGATACGTTGAACCAGGGTTCCATCCAGTTGGGATCATATCCTTTGCCACCAGTGTTTGACCAGAATACTGTGATGTCAACCGGATCGAAAATGGTGGTCTGAGTTGTGACCCGGGGTTGAGCTTCCAAACAGCACCCCAAGATTGCTGCATAGCCCACCATCCATCTCCTCTACCATGGCCACTTGATGCTTGTTTAAGATCAACCCTAGCAAGATCACTGTCTCCTTCTTCAAACTCCACCACCACTACCAAGTAGTTAGGGTTTGATCCTTTGTCAACATGGAATGCTATTGTTTTTCCTGAGTAATCACATGCAACCCTAAAAAGCACCACAAAAGAGAATGAGAGTGACAATTTGTTTCCTTGTTGCATGTATGTATTTGTGTGTATAGTTCTGTGTATGTTTTATCCTATCTATATAATAAAGTATAATACAATTCAAATCTTAAAAGATAAACAAAATGTTTATGTTATTCACGGTTGAGACCATTTTAAATTTTACTTTAAAATTAATCTAACGGCTAATATTAACACCTCAAACTTAATAAAAAAAAATAAGGCCTTAAGAGTGTATTTGGAGTGACTTTTTAAAAGTACTTTTAGGAATTATTTTTTATAAGTATTTAAAAAAAAAATAGTGTTTGAAAAAATTCCACCACTACCTCTACCACCACCACTCCCATATCTCCACCACCATCACCACCACTACCACCACCCCCATCACCACCACTACCACTGTCATTGTCGCTGCCACCACCTTACCACTTCCATTGCCTTACCACCACCACCCTACCATCAACACTACCACTATCATCACCATCCCACCACCAGCACCACTTCCACTGTCTCACCACCAGCGTTTCCACACTCTACCATCATCACCACCGCTGTCGCACCATACCACCACTGCTACTATCCCACCATCACTCCCACTGCCCCTCCACCACCCCTATGACCATCACAACTACCACCACCCATCACCGATTATTACCATCGTCGTCCATGGCCACTACTCACCACCATTGTCATCTTATTCTTATATTTATTATCATTATCACCATCATCCCCCTACCACCGTCGCCCACTGTCAGCACCCATCATCGCCACCTACCACTGTCACTTACGCTACTAACCACCACCACCTATCATCGCTCACCACTGCAGCCACCCGTTGTCACCTATTCTCATCACACTTACCACCGTCGTCATTCGCTATCAACCATCACACTGTCGCCTAAAAGCATTCAACGTCACCCACCACCACCATCATCACTACCCATCACCATCGTCGTCCATCACCACCCACACCACCACCACCATTGTCACCCACGGTTACCACCATCACCATGGTTGTCGTCCTATCTACCACAACAATCATCGTCTCCCATCATCACCATTGTCGCCCATCACTACTACCATCGCTCATTCTCACTACAATCGGTGTTTAAATTTCTTTATCTCTTATTTATGTTTTTGATTTAATTTTGGATGTGAATATAAATATTTTGACCATTTTTTTTATTATTCTGTGTCTTTAGGCACGGAAATAATTAATATATATATAATATAAAATAGAGAAAACTTAAATAAATTCATCTAACGGTCTCAAATAAACTCATCAAACTGCTATTAACATTCCTATCAAAGTCATTCACATTGTAGCAACTGTGAGTATTCAAGTAAAGATCATACATAATTTCTCAATAAAACTTTTAAAAAAATTGAACCTTAGATTTTTTTTTTTAATTCATCCTAAAACAATTTATTTTCCAAAAGAATGTTTTAAAAACTAGGTTTAATCTACCCTCAAAAAATTTATGAGAGCGAGAGAAAGAATATGGTATAAAATTATTTGGGGATAAGTCAAAACTATATAAAAAAAAAGGTTCGAATTGGGTTGTACTGAGCTTACAAGAATCAAGCCACAAGTTACTTAGATTCTAGTTGTTCGTAGAAACGAGCACAAATTTTTTTATTGTATTTGACTCATTTTGCAATTTGAACGAGCCAAATAAGTCAATACTAAGTTGACTATGTTCGTTTTTGTAATTTGAACAAGCCAATTAAGGGTCAAAATTGAGCTAAACTGGACCTATCTCGGGCTAGTACTCCGATCGTTTATTAACCCTATCTTGTTGTATGTGAACTTTGAGATGTGAATCTTACCGTGCATATTGGATTTCCAAAACTCCTGCATCATGAAGTTTGTCTTCTTCACTAGGAACTGCCAAGGCTCCAAATGTTGTACCACTCAGATCAAAATGTGCTGATTCAGATGCACAAGGACCTCCGGGGCAGAAATCTGTTATCACCACCGTGACTGGCTTGCCGGAACACTGTGGGTGCTTGGTACATTTCACCTGGTAAGGGTATATGGCCATAGAATATAATAAGGTCAATTCAACTAATTACGGCAAGAATTTATCAATTCAACTTATTCCGTTCCTTTTCGGGCATCTTTGTCGTCTCATTATATAGAGATTTGTTTAGACTTCAATGAAATATAATATTCATTAGATTTCATTGTAATAGTGATCCATTGTTACACTTATATATAAAAACGATAACTGTCGCAAGTTATAAGTATTCTTTTGGCAACACATGTCAGTGTCCTAGAGAGAAAGATTGGCATTAGAAGTCAGTGGTGAGCTCTGCTATTTTCCTTTCAAGCCAAATGCTAAGAATACTTTAGGGTTGTGACAGAACTTTTGTTTGGGGGTACCTGGTAACAGGCCCCACATTCCTTTCCTGATTTGTATAGGGATGGGCCTATCCCAGTAACCAAGGAAGAGAAAGGTGCTTGTGACACTGCATTTCCATACCCACAAGCTCCTCCTGCATGGGTTAATATGCACCATTAGTCTACACAACATAGTTTGTAAATTGGTTAATATCAACTAAAAATGGTCTCTCTCTCTCTCTCTCCAGGTTCTGTTACCATCGCTTTCGGCTCCATTGGGGCTGTCATACCACGTTGCACCGGTGGAAGACCAATGGGTTGCCATAGTTGACAAGTTGAAATGCTTGGGCATGAAGCAGAAGCACAGGTTGGTGAAGCAAAAGAAAGCAAGTAAACATGAGATTAAGAGATGTGGTGGTGAGAAGTGATGTGAAGTAGCCATTACTAAGCTTCATTACTCAACTACTAACTGTTTTACAAATATAAGTAACCACTACAATTGACTGTTTCACATGCGATTGACTCTACTGTGATCGCCATTCACAAAGTTAACTAGTATTTATAGAAGAAAAGCATGTGCTTTGTTGCTGTCAATCTACGTTCTCTTTATGATTTCATAGTCACAGCTTGGCTTTGAATTAGCTATGGCCGGTAACATGGCTTAATTGAAGCTAAGTGTTAGATGCAGCCGAATTACATTAAAATTAGCACAGGCCAAGCAGCTTTTGGCATTTAAAAAAAAATCTTGTAATCACTCGGCCATTATTCAAGTGAAAATAAACTCTGTCGGCAGAGGTGGGTCCTACATGATCTTCCATTAGAGCACTTTCTTTCTCTCTCTCATGATAAGCAAAAGTTTCCATGGATCCTGCCGTTAATGGTGGTTACTGGTCGTTTCATTTCTCTAAACTCCACCAATTCTTTTTCTCTCTCTTACTGATCCGATGACCACAACTAGATCTTACCCCTACTGCATAGCTAATTTAATGGCCATGATGTTGATGGACTTGATATTATATATCTTTAATTGCATAATGCATGGAGGAGGTTATTTCAACGGCAATAAATAAATTTGATGTTTAAGTGTTTGGATTTATTCATCTAAACTTATTTAGAAGCTTTTGCATGATCTTATTGAGAAGGAAATCCCACCCACCAAATCCTTCTGTGTTTTTTTTTTGCCTAATGATTTGTTTAGTTAATCAAATGTTCGGTGGTTAATATCTTGGCTTTTCTAGAAGTTTGGATTAGTAACAATTCCGACTTAGGGTCGAGGTTAGGAAGGGAAAGGTACGGATTCACTATAAGAAACAACACCTTTTAATGATGTTATATCAAAGTCATCGTGCTCACTAAAATTTATCACAAAAACTCTCATTGGTCCTCGAAAAGTCGGTCTTCACTATAGATATACTACTAAAAGCTAGTTTTTATGAAATAAAAATCACCACAAAAAAAATGTAGATTTTTAAAGACAAATTTATATCGTCACTAAATCACTTAAGACAATGACAAACTTTATCACAACTAATTATGACGGCCTGATCCAGACCATGCTCAATCCAAAATTAAAAATTAGGTTCAGTTTAGAAATACAAATCAGACCGAGGTCATAAGTGTAGTTTGGCTCAGATTAAGCCCGTTATCTTGAAAAACTCGATCTTTTAGTGACGCACGTGAGATCTCCATCTTAAAAAGAGAATAAGGGTACGCATCGCAAGTCTCAACCACTCTATTTGTTACGTCAACATCACAGAGCCACTCATTCCCATCACAAATGTGACACCTCTTTGAATTTTTATGTTTTGAGTAGGGATGACAGTGGACCAAATCGGGGCGGGGATTGTAGTCTCCATTCTCATACCTGCTTAAAAAAATTTTGTCCATCTTTGATCCACTCCCGTTAACGGGTATAGTTTTCATCCTCATCCCTATTCGTAGGTAAATTTGTAATCCCCGCTCCGTCTCCCGTATCCACTCCAGCCCAAGCCCAAGCCAACATAATCCAATATTCAATTAACCAATGTTTATGTACCGGTGGAGTGCTTGATTTTCAATTCAAATAATTAGAAAAACATTTCATCCAAATTTCAGGAACATTTGGGTCAATAAGAACAGTGGAAAAATCGTGACAAGGTACACATTTTCATACTTATTTGTGTAAAAGTACCTAAATATAAAACATATGTTTATAAGTACCTTTATGTGTAAATGTTTGGTGAAAAGCTACACTTTTGTTGAATTGTAATTTTTTCTCTTATTAAATTGTCTTTTTCTTTTATTAATTGTAGATAAATATGACAGTTATATTAGAGATTCAATTTCTTAATTTTATGCTATATCTTTTTTGAATTTTAAATTGCTTATTCATGCGCGATTGACCAACCGTTGATTCAAACATTCCATACCTATTCCTCTATCATTCACTCCATTCTGTAATCGGGTTTTCAAACATATTCCAGTTAGTTGCAATGGAAGAAATGCATCAGGTATATCGTCCATATGTTTTTTTTTTTTGTTAAATCGTTACGGTCTCTTAACGTCAATCATGTTCATGTCATGTGAAGATAAATGTCAATGGTGATGACTCAAATGGGGATGATCGTTATAATCAAGATGATGATTCTGATTTGAAGGATAATTTATTGCATAGCACGATAATGTTATAGTGCTACAAGGTCATGTCACAAAGGTACTAGAAAATGTCACAGTGCTATAAACTAATGTCACACTACTACAAGTGAATGTCACACTGCATGCATTGAAATGATGCATGACACAATGTATATGACCTCTTTGGCTTTTTTTTGGCAAATGATCGAACATTTAGTATGCATGTAGTACTAAGCAACAGAAGTATAAAGGTAATTGAGGGGAAAAAAAAGTAGATAAAATAAAAACGTTAGAAGAAACAACATTTTTTTTGAGTTATCAACTTCTTTTCCAAAATCTTCAACGATCTTCTTCTTCAGCGATGAATTTCGGTATGGTTGTCATCGTCTAATACCGATATTTTTCCCTATTCATAGTGAACCCATCAAAAAAATCATCACTTATTCAAAGGAATTTTCACATCCTATTCGGCAATCAACATGAAGTTTTAAAAAGAAAGGAGGTTTTAGAGGAAGTTTCTCACCAAATATTGGAAGAATGTATGTTTTTCGGTGAGATTTCCACTTATTCATAGTGAAACAATAAAAAACCCCATTACTTGTGAACAATGATTTTTACTTATTCAGCAATGATCAACAGGAAGTTTTAAAAATCAAAAATGAGGTTTTATGAAAGTTTTTGGAAGAATGAGATTTCTGACGATATTTAAGAGATTTATGTGTAACAGTTGAGATCCCTTAAGTTTCGGTTGTAGAGACAAAAATATAGGAATCAGTTCTCATTCTACTGAATGAGATATTTTAAAAATTTGTTAGAAGTTGTGTACTTTTTTGACCTAAATTTTTAAAAGTGGTACTTTCTGTCCTATAATTTCTAGAAAGGGTATCGGTGCCCTTAAAACCCAAGAACAGTTTGTGTTCTTGTAGAGAATATATAACCAAACACTGAATTTTTATTTATTTTTTTATGTTTTTTCCTAGTTTATTCTAGGTATGGAAGGTACTTGCAAATATTAAATGCGAGTAAGTGAGGCTACAAATAATTATACCAGACAACCAACATGTCCAACCTACTCCTCTAATATGGAAAGTTAATTATAGTACTAGGACAAAAACTAATTATTAATCAAAAGCTATAATAATAATAATAATAATAACGGGTAAAATGGGGTAAAGACGAAGACGGGGACGGGGATAGGGCAGAGGTAAGTGTCAGTCCATCTCCACCTTCATCCCGTACGGATTTATACGAGTATCTTCATATACTTCTACCGTTCAATACTATGGTTCATCCCCGGTCCAAACAGGACGAATACTCATTTTTACTCGGTTCACTGCCATCCCTAATTTTGAGCCCTTCTTTCTTTATCCACTAATTGATTTTGCATAAACTCACTGTTGTGTATCATTAAATTACTGTAAAATATTGTCACTAAAAGACAGAGTTGTGCCACTAACTTCTACTTTATTTTGAATGATTTTTTTTTATTTAATGATCAGGAGTGTTTGAACAAACTTCCGCGCACATAGACTAATCTCTTCCCTAGTCTGGTCAAAAGCACACCATCCACGTTGGGACTACGGTATTTATGATGGATAAATCGCTTACGACCTGAACCAAAGGGGTTACAAAGATTCAAATTCAAGAGCTCACCCCCATTACCACTTGAGCTACCGCTTAAGGCTCTTGTACTACTACTTTCGGGTATTAATAGCTATTAATTTTATTATATGACCCATATACTTAATTTATATAATAAAGTATAAAACAATTCAAATTTCAAAAAATAAAAAAAATCACTTTTGTTTTTCGAAGTTAAAATTTATTCAATTTTTTTCAAAATTTAATCTGAGGATTGATATAACCTTATGAAATTTTGTTTTCCCAAAGGGTTAATTGTAAGTTGTACCCTGAAATATAGTTTGAATTTCAAATTGTACTCTCAAAGATCAAAAATTTTAATTTACACCCTTAAAGATAAAAATTTATATCAATGTGCACCCCCAAAGATAAAAAATCTCAATTTGTACCCTCAAAAATAGAAATTTGTATCAATGTGCACCTCCAAAGATCAAAAATCTCAATTTACACCATCAAAAATAAAAATTTGTATCAATGTGCACTTAAAACTAAATTAATAAATTATACCTAGATCTCCTTCATGCTTGTCACTTAACCATTTGGACCCCTTCACATTTAAAATATTACTCTTACATCTCATGACGTTTGTGTACGTATAACACGTAACCTTTTTTTGTTGATATCTGTTAATGTAACCGTTAAAAAATATGATTTTATCCTAATAAAAAATTATAATTTCATATTACCCTTTATTTTGTGAGTTCGATATACTCTAAAATTTAAAATCAAGCTTACTATTTGAATGTTCAATAGAGCGTAGATATTTATATAATATTTTTTATATCCAATGCAACATATCACTCAATGTGCAACCCCTTATTCTATTAGACATTCAAATGGTAAGTTTGATTTTGAATTTTAGAGTATATTGGATCCATAAAATAAATGTTAATATGAAATTATAATTTTTTATTAGGATAAAATTATATTTTTTAACAGTTATATTAACAGATATCAATGAAAATGAGTTACGTGTTACACGTGCACAAATATTATAAAATGTATGAGTAATATTCTAAATGTGAAAGAATCCAAATGATTAAGTGACAAACATGAGGAGATCTAAGTATAATTTATTAATTTAGTTTTAGGTGCATATTGATACAAATTTTTATCTTTGAGGGTGTAAATTGAGATTTTTGATCTTTAGGAGTGTATATTGATACAATTTTATCTTTTAGGGTGTAAATTAAGATTTTTTTATTTTTGAGGATACACATTGATACAAATTTCTATCTTTGAAGGTATAAATTAAAATTTTTAATTTTTAAAAGTACAAATTAAAATTTGAACTATCTTTCGATGTATAAATTGAGATTAATCCTTTCCCAAAATATCACCATTCAATGTTCACGTCGCTGTCACACCTCCCACCAACTATAGTGGGGACATAACACGTCAGACGAAGTGGGCCTACCGTTCTTCAGTCAAATTTCTCGGATTCAAAGAAAACCAAAGTCCTCCTCCATTTCATTTTCTCACACGCAACCTTTCGTCTCCATTAGTTCAATCTAGCATGTGTTGGATTAATCAAGTTTGAGTAAAATTCAACTTAAATTTATGAGCAAACATTTATATGATATGAATTTTTTTTTATTTTCATTTAAGAGTACAAATATTTTGAATCTTTTTAGTTTATGTATTTAAATTGTTATGTAAATATAAATTTTTGGCATAATATTTTTTTTTTTTGTTACTCTATACCTTCAAATACGAAAAATAACTATAATGTACGCAAGTTGTACGTCTCAATTATGTTATATACTTTCCATCTACTATTATATATTATTTTAAGATACCCAATATTATCCACACTTCTAAACTTTAATAGGTAAGTTGTAACTTATTAGACTTCTTAGTTTGTATATTTTTTGCATTATTTACTTTAGATGCCCTAATCGATTTAGTGTAAAAATTTATTTTTCTCTTAGGGCAGTATGCACCCTAATTGTTACTAATTATTTATAGGTTTTGATTCTTCAAACAATACTTTTCCCCAAGTTTTTTTTTCTTAATTTTGGGTAAGAGTAATATTATTTAGACATAAATATTTGACTTAATCTTTTAAATTAATGATGTATTTTTAATATAACTATTAAATTAATATCAAATTTTAATATTTAATGAGATTTACAATCAATTTAAATTAAGTCATCATAAAAATAGTAAGTGATTTGTGTCTCAACTTGCAATTAATCACCAAATAGTTATTACCGTGGGACGAGTGTGGCAATAAACTTTATAAGCCAATCCATTTATTAAAAGTATTAGGGATAATCTGTACCTAAAATTACAGTGTAATGTGAATGGTTTTGACAAAGATGTTCGTGACTATTAAATAAATCTATTTTTTGAGACTGTCAAATAGACTTATTGAAATTTACCCTGTTTTATATTATGGAATTCAAAATTTTATACTTTATCTAATATGACTCTACATTATATTAGTAAGTTATAGTTAACTACGGAGGATCAAGATTGCATCTAATATATTTGTTTTGGCGAATTATTTATCATTGATGGGGTGAGAAATCTACTTGTATATAATATGTCCCACGCAGGCGAGTTTATCAAGAATGAAATTAAAGAGAAAATATATTTGTGAGAATCTCACTCTGTTATCTATATATGAGCAACACAAAAATACTTAAATTGTAACACAAACAAGAGAAGGAGATCCCTAGGGATCGCAATGGACTGGAGAAAAACGGATATTCGTCCAAATTCGTCTAATTTGGATCAGGGATGAACTATACGTATTGGACGGTGGACATATATAGGGATACCCGTACAGGGATGAAGGTGGGGATAGACTTATTGTTACCCCCGCCCCACCCTTCCCCGCCCCCGCTACCCGTTATATATATACAAATACTTCAAAGTCCGAACTAAATATATTTACTGAAACTATCAATCTAGAAATATGGTAATTAAATTAACAAGTGACATTGCTATATGGTAATCTTATCAATTTTTTTCTCTGATTGTTCTTTTTTCTATTTGTGTTCACTGATTGAAACTGCTAGGAGTTTGGATTAACTATGTTTTAAAAACAGATAAGAGAGAGTAAGATAGTTTTGTATTTCATCGTGGGTAGAAAAATTGTGAATAGAGGTTGATTAGTTTCTCTGTTAGAGTGAACTAAAAAATGGAGAGAATTATTGAATTAGCCAAATTTTATGTTTTCATCTTTTAACACATTATGGCTGTAATATAAATTGTAATAACAAAAATTCTTCTACGAAACTTCAAGTGCAGTGTTATCGTTTCTTAGTTCAATTTTACTTTTCGTTTTTTCCTTTCTCTCTAATAGTTCCGTTTCTCTTTTTGTGGTCCAATGACACTTTAAATAGAATACTATATTATTTTGGCTTTTACATTTTTCTATTTAGTTTATGTTGTGTTAGATTATTTAGAATATTGTTGAATTATTTAAAATTTTAGATTATGTTACTTGGGCTTGAGCTTAGACTTGGATTTGGGCTTGGGCTTGGGCTTAGGCTTAGGCGGGTACGGGGGAAGAGATTAGAAATTTACCCGCAGACAAGAATGACGATAGAAACTATATCCGTTAACGGAGGTGGACCAAAGATGGACGAAATTTTTTTAAGCGGGTACAGAGATAAAAACTACACTCCCCGCCCCCGCTTTGATTCACTGACATCCCTAGAGATCCCTCAAATATATATTTTTTAAAAGCGTTAATATATATTATCCATTTAAATAGGATTCATTATATATAAGAAGGTCTTTCATTTATTAATAATAAATAAATTTTTAAAAAAATTGAAAAAAATGTAAGGGAGGATTGAACGCACAAACAAGAGGAATTTATCAAATGTTGTATCTCAAATGATATATTTTGTTTAACAATCAGGGGTGTTCAGGTCAGTTTACACATACCTCAACTAATCTTCTAATCTCCTCTTTAGTACAGTCAAAGACAGATCATTTACGTTGGGACTAAAATATTCATGAAAAATAAATTTTTCATAGTCTAACCTGAAAAAGTTGTCAAAATTTGAACTTATAACGTCTGAATTTACAGTTTATTATTATTATTTCTTAAAACTATTTTTTTTGGTTCACTATTTGAAATTGTTATAGGGAAAAAGAGCTAATAAAATTTATTGGCGGGACCTAAAGAAAAATACTACTTAATTTAAATAAAATTTAAAAGTTAAAACTTAAATACATATCAACCCTTAGATGAGTGTGGAAAGAGTGGACCCCACTGAAAAAATTAATAAAACTTACTCATCTAAGAGTTAATATACATTTAAATTATAATTTTTAAAATTTTATAGGATTACTCGGACCTAAAAATCCAAAAACAAGCGTATGACCTAGGGGTCCAACAATGAGCTAGGTGTGACCATTAGCTTAACCGTTGATCCTTGAAATAGCGGAAGTGGCGCAGAACCGTTAATAGCCGTTGGAAGCCTCCAAAGAGAAGCAAGGCCAAGGCGTGCATGTCTGCGTAATCACCTAGAAAAGCCCCCACCCCTTGCGGTGAAACCCCTAAGCCTTTGAACAGTCACAAAATCCCCCTATACTTTTCCACCCTATTACGAAAAGTCCTCAGTCGTCACTCTGTCTCTCTCTGTGTATTGCTTTACCCCGAATCTCTTTCTCTCTTCGACGATCACTCAGATCCTCGATCGGCCGCAACAAAAGGTAAAACCCTAACCCTAACCCTAACCCTAACCCTAACCCTTCCTTCTTTTTCGGTTAAAATTAGGGTTTTGAATAATCGATCATAGAATATTTTTTCAATACTTTTTAGTTATTCACTGTACCTTTTGTTTGGTTGCTGAGAAAATTGAAGGGCAAAAAGAATGGAATAAAATTTGACTTCTTTGGTTTATTATGTTCAGTTGATCTTCAAAGAAACGAAGAATGCTTACCGAAGGAAAAGAAATGAAGAATATGGTAGTTAAGCAAAGTATGTGTGATCAAGCTGTTTTTTCTCCCTCAGTTTGTGTTCTGTTTAATTCATAGGAATGGAATTGTGCGTTATGTTTTCCAGTATTTTATCTATTACCAAACGATGAGTTACCATTAGATTTCTAAGGATTTGTTTGATGATGACTGAACATGTTGTTTGTGGGATAATTGGGATGTAGGGAATTTAATTCGCTGTGTTTGAGCTTATGTTTTGTGCTTGGGTAAAGAGTTCAAGTAGTTGACTCCTGATTGATTTTGTTCACTAAGCCAAAAAGTTTCATTAATTGTACTTCGAGGGAGTATTGATAAAAATATTAGTGTAAATATCATAATTCTTCCCTAAATTTTGTTTCAGGTTTCAATTTGGTCCTTGAACTTTCAAATCTCTCAATTTAGTTCCTCAATTATCAATTTTGTCTCAATTAAGTCATTTCGTCCATTTCCACCATTAGATAAAAAACATACAATTTAACTCTTGAAATTGATCAGATTGGACTACTCACCGGTTGATTTGACATTATAAATGGATGAAATGACTTAATTGAGAGAAGATTGATAGATGAGGGACTAAATTGAGAGAATTGAATGTTCAAGGACCAAATTGAAACCGGAGACAAAATTTAGGGACCAATTATAATATGTACCCAAAAAATTAGTGGTCAAAAGTTGCCTATGGAAATATAGAATTACTAATATTTATGTCTCGTAGTTCATATTGATTTCTTTAATCGCATGATTGACGTGATTATTTTATTTGCATTGTGAAACAGGTTAAGTAGATTCTTATTCACCATCAGTATTGATAATTGGTGTAAACTATCAATTCAATGCCTTCGGCCGTATCGCCTCAGTGGCATGAGAAGGCTAGTGGTTTCTTTTCGTCATCCGGTAACTTCTAATGAATTCTGTTCCCTCATTGTGTGTACCCTTCTTTATTTTTTTTGTTGCTGTGCTTGTACTTAAGTTGGTTAATGCAGGGGTGAAGCTTAAAGAAGCTGGGCAATCTGCGGGGACATTTGTGGGTGAGGTTGCCAAGGATGCAAAGGGGAATGTTACTGATGTGGCTGGAAAAGTTGGGTCTATGGTCAAAAGTCGATGGTCGCTTCTCCAACAGCCATCTACAAGGCATGCCATGCAGGACCGTCTTATTTCCGCTGCTGCAACTACTGGCATGTTGTTAAGGGCGGGCATATCTGAGACAAAAGATAAGGTTTCTGTTGGAAAGACGAAAGTTGAAGAGGTAATTTAGTTGGAGCTTTCAATTTTTGAAGTTTTTGGCAGTGTTAAGGCTGACAGAAGCTGAAGCAATTATACATCACACTTTTTTAGTGTTAACAGTCGGTGAGTTATAAATACACAATATGCATTCAAATCAAATCTTGCGGCAAACAATTGCTAGAAGTTCCAAAGGAGCAGATTGTTCCTATATATCTGATTTTGGAATTAAGTATACACCCTTTAAGTAATGTCAGTGATCCTTGAAAATGACTTGTTTATGAGCCTGTACAAATTTATGGCTCCAAACAAATTATGTTCTCTCACTTCTTGTATTTAAATTAACTATGATAAGGTATCACTATAATCTATACTATCTTACGTAGAGATACTACTTGCTTTTCCTTGGATAGATAACTCGATAACCTAGTTGACTGGATTGTAAGAGGGAGCATCTTAGGATCAGCTACAAGAAGATATAAAAACATAATTGTAGAACTTAGAACCATGAAAGTTTCACTGTTTGGTATTTAGAGGAACTCACAGCCATGACATCACCATGATGGGATCTGATTTCATTCATCACTATGGAGTTTTGTCTCCCCTCTTTCACTTATCCCATCCCTCCTTCCTCATCCCCAAGCCAAGAGCATTGCAAATAACTAATTGTTTTTTAAAAATGCTTTGTTTTGCTCTCCAACTATTTAGATTAGGAATCAACATGATTTTTGAAATGCATAATGGTTGTCATAAGAATTGGGCAAGCCCAATTTGGTATGCATTAGGGTTGGTGTCTGGTTGTCGTGTCACCATCTTTATGGCTAAGGCATAAGTAAATGTTGTCCTTATACAACTAGCTATAGTTGATTCAAATGTTGGCTGACGTTCCTTTATCTTTAGATAGGCGTTTTAAAACAAATGTATATATATGCTTTTGAATAACATCTACAAGATTCTTTGTAATAAGGGCGAAGCTACATGTGCTACAGTGTTCAGACCTTTTTAGTCGTTGGGAAACAAAATTGAGACCAATTTATAGATATCCTGAGGCATAGGGTTTTTGTATAATTTACATGTTTGGAATCTTTGAAAAAGTATCGGTGAGGTCAAATTTGAGTATCAAATATTTGCACACGCAAGCTATCCTCCTGTATTAATTAGTTAATTTATTTGGTTTTTCATTTTGCCATTGACCACCTCATTTGCCTTCCACTTATCCTTCCGCCCATTTAAAAAAAAAAAAAAAACTCCTTCAAATTTGTTGGTGTTTGACGTCGTGACGTGATCATGATACAAACATCTTAAATTCTCAACTCAACAAATTTTTGTCCCAACATTTTTTGGGATGGCTACATAGTCTTGTTTCGATATTGAGTTTTATTAGCAGCCATGTTTTCATGAAACCATAAGTTACCATATTTTTCTTTACTATTTCATTTAAAGTTAATTTTGGTTTTCCTCTACCCTTACTTTACTGTCAATAGCTATCCGATCACCCTTTGTCACCGGTGCCATAGCAAGCTGTCTATAAATATGTTCAAGTTACTTAAGTTGATTCTCCCCTAACTTATTTCTTTTGTGTGTTATCACTATTTTTTCATAGATATATTTATTCCCAGTTCTATCTTTCATAGTTTTACTACACATGTATCTTAACATTCTCATTTCGGCTACACAAATATCTTAAATGCAGTTCCAAAACTGAGTTTAATAATTCATTGTAGAAATCTTCTCTCAGTGTTGAACATGATTTTTTTTATTTTTGTAGTATGATCTATGGAAGGGACTATGATTTGTTGCAATAACAAAAGAGTTGGGCTGATAACCGTGAGGTTGTTGGTTCAAATCTCAGGGTAAACACTTTATGCTAATAATTTCAAAGGTTAGGTCTGTGCACAGTTCATCGTTCTCAACACTCTTGATTGGAGGGGTGTTGAGAAAATAAATGTTAGAAAAATTTATAGGGGAAGTTGATTGTTGTTGACATTCTAATATTTGAAGTTGAATATGTGATAATATTAATTGTTTATTGAATGACACCACTTGGGAGAAATCGTGATTCCACCTTTACAACTCATGATTTTCAAATAGGTACATGACATTGTGAAAACACAGATATTCTCCATTTTCACGTATTGATAGAATGGAGGAGTTTTTAAAGACAATAGTTGACATATTCGTGGGGTGTGGGGAATATTTCAAATGGAAGACCATTTGACATTGTGCTTTCTTTGTTTGCTACGTGATGGGTTATTTGGAAAGAAATGAATGTGATGATCTTTGAGGATAAAAGTGAAGATTTTGAAGGGCTTTGGGGGAGAGGATTCACTTTTTGGGCTTCAATGTCTAAGGACTTTCAAGATGTTCCTCTCTTTTGTATTATAATAAGCTGGAAAACATGTTGTGGCTTGTTGTTTTGATTTTTTACTTTTTAGGTTCCAGTAACATGTCTTGTGTCGGACTTCTTGTCCACACTTGATATGGTTTTCTTTTAATATTTCCTTTATTTATTTATTTATTAATAATACGTTGTTTCTTATCGAAAAAATAGTTGACATATTTGTGATGGTAATTTTGGGTAAGGTGGCAAAGAGAACTGCACAAAAAAGTAAAACTATTATGACTGATATTGAGCGATGGCAGAAGGTATGTGATAGCTCAATATCTTTTACTCTTCTCTAATGCAATTGCAACTTTATGAATTCTTAGCTTTTCTCTTTCATTTTGCAGGGAGTTGCAAGCACTGATGGTAAACCTTTGTTATTTTGACAATACTATATGGTTTACTTTTTCTATGCTTCTGGATTATCATCAAGAGCATTTATGAAGTTTCTCATGCTTAGTTTTTTGCCATCCACATCATCTGTTAATGTTTTTGTTATTAAGGAAAATTTCACTCACATGCCTTTTAGTTTACTATATCTTCAAGAACACCTCCTCTGATACCCTTTCTAGTTTATATTTAAATATCATTGACACGCTTTGGCATTAAACCATCATTTTTAACAAAAAAAAAAATTCATCTAAAATACTAAAATTACGTCTACATAAATCCCAAACAATCTTTCTACATAAAATTCGAGCTGATTAAAATTCATTTTTTTACATATTAAAATTCAAGTTGATTAAAATTCGTTTTTTTATATATTAAAATTTGAACCGATTAAAATTCGATTTGAGTTGATTAAATTTTATTTTTTTTACGTATCAAAATTCGAGCCTATTAAAATTTATTTTTTTACGTATTAAAATTCGAGCTGATTTAAGCTCAACCTGTGCTATTAGCATAAATTAAAATTAAATTTGAGTTGATTAAAATTTTTATTTTTTTACTTATTAAAATTTGTGATAATTAAAATTCAATTTAAGTTGATTAAAATTCATTTTTTATGTATTAAAATTTGAATCGATAAAATTTATATTTTTTTACATATCAAAATTCGGGCTGATTAAAATTTAATGAGAGCTGATTAAAATTTGATTCGAACCGATTTAAAACAAATTTTAATAGACCTGAATTTTAATATGTAAAAAAATTCATAAAACAAAGGGGTCTCTTTAAAGATATGTCTATCTAGAGATGGTATAGATGAAATTTTTTCTAAAATATATCATGTGCCTTAAATTAGATAGGGTGTATCTTCAGAAAATAGAGGGGTGTCTATGAAGATATGATAAAGTAGAAGGGATGTGGCTGAAATTTTCCCTTGTTATTATTATTTCTCTTGGTGGAAGAAATGGTTAATTTTTTGAGTGTAGATTGGTGAAGACTTGTAGGGTGACATTTTTCTTTATATTATGTCCAAAGTTAGCAATCACAAAATCTGTTGTTAATACATAAACATGTCTTGCCGAAAAATGCTTTTTTGTGCTCGTTAGAATGAACATCGTTTGATATTCAATAGTTCTTTTAGAATCTGAGTCCCAATTGTTATCTGTCAGAGTGGTAGTTTCCATTTTTTTCAGGATAAATAAAATACATATTTTTGAAAAGGTGTGAGTTTCTTCGCCTTTGATGGGCATCTCAGCTTCTTCGACTGCACCGCAGAGTTATTGCTCATCTTTTTGTGGAAGCTATCATTATTGAATCTAATATAAGTCTTTATTTAACAATCCAAAATGCTTGCGACTGCAGTGAATAGAAAGTGCAGTTTGACATGCATCAAGGGCATAAAATGAACCGGAAGGGCAGATTTAACTATAGCTTGGGTAACCAATGAACTGACACTCTTAACTATGCTTTGGTGCTGAAGTTTTGACACTGTTTTTGGAACAAGGATTACTATAAAGCTGTATATGCTTCTATAGTGTTGCATATTGTATTAATAAAGAATTCTTACCTATAATTATTCTTCTTTGCATGGGAAGGCTTTGTCATTACATTACGAGGTAGTGCATATGGTGAGGCTCAAAGCCATCGAAGTATTCTTATTTCATAATTTACTACCAAATGGAATGTGAAGAGACTGATTTCTCCATAGAGTTATTAGCAACAAACTAGGTGATGAGCAAGATGTTACTTGTTGTACCTTACTTTTAGCACTTCTATACGTTGGGAGCTAGCCAGGAGTATTTTCAACCTATGCTTGGATTGTGTAAAATTTTATTCTATCTATTGATAAAAGTTTGTTTCTTATTAAAAAACAACATTATGGGGAAAAACAACCAGAAACATGAATTATAAGCTGTCTAAACTGCATTGCTCGTGATCTCTCATTTTATTTCGTCTTCAGTATTTGGAGCTCCAATCGAGGTTACAGTGCAGCGGCAACAATCTACCAGTCCTGTTCCGCATATATTGGTTAAATGTGCAGATTATCTAGTTCTGTCAGGTGATTTGCATGAGAGTAATACAAAGTGTATTGGCCATTTCCACGTCTTTGTATGATGTTGCAGTTTTATGATAATGGTAACTGTACTCTTGTTTGGTTAAGGGCTGAACTTGCAGGAGTTGTTCAAGTCTGGAGGAGACAAAAAGGTTATTCAGCAATTAGTTTCACTATACAATCAAGGTTTGTGAGGATTTGAACTCATGTTTGACTTCAGATTATTCTGTGTGACCGCATGGGTCGGTAACTATTGCCATTTTTATTTTATAGACTCAAAAGCATCTCTGCCTGAGGGTGTGAATCCAGTTGATGTTGCGTCTCTGGCCAAGTGTTATCTTGCAAGTCTACCTGAGCCATTAACCACATTTGAGCTATATAATGAAATTAGAGGTGCTCGATCCAGCATACATGTGATGAGAAATATACTGAAGAGGCTTCCTACTGTTAACTACATGACACTTGAACTGGTTACTGCACTCTTACTTTCCGTTAGCCAGAAGTCATTTCTTAACAAGGTATTCCTGCATCTCTCTCTCTTTCTATATATATATATATATATATGCAAGTGAATGGATGTGAGGTGTCATGCACATGCACATCTTGTTTTGAGAGAAGAAAGAAAAGAAGAAGGGGAAGATGGGTGTTACCGTGTTAGTGCTTTCTTGAGGTGAATCTCCTCATTTAACAAATATCCATAGATTGGTCTACTCCTTGCCCATAGAGAGAGGAATATTCCAAGCACTTTGAATGATCACTTTCTTGTGCATGTGCATATGTGTGTGTCTGTTGAATATGTGTACAATTGTGAAATATTGTATGTCCTCACACATCTGACACTTAGAATTAAAGCTTGTCATTAAGCCACTTTCATTTTAATGAAATTGTTGAAGGTTATATTCATTGGGGGATGCTGAAACTTTTATCAAATATGGACATTTGATGAGTTCGATTTTAGCAAAAGTGGAGGTTGAGCATTCACTCAGGATATTTGATAGTCAACTTGTGTCAGATTAGCATGCTTAGTGGTTGCTAACTTACTTTTTACAGATGGATGCTCGAAGCCTTGCTATGGAAATTGCCCCTATCATCATGTGGCAAAAAGGGCGGAGACCAGAATATTATAGACATTTCTGGAATCAGCCATCAAAAACTCATTCCAAGAAGAACATGGATTCTGCTTCAAATTATAGTGCATGGAACATGCTAGCAGGTAATAACTGATCTCGTTGTTTCTTGTTTATCGATATATAAATGTAGATGTATGCATCTGTATGCGTGTGTGTGTTTTGGCAAGTTTGTTTTTATGTGGGAATTTCATTGTTATTGACGGAAAAAGTCGGTACAGGGTTAATAAGGCACATAAGCCCGAAGTCAGTGTAATGATACTACTGTCCAATACATTTCAGAGAACTTTGCTAGGAATTAGCTTAGTGTACAATTGGACATATCTATATGAATCTGGAAAGCCCCATTACTCTTTTTAAGGTATTGGGAGAAACATTAATAGCATAGGAATGGGTATCATTATCAAAGAAAACAAGAGGCTTTCTCATATCTTTGGCATGTTATTGTTGTTTGTAAAAAGGAAAGAGATCTGCCTTGAAGTGCTATGTATGAAATTGACAGGTCAATTCAATTTGGTAGGCATTTGAAGGCACCTTTGAAAGTTTATTTAAAACAATCTGGTGAAGGTTTAAAATTGAGTTTTGGGATGGAGCACTGCTGCACTGAGTGAATTATGGGGTAGATAAACAGTTGGGTGCTGGAGATTTGGTTTGGTCATCATATAATCTTGGGGCATGTTGCTTGTGAAGCGTGAATACTTGGCTTAGTGTATCAATCTAGATAAACCATGCCAGTGTTGGAGAGGAGGGAGATGTGTTGGTGGGAGACGGTATGTATTGATTGTTACTGGATCCTTTGATAGTAGAGCTGCATTGACAATATTTCAAAGACAACGAAATTGCAATGGTACTTCACACATTTTCCCCTTTGCATCTGCTACTGCTGATCTACCAACGTTCTGATAACCGGATTGGATGTTTAGCATTTTTACGGCAACAAAACAAGAAAACCACCCACTATTTATTTCATCCCTCTAGGGTTCTACCAAGTCCACACACTAGTAAAATATTGTCCTTATCACTAAATATTTTTTCCCATTATCTTAGAAATGGTGATGAATTTCTGCAACTGAGAACTTTTATATGGTGGGCTTAGCAAACAACATTGTTGTGCGTTATTATTTCTCCCTTTTCTGAATTCTTTTGATTTTTTTTTGTTGCATATAGAAGAGGGCGAAGATATGGATGCATCCTCACCCATTCCTTTGGACGACGGATTGCAAGTGGACTTTGGTGCTATTGAGGTTGTTCAGTGCTTAATAGAACACCACAATGCAATCTTCACAGAAGCAAATGTGACTGTCTGGAGATGATTTTCATGGTCATATTTCCTCATACTTGATGGATTCCTTGTATTGGAACCTCTAAAAAATAATTTCTCCAGATGGGAGTTTCCAAGTGTTACTTGGGGGTGTTCTTTGCTTAGTAGATATTGTGTTCTTCAGCAGCTTTGGGGTGTTAATGATTGTAGGTCTGTACATTTGTGGAGTTAGAATAGTATAGGTCTCTAACTTGTATCCAGAATATACTCTCTCTCTCTCTCTCTCTCTCTCTCTAATTCTTTTTTGGGGGTAATATAAAACTGGGTTGTGCATGCGTTGCTATAATTGTGGTTTGTTATATTCTTTGATCAATATGTGACGTGTTTGGAAAGAGTTTTGAATTTGAATTTTGACAATATTTTAGGGTCAGTTATGTGAGATTTATTTTTCATAAATTTTTTAGTGAATTAATCGAGGTATGTGTAAGTTGATCCGAATTCATTGCAAATTCGAATTAGAGAATTATTCTCTTTTAACTTGGGAGCGAGGAGTTTATTTCCTTTTCGGTCTACCAAAGATGATTGAGTTTTTTCATATGAGGAAATTGACTTTAGCAGAATGTGTTGAGAACTTAAAAACACAGTTTTGGTGATAGTCGATTGGTTGCAATATTAAAGGGGTATTATAGAATTATTACACATTAAAACTCTTTTAATCTAATTTTATATTGTATTTAGTTGCAAAACACTTTGTATTACATAGAGTTTTATTTTAAATATTTATTCAAATAATACACTCGTAATATTTTTATCCAATATTTAATTTTGTATTTTTTTCGTTTATACGAAATTAACATGTATTAATTAATATAATCCTTTTTTTTAACAATACCGTAACCAAAGGATCCCTAAAGTTTTATTCACAATATAAGCATATTCAATGGAAAGAAAATAGTTAGAAAGCTTTGTGGAATGACGTTCTTCATATCAAACTGAAAATCTATTTCTAAATTATACCATTAATGCCTCAAAGTTTATGTGATAATATAAACAAGGGTTAATAGCATTCTTTGTCTTTAAGGTATGCATATTTTTGTCAATTTAATCTTTAAAATATTAATTTTATTTCTAAAATATCTAATTCTTGTTTAAACAGTCCATACATAGACGGATCGTTAGTTTTTTGACAGAATCATCATGTGTTGATCACATGAAATCATCTGAAAGAATGATACGTGATCGCTTTCGTCAAAAAATTTAACGAATTATGGACCAAATTAATAAAATTAATACAATAAAAACTAAACTGATAAAACGAACATATTTTAAACACTAAAATTACTATTAACCTTTTAAACAATTAAAAACTATTGCAAAAGAAATATCACCTATTCTGAAACACAAGAACAAACTTAATTAATTACACCAAAAAGTAAACAAAATCAAAAACCTTCAAGAACACAATCATGTGGGCAATGGCGTTGCCCCATCTCCACAAGGACGAAGAGCATTCGAATAGGCATTGAAAAACACGTTTCTCCCACATTCATGCCGGCAGATTTCTTCAGCTCTCTCACTCCTCCCACCACTCAATCTGTACTTATAAACCTTCTCTTCAGTAGCAAAAACCAACGAATGCCCATTTAAAACTGTAAACCCTGCAACTTTAGGGTCTCTCTCCGTCACTCCCATAGCTCTTACCCTCATTTTCAAAACCCTTTTCCATGAACTCGAGCTCTGATCAGTCAATACCCACATTGAAAACACAGACTTTAATTGTTTAACAAGACATATCTCTGCACTTCCCCACCTGAAAATGCACAGTCTGCAGGCTGGATCATGAAGGCCTCTCCTTGCATCTTTTGGGATTTTCATGAAACTTGAAACGAAAGTTTGAGTGTCATAAGACACTATATAGGGCCAGTAAAAAGGACTATTTTTTGAGAGATAAGAGAAGCAATCTGATATAAAATAAACTACACCATTGTGATAGACAGGTGTTTCTGAAAGAATACTTCTTGCTCCGGCGTTGATAGTTCCATTCTCTCTCCATGTCCCTTCTTTTGGTGAGTAGATTTTGCATAGAAAGTTTGAAGACCACTCGTATGTATCCAATAGTACCATCAAGAGATAGTCATCAGGAAACTTGCCCAAATCATTTTTGCATTCAAACACAATTTTGAAGTCTGAATCTTGGAGTTTTAAGCCCTCTGGCGCCGGAATCGAAAACCATGTTTTTGTTGTTGGATTGCAGATAAAGAGCCCAGTTTGATTGTCGATGATGTTTCTACAGCAAAGTAAGCCATTGCTAGATGCAAGAACTCGACCAGCATTTGATAAGAAATGTAAGGACTTGTAAGGGACAACAGTTGATGAAGAATCATCATAGGAGAGAGTGTGGAACTCAACTTTATCCTTATATCTCTGGCATGAATTGGGTTGAATAGAAAAACTTAAATCATCCTTTAACGCCATGTTTTTGCACTGTTCCTTTATGAAAAAATCTTCAGATAAAAGTTTGTTGGATGATTGGCAAAGTGAAGTGAACTTGATGATTGATTTTGCAGGTAACCATGAAAAAATGTTGAAAAGCTCTCCGTTAAACGCCATATCTACCGCCATATGAAACTGCAAGTGCAAAGGAAAATAGAAAACTCATGTATCAATCAATACAGCCGCAGAAGTTGGAAAAAACATAATCAAAGGTATAATGTATCAATAGCATTAGTGAACGTTCAGAAAACTCAATCTGATGAGCACCATGCGTGTATGAGGAATCCATAACATAGTGTTCATAAATAACTGTTAAAAAGGAAGATTCAAAGGCCACAGAATGTTTGTGTGTTTTGGGGGGTGGGGGGCGGGGTGTTTGCAGGGGCAGAGTTAGAATATAAATTTAGAGGGGGCAAAAATATGAATAAAAAAATTAATCAACTGATTTTTTTTTTTTAAAATTCCAGACTGCCATCAAACTTTTATGAGTCACGGAATTTCACTTTTTTTTTTTTTTTGCACAGTCCAATTCTAAAATATTGTCCCAGTAGATTAGGAGGTAAGTGCACCACAAATTTACAAAAAAAAAACTGAAAACAACAAAATTAGGGCCCCAATATAAAATTTGAAAGTTTGGGGAGACAAAATACCATAAATGAAACACAAATTTTGTTAGCATAGCAGCACTCATGGCTAATTCTTCCAAAGTCAGTGGGGGCAGGCACAAAACCCTATCAATAAACCCTATGCAAAACCTTGATTATCATATATTTAAATTGTGAAATAAAGTAGATATTGTATTATAGTAAATTTCCAAATTGTTAGGAAGTAGGAAGCCTTTATTAGTATATATAAAAAAATCTAACTAATACTTCAAATCTAATGTTTCTAATTGTCAAATCTAATGGTTGATGTTACGACTCAATCCGATGAGATTACCGTAACATAGTTATTAGAGATTGATGTTCCAATTTGTCATTCTACCCCCAAGACAAAACCAAGAGACCCATCATACCTATATTGTTTGTTCCTCCCTAACTTTCATTAAGAACACCAACAAAACTACAAAGTGAACATTGTTTTTTTTTCTTCTTTCTAGGGTAAGAACATCACCAGACCCTAACAACACATACAACAAAACATCACTACATAGAATATAAGCATTCAGATGTATTGATTCTGCTTATAAAGTGCGTACCTTTGACTTCAAGCGGGTTTTTCTCTCTCTCTCTCTCTAGCAATGATTTCTATAGACTGTTCTTCTTATAATACTGAGCTTCACACAGTGTGAGAGGAGGCAAATACAATACAGAGAGCTTTGAAACTGTTTATAGGGTTACAGTGATTCTTTATATTTATAGCATTCAGAGACTGTGATGATCTAATGAAGATTTTCCCATTAAAACTGGGATTATATATATTTTTAATCATTTTTGGAAACTAAAAAACAAGTTTCTATTGGACATGGATTTCTATTTGTACGAGGATAACTTTTATGTTACCTATTTGGTTTAGACTACGTTGTAGTAGTAGTAAGCAGTTGCTATTATTATTAATAACTTACTTGTCCAGCAAGTTTCATTATTAAGACCCCTATATCTAGGGCTCTAATGTTTTGGTAATGCTCCACCTGGCCCTAAATCTTCATTAGGTGGGCTTTCCGAAAGCCTATCTGATCCCTGGGTTGGGCTCCGCTTCATCGACAGACCCAACACAGCCCAAATGGGTCCTGCTTGTCTGCTGTGAAGAGCCAATAGCACCGGGTTCTGTTATGTAGGACGGTGGTGTATAATCCTTAAACGACGCCGTTTTATGGGGGCTGAAAAACCCAAAAAACAGGGAAAACGTTGCCGTTTTCTGCTTCTGCCAAACGCCAACGGTGAACGATCCCCAAAACGAAAAAAAAGACCTTCATCATTCTGTCTCCGTCTTATGTCTCCCCAGGTCCCCATCCTGCCACGGCTCGCCGTTCTCCGTTTGCTCTCTCTCTCCACACACAGTGACGTTTTCCTCAACCGCCCACTGCAACTCCCCCACTGCAACCGATTTGATTAATTTTTCGATTTTGATGCAGAATTCATGGTTGCGCATCAATGGACTGCGACCAAATTAGAGAATTCGTATGATTTTGGTTCGAATTATTTCTGATGCAGGTTTTGTTTGATTTTTGTTTTTTTTCGATAATATGTTGTAGACTGTGGGTTCATTCATTCTGATGTTGCGAGCAAATTGGAGTCTTTGCAGAATTTGTTTTAATTTTGTTACGGAAAATTACTACGTGTAGTTCGTGGTGCAGTGGTGGTGCGATTGTGTGTTGCCTAGGTGGCGCGGTGATGGTTGTGGTGCAATGGTGGTTGCTGATGGTAGTGCTTAGTGGTCCAACGGGTGGTGGCGACGGAGATGGAGATGGTGGAGACCGAGTGTCAAAGATAAAAGAAACAGAAAAATGCAACGTTTGGCCCTTCTTTAATGTTTTTCAGCCCATAGAAACGGCGTCGTTTAAGGATTAAACGCCAGCGTCCCACTTAACCGCACGCGGTGCTGTCGGCTCCTCGTCTCCCCCTCTCCCATCCACCCAAAAAGCAATTGGTGGCAGGATGTTTAGAATGCAGGGGATCCAATTGTCTGTAAGACTTTTATTGCGACAGACCGTGAAATTAGGCGTTAGACCTCTCCCTCGCTGGAGACCTCGAAGAGGAGAGAGAAAAACCGTCTGGCTGGTCTTTACGAACCAGATTTCAACTTCTCCGATGGTGGCCTTCAAGAACCTTCCTATTACTAATCTCTTACTCCTTACACTACTCTCCATGGTAATAAAACTTAGTTCTTTTTCGATGGGTGTGTCTATGTTTATGTTTATAAACATTTCAATTTATTATCATCTGGAGTGCTAGTGTGATCTTGGGTTTCTGGGTATTCTTCAGATCTATCTCAATTTCTTAGTTTGTCCTTGTAAAGTTATTATCTTTCTGAATTTTCCAACAAAATGGAAGAGAGACGAATTTGAAAGTTCTGGGTTTTTCTTTTCTTTTCTTTTATTTTTTTCCAGACTTTTTCCTCTTTCAGCAGATAAAATTATGTTGTGAATTGGTCTTATTAAGCTCAGTTTGTTCGATGCTTTAGCTTTCCTTGACCAGAAACATAAGCATCACGGTTTCAGTATATTCAAATTCACTCAAAAATCCCTCTTTTGTCATTAATCAGATAGATTTTACATAATTGTGTTTGATGTGTTTTGTTTAACACTTCCCTCAAACTCTCACTCTTTCCGTGAACGTATATTTGCACACACACATACTAAAAAAGCAGGGTTTGGGACTTGAGGCTGGAAATTCAGGGCAATACCCTTTAGTCTTGAGCACCTGGCCCTTCCTAGAAGCTGTTAGAGCAGCATGGAGGGCTGTTGATAGCGGGCTATCTGCAGTAGATGCAGTGGTGGAGGGTTGTTCGGCTTGTGAGAAACTAAGATGTGATGGCACAGGTGGAATTTGATTTCATATGTTGTTGACATGTTAGAAGAAAGATAAATATTGCGAATTCTATAAATGTGATATGTATTTATCCAGGAGAACTCTTTGTTTTGGCTACTGGGAAGAAATGTTCTTTCACATATCCTTGTCCACAGTTTTATGTAAGGATGATTTGTGAAACATTTTTCATTGAATACTTACTTTAGTTGCCTCTAGTGGAGATATGCCTCTACCTGTCAATTGGGCTGTACAATGACCCAAAAGCAGTTGACTAGAAGATTCCTTTAATGTGTTATCAAGAATGTAGTTTATCTAAAAATTATATTGCCTGCCATTTTGTATGACTATTTATGATGCGTTTGAGAGGAATAATAGTGAACTATGATATTTGAACTAGTAACAGAACAATTTATTTTCTCAGAGTATCCTATCTTAGAGGTCCTTCTGGAGAGAGAAAAATGGGGTCTGGGATTGGGTACACACATAAGCTTCAACGTTATTTGCACAAAGTGGAGAGATTTTTGGGTAGGATATAGAAAGAAGAAACCTGCATTAGCTTCTTTTTGAAGATCTCATGGTTTTGGCTTCTTTAAGGACTTCCTTAAATATTGAAATTGTTTGGGATGTATGTCTGCATGTGTGTGCATGAGAGATAGAGAGAGATGGACATGATTTAGGTTCTTGTATGTTATGAGGATGTAACTAGATTCCTATTGAGATACACCGTGACTTGTTTACTCTTTCGCATGTCGGTGACAATATAGTTTTTTGGATGGAGTATTGCTAAAAACATGGTTTATTTGGCATCACTTCTTTTGTATTTAATTTTGTTTTGATATTTGCATTCACAGTTGGACCTGGTGGAAGTCCAGATGAGAATGGAGAAACTACACTTGATGCCATGGTCATGAATGGGGTAACTGCTATTTGCTTGTTTCTTACATTGCAATACAAGTTCCCCAATGATGAAAATCTAAGCATATAAATGGACAATCTATTTTGGGTCTGCTAAGACGTGTAGGTAACAATGGAGGTTGGAGCTGTTGCTGGTATGAGGTATGTGCGAGATGGCATCAAAGCTGCAAGATTAGTGATGCAACATACTGAACACACTATGCTTGTTGGAGAGCAAGCCTCGATTTTTGCCATTTCAATGGGTCTTTCCGGACCCACAAACCTTAGCTCAACAGAGTCAATTGATAAGTGGGTTAAATGGAAAAAGAATAACTGTGAACCTAATTTTAGGAAAAATGTTCTACCCGTTGATAGTTGTGGTCCTTATCATCCAAAGGATTCTTTGGATCTTGGCAAGACAACATGTGTAATGGACAATCTCGTTGGAGCTATTGGATCCAGATCATCTCATGTTGGTCACCACAACCATGACACAATATCAATGGCTGTTTTTGATAAAGTAAGTTGTTGGTCACTCCAGACTTCCCTTTTATGGACTTGTTTCCATTGAATGTAATCCTTCATTTCTATACCTTATTCAGATGGGACATATCGCTGTCGGTACATCAACTAATGGGGCCACTTTCAAGATTCCTGGCAGGTAAAAATATTACAATTTTTTTGGAATGATTTTATGGCTAAATTGCATTCTCCATGCAAGGTGCATCAAATATTTATAAATTATTGTCATCCTCATCATTTTCATTGACTCCGGTGGTAGTCTTCCCAATGTGTTCATAGTCATTAGATTAATAATAGAAGAACATTGCTAAGAAAATAAAGTACATCTTATTTTCCACTATCCGTCCATTGAAAGATATGCTTAAAATTTTTAGAAGATTTATAATGCTGAAGCAAAGTTTTTAAAATCGAATATACTTGTATAGGAGCCACCAACAATAAGAAACAATCCAAAATATGATGTGCACAATCTTGATCTTTGTTATGTCATGGACACAAGACAATGATGCACTACAAGCAAGTCATGGTGAAGTCAGTTATTTTTACAATGACTCCGTTAGATATAATGTAGATCCCATGTAGAAAGTGAATTAAGGCCACTCAATATAGTGAGGACATCGAAATTGGTTCGTGTAAGTTTTTTTTTTTTTAAATAAGAAACAACACTTCCATTTCATTGAAAGATGAAAAATTACATAAATGGTGGATAAGAAATCCACTCAAAAATTGGTTCCTGTAAGTGAAATATTTCACTGGAGTAAATTGTTATTTAAGAAGGCGTATTAACATTACTTGAGAAATGATTACGTGTTCCACTTGCTTTTGTTCTTTTGGTATTGTTGTGCAGACATTTAGTTATAATGTTTTGCTGAAAGAAATTCACTGTTTTGGGTCTAGGGTTGGTGATGGACCTATTGCTGGATCTTCATCATATGCTGATGATGAAGTTGGGGCATGCGGTGCCACTGGGGATGGGGATATCATGATGCGCTTCCTTCCATGGTAGTGTACTGGAACCTGTTGTTTTGAATCTTGATTTCCAGAATCTCTATCATTTAACTACTTGATTTTTCTATTTGTGAGCATGATAGTTGTCATAACTCAAAGTCTAAACAGCTCAAACAAATTTTAATAGTGCTCATCAACAGCTTTGTAATTTGTATTATACAAGGTGTAATCTGTTTCCCAATTTATTTTTAGCCATCACATCCAATAGTGTGATAGCAGAAAATTCATTTGGACCAGAATAAACAGCTCAAATTGCCCGAAATCTAATTTATGATTTGAATATGAACCTCTTGTGTTTTATCTAATTTCAGCTATCAGGTCGTTGAGAGTATGAGGTTGGGAATGGAACCCAAGCTTGCGGCCAAGGATGCAATATCAAGGATTGCAAGAAAATATCCTTCCTTTATAGGAGCTATTTTTGCAGTGAATAAGAAGGGTATGCATGCAGGTGCGTGCCATGGATGGACGTTTCAGTATTCGGTGAGAGGCCCTGTAATGGAAGATGTGGTGGTATTCACTGTTCTTCCTTGAAACCAAATGCCTGATTCAGTGATTCTAGTGAATACTCTGTTGCGCAGTTCATTTTTCTCGTGCTATTTGGGGGGCTTGGAATATGCAAAGAATAATTAGTACAGAATTGTGTTAAGAATGAATGTTTTGAAATCACTTATGTGAAGAAGGAAATCTCTCTCTCTCTCTCTCTCTCTCTCACACACACACACACCCCTCTCATGCACGTGCGAGCTACTTGGTTTTCGCACCATCCAGTGTGAATCTTAGCCATCTTATGGCTCTTGTTGTCTCGCTTGTTAGATGAATTACCTTGAACATGTATCCTATCAAGTAATAACAGATAGCTGCAGCTAAATTTCCAAATGATTTGGGGAAACATCAAGCCAGTTTTTGGTTGCCAAGTACATGGGCTTGAACAAATGAATGATGGCCCCTGGTTTATTTAGCTAAGGCGACTTAGTGCACAAGGTTTGCATCACTATTGAGTTTGAGAAAAGTTAAATGTATGCAGTTTTATCTTGCATGCCGAGAGACTATTTTTGTGACTAGAACACTAGTGTTCAGGTAACAAATTGAGCCAGCTTACCGCCAAGTCTAAGGCCCACCACTTTTATTTATCTATGATGCCAAAAACAAACCCCAGAGCTCTCCTGTCAAGTTGCCTTTCATATTGGACAAGTAGAGGGTTATCTCCAGCATTGAGGCAACCAAAGAAAGTATTCAAAATAGACCAGTGAGCAGGTATGTCTTTGAAGCTTTAGAGGAGTAAAAACTAGCATGCACTCTCTGGATGATGGCTCAAAAATGCTGCAAAATTGCTCATAGCAGGTTGGTTGGACCAATGCACTTCACAGAATGGGAGTTTGGGCATCAATTTCAATTTGTAGAAAATGTGAGTATGTATTGAAACTTCAATACATTCTACCCACCTAGGTGATCAAGGGTAGGGTTGATGATAATTGGGCCGAGTCTGTCAAGTTTATTTTTTTAAACGAGTTTAAAAAATTATTTAAGCTCTGCTTGTGTAAAAAATGAGTTGAGTTCAAGTTAAGTTTAAGTAATTTAACTATTTTACATAAAAGAGCAGAATTTTACGAATTCTAACTGAGTTTTTTTTTTCTTATTTTTTTGAACGAATTAACAAAATTATTCAAATTTGACTCCTTTAAAACACGAGCCGAGTCCAATATGAGTTGAATTTAACCCAAGTCCAAATAGTTGACTTTATTATCAGCCCTAGTTAAGGGATCAATCATGATCCTTGTCTAACGAAAAAGCTATCACCCATACAAAACCTAAGAAATCAAAAAACTAGTTATATCAAGAGAGATGTAACTCAAAAAGAAACAAAAGACTATAATTTCTGATTTTGATCGGCATTGGTAATTTTTAACACATCATGGATAACAAAATTGTTACATGTTATTTTGAGTTCGTGTTGAATATTAGTCAATTCTGATCCAACTCTAATCGTGTCGTGTTGATTCATATAACCTATAAATAAAAATTCAACGTTTAGATTTAAATCTAAAATTTTATTATCACTTAATCGAACATATACTCATATTTTTTTTTATAAATTAAAAATTAATTTAATAAATATAATAATAAAAATAAATAACTTTATTTTTTTTACAAAAATTATGTCACTATCTGATAAAATATAATAAAAAATTAATATTTTATTATTACAATATTATTTAATCATATCAATTTTAATGTTGTTCGTGTTTAACAATCATTTGATCTATTTATTATTCGTGTTAATAAATTATTTTATTTGTAGGTTCGTATTGAAAAATAACTAATTCTAACCGACTAATTTCCTATTAATTTTGAATCGTGTGTTTTATGTCGTGTTAGAAATTAAATATTTTTTTTGGAAAGTTCGAATACAATACCTTAGAATTTTATGGGTATGTGATTAGCCAACCGCTGCCCTTAATTAGAAAGCTAAATATTTACTTAAGCCAAATTGACGATGGCTATCAATGTATCTTAATCTGACGCCTATTCTTGAAATGAATATTATCTTAATCTTCGTATTCAACGCGATGTTTCCTTAACCAACATTGAAATATCGAGAATTCAGCAGAGAATCATCTTACAAAGTTCTGATTTTTTTTCTACATAGTATCTGCTATATTTATGGAGAGAGACGGAAATGTTGTTGTTGGAGATAATTCTTCCCAGAACGTACCGTTTAATCAGGAAGATTCAATTTTGAGCTCGAATTTTTTCTTGGATCATGTTGGGGAGGTTGTTCTCGCCTTTAATTCTGATGGGTTGTCTTGGAAATTGGTTGAATCTTTGAATAATGTAAGTTCTATTTTAGAGAGCATTATATTTCATTATTTTGTTTGATTTTCTCTGATTCAGAATAAATTCGTACTTATTGGGGCTGATTGGGTAGAAAATTATGTGTTTCTTATCATTTGTACTTGATATATGGATCGTGATCGAAATATACGGAGATATGAATGTATTGGTATGTGAGTTTAATTTGCCAAATGTACTGATTTCTTACCGGACTTGATATTGGGCTGATTGAGAAAAAAGGATTTTGAAAAGGTTTTGTTGTTTGATTCCTGATTGAAGACTCTGGTCATTTTGATATAACTTTTTTAATTGTTCGATGGTCGGATTTATTGGCCGATTGGGTGAATGAGTATCTTATTTTTTTGTTTCTCTTATGTTGTAAGGTTAAAACCTGTGGCCTTTTGGAATTTATGAGCTGAGAACTACCCTCTTGAAAAACCTTGGTTATAGTGAAGATGCTTCTTTGCATTTGGTTTGCCAAAGAAAGTATGAAAAAAGAGAATATCTTTGATAAATTTATGCTTGTAATGGAATTTGCTTCTTCTTCCTTTTTTTTTTTTTTTTTTTTGCATAAATGAAGAACCACTTTGACAATGTTTGGGTGCACTTTAGAAGACGTGATGGTGGTTTTATGATTGATTTGAAAAATGTGGCAATATTGATTTTTAATTTTTGAATTGGGTTCTATGTGATCAAATTTTGCCTTGAAGATCCTAATGGTAACCTGATGAAAAATTCAACATTGGTTGAGCTGGCTTTGTTATGCTGATGATGAAACATGAAGTTACACATTGATGGCAGAGACATGCTGTAATGATGTTGAAGAAACTGTACATTTGTATTGCCAATACAGTTGGCTTTAGTTATCTTGAGGAACAAAGAAGAATCCTAGCCATTTATATATAGTGGGAGTGACATGATCTAAGATTTATGGTGTGGCAAGTACATGGGGACCCATTGGAGTATTCCTGATTGGAAGTTATGGATCTAGATAGGTTGGATTGTAGCTGGCTTGATATAGATGTGACAAGGATTTTTTGAGTTAGGTTGATTATTTGGAATACAAATTGTTGTTCTGATAGATATCTGGATTCTTCACCTAAAAATGATGGTTCATCCTGTAATACCTTACCTGACCTGATTGCCAATGATCTATTACCGTATCTGTTCCTTAGAATGCTAAAAAAACTCTCACATCACATGTTATATGCTAATTTTTCTTGGATGCTTATTCTACAAAGTCTTATTTCCTTTTTGATGGGATATCTAAGCTAACACTAGGATATCTTTCTCACTTGTGACTATGTTGACCTTTTATATTGTGCTGGCAGGATGGATCATCTTGTTTGGGCATAAAATTAGTTCCGAAGAGTGAAACTGCAATCAAATTCTCTGGTGTGTATGCTGTTGAATTTATCGGTTGGGGTTTGGTACATGAATCTGTTCTTGCAAATGCTGGAGGACGCCTTTTGGGTCGTTCTTCTGAGGTTATAGTCTTTATGTTATCTTGAATTTGCACTATGATTGCTTTTATAGATAGATAATGGTCTGTTCAATGCTGCAGATGTACCGATTTACAGTGCATGGTGTCCAGAGATCAAAGACTCACCAATCTCTTTTGGCCCCTTCTGTATATACGTTTGGTCACAAGGATATGCAGACATGTCAAATGTGGGTGAATCGGGTGAATGCTTCCCTAAGCATGGAAGCAGACCGACCTAAGAGTCTTTTGGTATCTTTAATAAGTGGCTATTACTTCTGTATTTGGTTCTTGTGGTTATCAGTTTTTTCTTTGTTTGAAGGTGGAAATGGAAATAAATAATAAACTAGCAGCAAATATTTTTTCAGACTTTATTTGTGACTGGCTAGGTTTTTGTTCATCCAAGGAGTGGGAAAGGAAATGGATGTATAACTTGGGAAGCAGTGGCTCCTATATTCTCTCATGCTAAAGTGAAAACAAAGGTATGTTCATGGCATACGAACAGTAGATCTCTCTCTCATTGTTGTATTGCATAGTCATTTCTACGTTTTCTTTGCATTTTATATCTGTCTGATTCATTGTCAAGCTGCAAAATGAATGTGTAGGGCGTTCCAAAAAAAATTTGAACTTTGAGTTAGGGTTACATATCTGGCTTTGGCAGTCTCTGGGATTGAATTGGACTTGCGATATGGCCTGTTTCTAAACATTAACTGTTTTAAGTTCCAAAAGTTCAAATATGAACATGCATAGACAGATCATTAATGAGGCGTAATAGCCTCCAATATATAGCGGTTATTATTTTATTCTCATGTTGGGTTGCTTCTAGAGTTGGTTAAAATGTAAAACTCAATTTAGCTTGTGGTATCTCTATTAGTAAAGGCAGATTGATATGTATTGGGAAGACATTTTTCGATAAGAAGCATTGGGAAGGCATGGATAAGCTTAGATATGAAGACTTAATATTTCACTAATTTATAAATTTAAAATTGGGATTGATATGATGTATTTAAATGTTGGTAAATTATTTTGGAGTTTATCTTTTAATTTTATTGGTAGATTTAGATTATGAATCTGGATTTACTGTTTTGTCATTTGGAGCGATGTTTTGGGTAGACTTTGATTGATTGATTAACAAATGTTGCTGCTTCTTCCAAAATTTGTATTCTTATTTTTCTTCTTAATTCTTCTGACCTCTTTCTCTTATGCTTCTTCTTAATTTCCTTCTTATACAAATTCTTCAACTCCATTTGCATTAACTGGTATTAGAACCTACCTCAGTTGGTCTTAGCGCTATCTTCGATCTATATTGCAGATCCTAGACATCGAATTTAATTTGAATATATTATTGACTACTAATTTGATGGGGATTCTGCATAAATGGGCTTGGCTTTTTGCATTGCTAAGGTCTCTCATAGGATGCATTGCATATTCCATTTGAAACTCCAGATATCATAAGTTTTCTCTTATTTATTCTTTATGCTTGAGCTTGGAATGGTCAGTTTGTTTCCCTTAGTTTGCTAAGGTTACTACTAGCAGGCAATGGGAGTCGATATACTTTATGTTTCTGGAACATAAACCAGTTTTGACTGAAAATAACAATGCCCTTAAATGTGGAAGTGCTAGGCGCCTAGGAAGACATCAAATCATCATTTTGTTTTGCATGGGATGTAACCTGCACTTTTTTCAACTTTGTGAATTGGATATTTCTAGTTTACATTGCATTCAACTTGCATAAATGTCAATGATTGTTCCTTCACGTATGTTTTTAACTTGTTCATCAGGTGATTGTAACAAAGAGGGCTGGACATGCTTTTGATACAATGGCCTCTATTACAAACAGGGAGCTTAATTCGTATGATGGTGTAGTAGCTGTTGTAAGTAATGAGATTCCTTCATGTGCTTCTTTTGCAAGCTAGTGTTATGGTTGTATTTAACTCTCTCTAAAGTACTTGGAGCTTTCTTCTACTGTGCAATTCTGCTTTGGATCACCTTTTTTATAATATTTCTGATTATGCTTGGTGAATCATTTATCTGTCTATATTTCCTATTTTCGTCTGTGAAGTTTCTCAATATTTATGCAATTCTAATGAATAGTTTGGGTTCTGTATCTCATGTAAAATACTGTCCAAACTTCTGCAATTTCTGATGAAGTCAATATCATCACTGACAGATTTTGAATGGTCAAAACTAATTTTGATGCCAAAAGGAGAAAACGTGGCCAAACATCTGCACTTCTTAAGAGTGTGAGGTCAATAAAATTCTTGAAATTTTGGTTTTGCTAGTAATCACTTAAATATGTATGGAAAGTGTATATGTAATTTGACCATGAACCCTTACTCCAAATTGATTTAGTCAGCATCCAGCACTAGTAACACTTGTACAATAGGGTGTATATAAAAGTTTTGTAGTGAGAACTTGCTAGTAGTCCTTGACTTCTTGTTTCATAATGCCTACATCATCTGTCCATAAGTGGCACAAACAAATTTCATAGGATTCCAATATTACAGAAGGTTACTTAGGTCAAGTTATTTCCTTGGTGGTGGTTTCATCTTATAACTTAGGCTTTTGCTCTATCTGTTCTGTGGCATGGTGGTGTTGATGGGTTACCCTTCAAACATTAAATTCATGTGGTTTCTCAATCTCTGATTTGCGTTTCCAACACTTCTAGTTCCAAGTGATGCTTCTTGCTAGTTTACTACTTCTTAGATTCTGCTATCTGATTATATCTAGGGAGGTGATGGTTTCTTCAATGAAATTCTCAACGGAATTCTATTGTCAAGGCACAAAGCTCCTTACCCACCATCCCCTAGAGATTCCAACCATTCTGTTGAGAGTGACAGCAAGGTCTTGGTTCATGATGCAAACGGAGCTGTTGTGGAGACCTCTGATCATAATGAAGACCAATCTCCTCTTCTCCTGAGTTCAGGACCTGATGGAACACAAGTCACCAATTTCAGTACGTACACTAAAAAGTGAATACAGTACAAGTCTTGCGCTATATGTGATTCACTTAACCGTGACAGGCTCTTATCATGGATGTATCTGGATTTACAGGAACTGAAGATAATTCTTTCCACACAGGTTAGTTTTCATTTATAATCTGATGTGATTATATTTGAATTAGTATCCTGCAATTCAAGTTTTACCTCACTAAACTTGAACTCCCACCTAATTTTCTTCTGCCAGAAATAGCTATATTAATGATGCTTATTTCTGATGCTTCTGTTTTGCTTTGAGCAGATCGAGATCCTGAGTTTTCTGTCCCAAATGCATGGTTCAGATTTGGAATTATCCCAGCAGGTTCTACTGATGCTATTGTGATTTGGTATTTTTTTACTTTACCTTGTGTACTGCAACTTTCCCTTTTTATGTCATATTGTCAAGTTCATCTCTGTTGAACTTTGTTTTTTCACTTCTTATTAGCATACTGTTTTTGTATCTTTATTGATAGTCACCGTTTGACCTTTCTTTTATTGTATAAGCTTAAGAGGTGTTTGTTCAAAGCTTACATACATAACAAGGCTCATCATTCAGATGAAGCTTAGATGAGAGATCTCAAACTGGGTTATCATTTGCATGACAAGTGAGAATATGCAAAATGCTATTGCCTGTATGAACCCTTTCACATGGTTGATGCATTTATTTTTCTTATCTGTGAAGTTGAGCCAGTGTTGGAATTAACTTTTTTGGACTGCACTTGCATTTGTGTTTGGCACAATTGCAAAGCTCTTTCATTCTAGTTTCAGTCATAATCAATCCAGGACCAGTCATTAAGTTTACAGACTTTGTTCCAAATATATATTGTGTTGGAATGTGTGCATTGGTTAAAGATTGGAATGTGATTCTAAGATATCATTGGTGATAGGAATTTTCTTGAATGGTCAGATTTGGCATAAGTTGCATAAGCATGTCTTCAGCCTTCAAGCCGACATGGCCTGATAAAACTCGAAGACAGGATCATTGAACAAGTAAACGGGATCACAAGCCTGTGAACATTACATCAGACACACATGCATGACTGCAGGTGTAGATATGTGCTTTTGTGCTGGTGCAGATCTGTGTTGGCCCTCTGGTAGTCATCTTCATAATTTTTGATGTCTGAGGAAACTAAATTACTCGCCTGTTGGTTTGATGGACGTTGGAAGCATTGTTTTCTGTCTACTCTGTCATGTGAGGAATCGATTACAAGTGATGTATACCATTGCAGTGCCTGGGATTGAGAAAACTAAATTGATAACTTCTTCCCACCCCGAGCCAGTCTATATATGAGTTAGTTAATTTGCTATCTACTTCAAGGCATTAATTGTAACCAAGACATTGGCAGAAAAAATGCACTTGCTTTCTCTTTCTGTGCATAAATCTGATATATACTCATCTTAAATTACTGACATCCAACTAACTTATGGGGTATATATCACCAGAAATCTCATAAACTGTAAAAATCAACATCATGTGATTTTCAATTTTGATATGTTAATAGAACTTTTATTCGATCCTAATAGCTTGCAGAGCTAAGTTTTGATATCATTGTTTTCTGGAGTATTTAGATATTAGGGTCTTAGTGAAGGGTGCCTTGGCTTTCATCTTTGCAGTACCACTGGAACTCGAGATCCTATAACATCTGCATTGTATATTGTCCTTGGTAAAAGGATGTGCCTTGATTTAGCTCAAGTCGTGAGATGGAAAACAACATCTACATCAAAGGATGAACTTGAACCATGTGTACGCTATGCAGCTTCTTTTGCAGGGTAATTTTTCACTATGACTAATATCATATTCTAAAATGAGTGGTTGTGTGTGCTTGTTTTTCTCTTGGCTGGTTCAAACTTCTGTCGTTTTGGTTCCTCATTGTGGAAAGTGTTCCCAGTGTGCTTCCTATTTCTAATGTTTTTAGGAAGCCATGCTAGGGGCTTCCTAGTGCATACCTCAGTGGGGAAGGTTCCTAGCGTGCTTCCTAGTGCATATCTGACAAGTTGAAAGAGTTCCTAGCATTCCTTTTAAGTTATACCATCGATTTTCATCTTCTCAGTTTATTTTTGTAATCTTATCAGGTATGGATTTTATGGTGACGTTATTACAGAGAGTGAAAAATATCGATGGATGGGCCCAAAGCGATATGATTATGCAGGAACAAAGGTGTTTCTTAGGCACAGGTATGACTTCTAGTTGCCTGTATTTGCTTATATTGGCACGGCATAGACAGTAAAAGCAGTAGGAGTTGACCTCTATTGTGTTTCCTTATTTAATCATGTTATAGGCATATTCATATGACTGCTAAACATAGGGGTTACGGTGCCATTAGTGATGCTGTCTTTTTGAGTGATCTTAGGGGTCTGACTCATACAAAATATTAAAAGGGATCACAGTACGATTGTTGAAATGTCAGGGGGTACTCATGTTATGTTTTCAAACATCAGGTCGTAAAAAGGAACATATCTGGGGCATATCTTTATATCCTCTGCATAATTAGGTCATTGCCCCACTGTTATTAGAATCGGACCGGACCGGCCGATCGGACCGGTTCAACCATGAACCGGGACCCTAACCGGTCCGGTTCCTTAGTTGAACCGTTTAAGGAAGCGAACCGGCTAAAAACCGGAAAACCGGCCGGTTTTTAACAAAAATCGGTTTTAAAAATTAAATTACATAAATAAATTTTTTTGCCCTAAATCAGTAAATAGTTGATTTTTTTTAACCTTATTCTTGGAAAAATTATAAATGACACCCCTTTTTTTTCTTTATAATTTACTTGAACCTCTTTACTTTGCTTTAAAATAAAATAACCCCCACTTTGTTACTTAATTTCATTAATTTTATGACAAATTTTATGTATTTTATACATATTTTATATTTTTTAGCTAAATTATTAAGTTTTATAATTATTATATATATTTTTTTATTATATGACCGGTCCGACCAGTTGACCCAACGGTTGAACCAGTGAACCATTGACCCGGTTCCCTTGTAGGTTCGATGATCGGTCCGGTTCTGATAACATTGCATTGCCCTGTGCTGGTCCCACTAGTCAAATCTGATGAAACTATGGACCTCTTGTAAGTGCAACCTCTGACGTCATTTGAAATTTCCCCCCCAAAAATGGCCATCTTCATACTCAAAACTTGTTCCTTCCATGCTGAGTATTATGTATCATGGTTCAAAGTCGCGGTATCGGTCATCGATTCGGAGGGCACTGAGATACATCAGTCGCTATGTCGCGGCACGGTATTGGCCGATACGCTCAAAATGCTAGATAGAAAGTTTAAAAAAATTTGAAAAAATCATGGAAAAATCCTACAAAATATAAACATCATTATTTATGCATCATATCCCCAAAATACGTTATTTAACACATTCAAAATAATCAAAAGAAATTACAAGGGCGCTATTGAAATTATTGGTCGTATGATCCCAACCAATGTCACTTTTTTTTGGAGCCATTCTAAAAAATTAAGAATCGAATATCACTATATTGTTAAAATTTCAATATATGTTACTATAATTATTTTGAACATACTAATAATTAATATTAAAAATTTTAAAATAAAAATAACAATTTTGCACATACTAGATAGTAAATTAGATAAATACATTAGATCTCAATGCTTCTAAATAATATATTAATGTGAATATAAATATATCTTTTTTTACTTTTAAATTTTATGAAAATACAAACATTTTATCTATTTAGTATTGGTCTAATATTTTGATTACAAAATATTTTATCCATTAAACTAAATAATAGAGAGAAATATAAATTAAGGAAGTGAAGACTGAAAAAATAAAACAAAAATATTGGCTTGTTGGTCTCAGTTTGAGTTAGAGAGAGAGAGAGAGATAAGCAGGAGCCAGCGAGGGGGAGTTAGATGAACAAACACAGAAAAAAGAGAGCTAGACGAACAAACACATAGAAAGAGAGAGCGAACAGAGGAGCTAGAGAGAGAGTGTGAGCGAGCGAGAGAGAAAGATCACAAATATCACATGGAACTCGAAGCTTTGCTGCCTGCAATCGAGATGCTCTGTTGCTGTGATCTAGGGTTTTAGCGATGGGTATCTGCTGCAAAGAAGAAGAAGTAGCTCTGTAAGACTGAGAACTGAGAAAGGTGATTCTTTAGAGGATTTACGGGTATGTGTTGTTAATTTTCTCTTTCCTTGATCTGTTTACATAATGGCAAAAAATTCTAATTTAGGTTTCAAAACAATTGGGGTAAAATTTTGTTACTTCTTCCCTTATACATTTTGTTTGGCACACTTTGTTTTCTTGGTGTGGTCGATCGAACAATTCGCATCCAAATCAGTATGACTCGGATGGAAATCGGCCGAATCAATCGAGTTGGTTCCGAGTTGAACCAAGTTGGGCCGAGTTGTACCGATTCGGAACCGAGTTAGACGAAAATCATGTTTTTTCGTAACGTGTATCAGTATCGTATTGTTGGTGGCCGAGGCGGATACAACTCGGCCGAGTCGTATCAGTCTCGGCCGATACCTTGAACCTTGTTATGTATTGGAGACCTGGACAGCCTGCATTTATATCCTACTTGACATTATCTTATTGGTATCTCCTTCCCTACCTCCTCCCCCAGTTTTTTGTGCCCAACCAGCAAGGGGAGGTGGCACTATGAAGAACTTCGTTATAGTTTACTGCTGGAGTGGGTTTGGCCCCTCAACTCTTACTTTGGGGCTTCTTCTGACACACTGGACTACAGCCTAGAAGGCCTGTATGAGGATAGACCTAACACTTTTCCATTTTTGTAATTTATTCTACTTGTTAACAACTTTTCAGGGCCTATGAAGCAGAAGTAGCATATCTAGAAGTTACATCAGAGAAAACGAACTTGACTCCTGAGATAGGACCTCGGGCCAGTAGGACAAAAGCAATGTGGGGCCTTCCTAAAAAATCTGAAAGAGTGGCTTGTCGTGCCAAATGCAATGTTTGTAACACAAAACCTATCCACATGTCGGCAAGACTTCCGACCGCATTGGCAGACTCACAGGAAACACAATGGTTGAGGTCCAAAGGGCGTTTTCTAAGCATCGGTGCTGCTGTAATCTCCTGCCGAAATGAAAGAGCGCCGGATGGTTTGGTGGCTGATGCACACCTTTCAGACGGCTTCCTTCATCTTATATTGATAAGAGACTGTCCTCATGCATTTTACTTGTGGTATTCTCTCTTTCTCTCACTTAATTGTCTGGTTCTCCTGGGCTTTTATGGCTGCCTTCATCAATCACCTAGGGATGCTAGGGTAAGGCAATTGATAATGTTTGCAATCGCCAGTTTAATTGCTCTAAAACTTTTTGATAGGAAAAAACATCTTAGGATATGCCTGAACTTCAAATTGGTGGGACGTAACGGAGCGTAAGGTAAGCGCATTGTGGTCCTCTTTCCACTATCAAATCGGTCCTGATGAAAGAATGCTTCTTTTTAAAAAAAATAAAAAAATTTCAATAAACTTATTTGGCAGTTAAAATGTTGTAATCAATTACAAATCATAATCCCTCATAAAAATCAGATGGCCCAGAGTCAAGGTTAATGCCATTCCCTTTGTAACTAACTAATAAAAGGCGAAATGATCTTAGAAACCAATCGCATTCTGGTAAAAAATCACAGTATCGGATTCGCCTAGAAGAAAAACAAAAATTACATTTTCATTATGGTCTTAAGAACGACAATTAGTTAAATACGTTCGTATCGCCGGAAAAGTGAAGGGGTCAACATGTCAAGTTTTACTACAATTACGTTATATTACACAGGACCTATTGATGGTGGGTTTTGTTTTAGTCCAAGTCATATCTACAAATATGCACTGCTTATAGGGAAATTGATTCAAACTTTTTCATCATGATTGATTGAAATATGCAGGCACCTTATGCAGCTTGCAAAAAAGGGTGGAAACCCCCTGGATTTTGAGTTTGTGGAACACCATAAAGTATGTTTTTTTCCAACCCTTTTCTTCCCTCATTTTCTCCCTGTTGTGAAAATCACATCTCTGTTCTGATCTTTCTATTGAAGTATAAATACTTTTAGTTACAATCTCTTCAACTATTGAAGCTTTTAGAGGAGATAGTTGTTTAACACTTTCAACATTTTTTGTGCAGACCACGGCTTTCACATTCACTTCTTTCGGCAAGGAAAGTGTATGGAACGTGGATGGTGAGCTCTTTCAAGCACACAAACTCTCAGCACAAGTATTTCGAGGCCTTGTTAGCTTATTTGCTTCTGGCCCTGAAGTTTAGTGAAACACCTCAGAAAATGGTGTCTGTATATCACTGCTCTAAGCCTCTAACAACTATGTTTTGTAATGTTATGTATGCAATCAATAACATTATGCATCAATTGTAGTGTATCTTAATTGAGCTTTTTTACCGCCCAGCTCTTTGTAATCTATTTCTGGAATTGAATGAGCAACTTCTTGATAAATCTAATTATTTGATGGAGAGAAGTTCTTGTAGAATTTTATAGAGTAAACTATACATATAGTTCTTAAACTATAACATTTGTGTCATTTAAGGGGTTGTTTGGTAACATGGTGCCTTTGTTTTTTTTTTGGTAAAAAAAAAAAAAAAACACGTTTTGTGAATGTTTTAATTTTTTTTTACTAGGTCAAAAAGTGAAAACATCAAAAAAAAAAAAAAACATGCGTGCAGTATAAAAAGTCAATATTAATGACATCATGACTTCAATCTTCCTTAGGGAAAAAAAATGGATTTTAGTACTTGAGTATAAAAAATCATCCCCCTTTACTTACTTTTTTTCTCTCCAGATCTCCTCTCTTTCTTCCTGTCTTGTGCCTTCTCTGTTTTGGTTCTGTTTGGTGGTGGTGATGGGTTTTAGGGGGTGGTGGTGGGTTTGGGTAGTGGTGGGTGGGGTGGGAGCAATGGTGGATTTCCGGGGAAGGGGGTGGGTTTGGGTGGTGATGGGGTTCAAGGGATGAGGGTGGGTTTTGGTGGCGGTGTTAGGTGTTTGGTGGTTGGTGGTAGTGTTGGGTGGTGAATTTTGGTATAATACCAAATATATTTTTTATTTTTCTTTTTATAATTTTTTAAATATAAATGATTATCAAACATGTTTTATATTTTTAATTTTTATAATTATAATTTTTATTTTTTATAAAAAAAATATAAAAACGAAAACGTTATCAAACGAACGTTAATAAACTTCAATTTTTTTATTTTTTTTTTGGTATCAATTGAGCCTTTGAACTTTAATTGTGTTAATTGAGCCATTATGTCAGTCTCTATTAGATTTTTTTAATAGAAAGTAGTGAAGTGTGTCACTCACGTGATACAAATAGTTAAAATAAACTACACATATGGTCCTCAAATTATGATCATTATGTCGATTAAACACCCATTTTTTTTTTTGTCAATTAAATCTCTAAACTCTTTAATTCCATTAATTGAGCTCTTCTGTCTTTTTGTGTCACATAGTCACCTGAGTGACACATTCTAACGAAGATAAACAAAAAGGTTCAAATGATACAATTAGAGAGTTCAAGAACGTAATTGAAACAAAAAAAGTTTAGGGGCTTAATTGATACAAAAAAGGTTTAGGGGAATAATTGACAAAAAAAAAATTTAAGAGTTTAATTGACACAAAATACATAGTTTGAAGATCATATGTATAGTTTGCTCAATTTTATATAAGGGTGTATTCTCTGTATTTTGAATTTATCTAGGTAACCAACGAGTTGTTGGTTCGGTGGATAAGAATTAAAATTTTCTTGCTCAATATTTGGATTCAAGTCTCTATAGTTACGGTAGTTCATTGGGGTTAAATCTACTCTTCAGTGCTCAGAACACACAGTGGGACCTCAACTTCGGCCCCGATATTGGTGCAATGGATCTGCCACAGATAGCTGTGTGGTGCTGAACAACAATGCTTTCAGATGGATATGTGAAGTAGTTTATCTATACATCCATTTTCAGAATTAAATTTTTGTTTTATCTTGGTGAGTATTCCAAATTAAAGCTTTGAAAAATTCCCATGTCTGCCCAATGAAGGTAGATGTATCTCAAGCTTTTTAAGTGTAACATTTTTTTCCTTGGATTTATGGATTCTAGTTTTATTTTTTTGACTACAATAAGACTTCACATTATTCTACACTACTGGGGAGAGGGAAGAGGTCATCCCGGCCTGGTGTGATGACTTTGCCCGGTTAGGACTGACCAGGCCTGGCCTCGCCCGTTGGGGAAGGGCCATGGGCAGAGGTCATCCTCACCTGAAAGAAATATTGGGTGTAACGGTGACATCACGTTATCATTGCCGCAAAGTCTTTTGATCTCTTATTTTGATCCCTTCATTTCTTCAGTGTAGTGTAGCATTACTAGATAGGCACATGGCACCCTGGATAACCCAACGAGCACGTCAATACTTTTTAGACATGAAAGAATTCAAAAGCTGGGGACACCCCAAAGGACTTGGAAACAAGTATATTATTGGTTGTTCATTGTAGTAGTCATAGTCTTCTAAGTTAAGTCCTTCCCAATTAAAAAGTATCAAAGTCTCCCTCAATTGATTTCTGTTTGAGAGGGGATGACTCCAAAGTCTTTCCCTTGAATTTTCCGCTGGCCAGCAATGAAGATGAGATTAAAAGAATACATATAGCATCCTTTTCTTTATCTGCATATCTCCCCCACCAAGGAGCATCATTCCAACACCATCAACAATGTCTACTCCAATGCAGTAAGCTCTCTCTCTCTCTCTCTACATATAACAATTTTTGAAGCTGATCAGTAATTGTTCATGTTACATATACATTCTTCTTGGATTGTAACAGTGTCAAAAGTTGATGTTTTATAAAGCTTCAGCTCTCTTCTTCCATTAGCTTGGGTCTGCTTTTCCTTTTTCTGGATTAGCACATTCTTCAACTTTTCAATCATAGAATTGGCGCCTTGGGGGAAGATCTCTACTTTCAATTTAGGGGAAGTGCGTTTGTCCAATTACGCGCACATGAGAAAAGAACCGTTCTCTACTCCTTCAAAGTTCACCTTGATGTGATTTGAAGAGGAAATTACGACAAGATTGAGATAGATATGTTTGAATTGAAATTCAAAAATGTAAATGTAATAAGCCCTCGTCATGTTCATCCTTACTAATATTCCATACAAAAAAACAGATTAACTTTCTTGTTTATTATGTCAATTGCAATTTTTCAAATACTACAAAAACAGATCAACTTTCCGAGGCATACAAGAAAACAGGATTAGCTCTGTTTCATATATATTCCAAACATCAATCCACTGCTGTGTGTTGATTTTGTGTATTATGCAGCCTGGAAGCCCCTCTCTCATCCTCTAATGCTGCTTCTATCTGTCTCGATCCCTTTTTGTTTAAACCATCATACCTGTGTTTTTGTTCAGTTTGGGACTTTAAGGAATGATAAGCCTAATGTTGCACAGGTTAAGCATTACTAGGTCGGCATTCTGCAAGCATGATCTGTAAATAGAATACGATAATTTAGAACAAATATTATCCGGTCATCTCCATTTAAATTTGTTCTTCAGATACTATCAGTCTTTACCTCCTGTGGCCAAGTCGTTCGCTGTTATCTGTTTAATGACCTCAGGCGCCTATCATCTCGAGCTTTACCACTGGAGGAACATAGCGCTGTTTTATGCACTTGTGCTAAAGAAATTTCAGGTAAAATGTCATTCTGATCCACAACCAATCTGATACTTGGCATTGCAAGATATTCATTCTGCTTTATTTTCTACGAAGTACGATTCATACAAGGCCCTGGTGGGTTTATACAGATTTGGAGGCTTATTACAAACTTCTTCTTCATCGGGTCTTTTTCAATGACTTTTGCGTTTCGCCTGTTAATAATGTAAGAGTAAAGAGATCAGATTAGATCCTATAGCTGTATCCTGTTTTTATTGTTGCTCCATTTACTTATAGTTGCTCACAATGTAACAGTTTCTTATATGGAATTGTTTAGATTAAAGTATGGAGTTTCACTGGAGAGGGGACCTTTCGATAAAAGGACAGCAGACTACTTATGGATGTATATTTTTGGAGCACTCTCATTGCTGGTAATCCAACATCAAAATCAATCTCTACAATAGATGAAGATCGACTTAAGTACTTTCCGGGGAAAAAAAAAGATTGACTATAAGAACAAATCTATACAAAATTACCTTTGAAGATTTAAGAATACAATGAGCAAGAAGATGAAAACAAGATGTTACTTGTGTTTAGGTAATGGCAGCTATTCCATTTCTGTGGTCTCCATTCATGGGAACCTCCTTAGTTTTTATGATTGTGTATGTCTGGAGCCGTGAATTCCCAAATGCGCGTATCAATGTATATGGTCTTGTGGAATTGAAGGTATGTCATCCTTTCGTATAGTTCATACAAAATGTCTGTTTTGTAGCCACACAAGGATATCACTGCACTACTACACACTGTTCAGAATCGTTTCTAATCCCTAGAATTTGGAACAATTTTTGTGAACATCTCAAAAGCTTCGAACAACATTACAGTTGCTGTTATTTCAAATATATCTTCATCAATGCCCGAGTTAATTTGCTAGCTAACGCGTTGTGCTTGTAGGGTTTTTATCTTCCCTGGTTTATGCTTGCAATAGATTTGATCCTTGGAAATCCTTTGAAACCCAATTTGCTTGGGATAGCTGCAGGACATCTGTATTACTTCTTGACAGTGCTTTATCCTCTTTCTGGAGGAAAAAACTACTTCAAGACTCCCCTCTGGGTGTATCCTTTTTATGATCTACTTTCCAAATCAATGCATATGTAGACTTGGATGATTCTGAATTTCTTAGTCAGAAAACTACACTTGCTTCCTTATGCCTTAATCATGAAGTCTGCTCTTTGGAACCGGGATAGGCTTGGCCAAAAATATGCCCACACGAAGAGTCTTTTAGGCCTCTAAGGCTCGGTAATCAACTAAGAACTTCCTTGTATAGATAAAAAAAAAAAAAACATTTTAAGAACTTTGTTTTTCGATAATTGAACCATATAAGGATCTCCCAATCTTTTCCATAAGGTAATGTTAACCCCATATCAGCATATATCTTATGAATTTGCATTTGCTTGAGTTTGATTAAACGGTTCTTATTCCTTGACACGCTTTAATAGTCACAAGTTGGTTGCATTTTGGGGTGAAGGAATCCAATTTGACACCCCGGTAAGGAGAAACCCTTATGCTGAAGTTGCTTTCAAGGGGAGAGGCCGTCGTCTTGATGGTAGTGCAAGCAGTTCAAGGCAGGAGCAAACAAGCACTTCAGCAGAGGCGGAGGCAAACACCTCAGCACCACCCAATGCAGCTGGTGGAGTAGCTTTTCGCGGCAGAGGCAATCGTCTTGGTGGACGTTAGCTAGCAGTATTTGTGATTTAGTTGATGTTATGACTTTTTAATCAAACAATCATGTTATTATGTTTTTTATAAGGTCTTGGGGAATCAATGACAAGATGGGGATGAAAGAATGAGCCTCTTGAGGCCACCCGAACCACCCGGGCTAGGCCAGTGGTGGTATATGCATATGTTGTATGGGAAGAAAGAACTTGAGTTCACACATTGCTACTAGCAAAACAAAACTACTTCCGTTATTTGTGGTTGTGTGTGATGATAGTTCAATTACTGCATCTGAATTATGCTTGTTAGTAAGTGGTTAAGGAATTGCCTGAGTTTTTTTCATGGCTTCCATGGCCTTCCACCTGCAGTTATCAAATCATCTGCTTGGGTTAGCTGTGATGCTATTATATCTACTTGCCCTCTTAGCTCTATGGCTATAGCAGTGTCAATTCACAATTTCCTGAACGTCAGAGGCAAAATGGAGGCAGGTAGGTTTGTGTCGGGTAAAGGCGGGTTCATGTCAAAAATACACTTCATTCATATCCGGTTTGTTTATTAATTCATACCTAATAAATCGTGTCATATCGAGTTTATGTTATGTATAAATAGTGTATAATCGACATATAAACGAGTCGTATCGTATATTTCTTTTTATTAACTTCATTCATACCCGATTTATTTTTTAATTTTGTCGTGTCATGTTAGATTCACTCATTTACAAAACGGACGATTTAAGAAAGATTTAAATTCTTTAATTTCATATAGCATTAATGAATTGTATCATATTTTAGCACTTTTTATCTGTATTACATTTTCATAGCTTCCTCAATTTGAAATGGGTAGCAGTCCAGTGGGCCTTGGACCAAGCTGATCCACTACTTTACATCCTTGGGGTAGCCTGAACCCAGTTGATCCAGGGTTGTGGGTCAGGGTTTTCGGCTCATTAAACCCACCGAAAATGGCTAATAGTAAGCCAGTGGCCACATAAAACTCAGAAAGATTAAATAAATAATAAAAAAAAATCAAAAGAATTGTTAAATTAGGTCTTTTAGAGCCAACCTGATGGAATACATGGGTAGCCCGCTAAAATTTTAGGCGATCCAATCCAACTCGACCCGTTGACTAGTAAGCAACCCGATTGTTCAACTCGAATTCTCGCATTAGGCTGTTGATAGACAACTGAAGAAGACCCGATTCAGTCCGTTGTATTACCCCTTAATATAAAGATCTTTTTAAAAAGGCGTGCCTAATGTATAAGAGTGTTTTTATCATATTTGCAGTACCGAAAAAATAATAAAAATAGTTACTATTAGGAGCGTTCAAATTTTCAATTATCTAATAAATTTAGATTCTATCATACTCTATCCGACTTTACTGATCGACTACCCAAAAGAATTGGGTAGGCCAATAGAAGCTTTAGTGTTAATTAAATTATTAAAATAATTCAAAAATTAATAATTTAAAAATATGTGTTCATCTGACTTTTCATCCGATTGTTTTGGACGGGATTCGTGTATGAATAATACACTTGATCAGGTACGAACCGTAGGGTAAGCAAAAAAAAATTATTCCGCAAAGTATTAAGTAAAAAGATAGAATACTATAATTCATACTCGTAGGATAGGGTGAACACCCCTAATTACCACACACTCACAAATATAGTAAACCTATTCATAAAAATAATAGTAATTTTTTTTATATAGAAGAAAAAATGATAAAAATAATTATCATAACAGTGATAAAAATACTCACAAATATAATAAAAAAATTAGTTATAAAATAATTCATAAAAATTATAAAAAAATATATATTAAAATAATAAAATTTTGAGATACGATACCGATATTTTGAAGTTTTAATTTATATATCACCCATTAGCTTGGGATTTATTACTCTTATAGAATCTCATCCAAGGCCACCAAATATGAAAAGACTTTGACCTCTTCCTGGTCTTCTGTCTTATTCTCAGAGATATTACTACCAAACGATACTCCCAACATTCATTAAAAGATTGAGCCACCATAGTCAACTTGTTCACAACTTGTGCTCAAAAAAACTTGTTCACACCAGCCGACTCAGTGGAGTAGTTGTTGAGGAAACTCTCTCCAAGAAAACATTTTTAATTGGTAAATTGTACAACACAACCTCTCTAGTTGCTATGGTAAAATTACGTATTTTTAATTATTTTCAAATGTTGGGTACCTCTAGTAATTTTCAAATTTTACAATGATAGATGCCTCATATTTTGGGTCAAGGGGAGCAACTCGGACGGGTTGAGAGTCGATCTTTGTTCAATTTTAAATATATAATCTTCAATCTTTACTCTAATTTTAACTCGACATTAATTCGAATACTGATTCAGTTGAATTTGGACAGATTCGGGTTACGTAATTCGAATTAATTTCATATTAGAATTCGGATTACTTAATTCGAGTTAGAATTCAAGTTGAGTTTGTTAAAGTGAATTGTGAAGTGTGAACCCTAATTATAAGTTATGTTATTGAATTTATTGATTTATATTTATATTTTTAAATATATTTAGGTTGAGCCTGATTTGATATTTGGGTTGAGCCCGATTTTATATAATCAGGTTGAGCCCAATAACTAAGTATTGAAAACTTCAACCTGAGTCATTTTTTCCCGAATTAAATTTAGGTTAAATTCAAATTGACCTACTCAAATTACACCCTTACTCTCTGGGTACACCTATTTTTTAAAAAACTGCGCAAATCTACACTGCTTACTCTTGTTTCACACACTATTCATTATTATGCATTCACACCCATTCATTATATATTTATATATATGTTTTACTTAGAGTTCGATGCTAAATAGTTGGGATGCAATTTTGATGAGTTAAGAAATTAATAACTCAAGTACATTAATATTATTTTTTTTTTCAAATTTGTGTGTCAAATTTCACATATCAAAATGTCACGTTTTTCACCGATAGATGTATACCATGCTAAATAATTTTGATTCAAAATAACGTCGTTGTATTCAACAAGATGACATCATTTTAGATCAAAACGATGTTATTTAAATGAATAAACTATTAAAAAATAAAGCAACAGAGGATCCTCAGCCACCCATTGCCCATATAAGGTGAATAATAGACGATTGAATAAAACTGAGTGAAATTGCAATTGAAAAGTTTTGTATCCAAATTACCAACAAGAATAGGAAAAATCAAAAGTTTTTCTAATGCAATTTTTGGGCCATGAATAAGGAACCAATGATCAAAATTTCGTTTTGAAACGTTTCTACTTTTAAGGAGACTGAAATAAATTAGCATGGTATAAATTTATTATTTCGAAATATTTCAAGATTTTTTAATATATTTCGATCAATATTTTGAAAAAATAATTCTTAATTTTTTTTATTCTACTTTCAAAACGAATTAAAATATTTTTAAAATACGTCAAAACATTGCTATTTTCTAGGTCAAAAAAAAAAAAAATTAGATGAACAAGGACATCCAACGAGGTAGTAGAATATCCAGATGCCATGTGAAGAACTCACCTAACTATCTTACAAAAACGACCTGCAAAAAAAAAATACTTTACAGCGACTGAGCATTGATTTTCCACAACTGGAAGAATAGAAAAATACAGTTGAATTAAATAAATCATTGGCCTAACATAGAAAATTAACTGATAAGTACAGGATCTATAAAGATAACTCTTGAATCAGACCAATCATATCCCATAACAAACACCAATTCAATGAATTATATAAATACATACATTAGACTTATATATATATATATATTCAATTTCAATGCTTTTACCCTGTAATTATCAAACGAAACGTACCAACCACGGCATAATTTTGCCTTGAAATGAAGAGACCTGATGTGGGTGTGGTTCAAAAAAAAAAATGTGGGTGTGGGGTAGTTTCAAGTGCAAGTCATCTTCTTCTTCGATTTATATATAGAGACAGAGATATGTTTCTGCTGATGATTTAGAGAGATTAAAAAAAACCCATGTTTTTTGGATGGTTTATAGATGTTTAGGACAGATTAGAGAGATCATCTGATGGGTTCTTCTTCAGATAGGCTTGACAGAATTCAAACTATGAAGTTCTAAAGACCTAAGGTAAGGTTCTGTATATGTCTTGTTTACGTCTATTTGGGTTCTTCAAGGTTAATGTTTTTCTTCGAAGTTTCTGGGTCATTTTAAGTGAAAAGTGTAGTACTTGGAAACACCCTCTCTCTCTCTCTCTCTCTCTCTACAAGGGAAGTCTCTCTGGGGATTTATGGTTCACTGAAGTCAGAGTTTTTAGGTACAGAACAATGCATTTCTTTGCTTCCTCTCTCGCTAATTCTGACTATTTATTTGCTGTTTGATTCTCTGACTTGGAGGGGACAATTTTGTTTGTTAATTCTGTTGGATTTAAATTATAATTCCCCATTACACACATTCTGTATTAAGCAATTTTTCTTCAAAAGATTCATATTTTTTTTTTTTTTTTTTTGATAAGAAACGATGATATCATTAATAATCAAAATGAAAGATAGTATTTGGACAAGTGGTCCAAAACAGCAACAATTCAGGATGGTTTAAGACTTTTAGGTATTTGAGTGTGGGATTTTCAGAGAATATAAGATGAGTATTGACCAAAGAACCTTAAACCAAAACTAATTTTATCAAAAGCTAGAGTTATGTGTACTCCAAATCTTTAATTGGTTTGTAGATCTTCAATCTTTTCATTCTAGCACTGATCTAACTGTGTTTCGATAAGCATATATGATATTACAGTAAATTTAATTTTCTTTCAAGGGGATATCAGATATTCACTTCTAAGAGAAAAATGGAGGGGAATGAAATAATTGAAGACCTACTAGCATTGCTGCCTCCCACATCTCTTACTGTTGTAATAGCTATCAATGGAAACAGAAAGAGCAAATTTGTAGTGAAGTGGGCATTGGAGAAATTCGTTCCCGAGGGAAAGGTTATGTTCAAGTTGCTACATGTCCGCCCTATGATAACTGCTGTTCCAACTCCAAGTAAGTTGTGTATCTTCAAATTTTCCTTCAGGGAATATGTTCATGAAATAAGCTGGTTTCAAATTGAAGTTTTGGGAATTTGTTAGTACCAATCTTTCTTATTTTAGTTCATTTACACTCCAAAAGTCTAGCTTGTGCACTAAAACTCAATTCCTCCCCGTGGTGTTGTTGGAATTCTTAAATTGTGCTGTGTTCAAAGTGGTACCGGAATATGTCTTTTTTCCGTTTTGCATGAGTATCATTCAATATATGCCCCTACTGCTTAGTAAGAATATCCAGGCAATCGACTAAGAGTTGTCATGTCTTGATTATCCTTTCTGGGGAGGTTTTGAGTTCGTTTTTACAAAATGGCTGCACATTCTGCATCACAGATGTAAAATGTTAAACCAATGTTTATTAGACCCATATATGATCTATACTCTAGGCATTTGACACTATAATTCTTTTTTGCAGTGGGAAATTTTATTTCACTTTCACAGGCTCGAGATGATGTCGTGGCTGCTTACAAGAAGGAAGTGGAATGGCAAACAACCGAAAAGCTTCTTCCTTACAAGAAGATGTGTGCTCAAAGAAAGGTTAAAATATAGTGGTTTATGAAACTCTCAAGGAAAACCTGAAATTGGAAGTTATGAGGCTTATTTTACATGATTCTGATTGTAGGTGCAAGTAGAAATTGTACAAATTGAAGCGGATGATGTAGTAAATGCAATAGCCTCGGAGGTTTCCAAATGTACTCACAACAAGCTTGTTATAGGAGCTTCGTCCCGTAGCATATTTTCAAGGTATTGCTATAACTTTGTTGGTCCTTTTATAAAATTTTCAAATTATCGTTATCTTCTTGGTCCTTTTTACATTACTTTCAATTGAACACTCCCAATTGCTCAATAGAACTGTTCCAAGTGCTCAATAGAACTACAAGAATATGAGTTTTGTATGTTGACTTGATTCTTGATTAGTAAGAATTAGTGCCACGATTACTATTGTTAACAAAATGATGATTGCTGGAAACTTAGGGGACAAAGCTTGTCCTCGAGAATATCCAAGTGCATCCCAAGCTTTTGTTCGGTGTATGCGGTTTCAAAGGGGAAATTGTCATCTGTGCGTCCATCTGACTCAGAGACAATTGGAAGCATTAAAGATGACTATAGTGACACAAGTTCTTTGACCAATGATCCTTCAAGTGATACTTCCAGCTCACAAACAGGTAATCTACTTCTTTAAACACTTTTGATGCTTTCTGACAGAATGGGGTGTGATTTCATTATCTTACAGATCGTTGATTATGAGTCGGAGCCCTTCGCTCTACAAACACTTATGTTGCACTTTGTTGCCGTACCAAGTGGTTGTTTTTTAGCATCTACAATATGCATAGGCAAACAGTATAAGCTACAACAATTCAAATAAGGCAATGGCTAATGCTAAACTATCCCCAATTATTGCTGGCAAAGCAAGCTGCTAGTAATCATAACATCTAAGGCTGCATCATACAGTACACAGGCTTTGTTTTCTTGTGCATGGAAAGTATGCAATACTTATTCCTATTGACGTAGATTATAGTATTTTAGAGGAATATCCTTGAATGAGTCTCACATTATAATCCATTGCACTAGAATTTTGCAATTAAACCACATGGACTCTGTGTATTCTGTAGAAATATGTGGGTAGAGGACACAATATGGTTAATTTCAACTTCTCTGCTGTTATTACATCCTGTTAAAGGATGTGTCACATGTATTCTCTTGTAGAAGCGCCTCACCCAAAAAAAATATCCATATGAAGAAGGAATTAAGAACACAATGAGTAAAATGTCCATATGAAGAAGGAAAATATTAAGAACACAATCAATTAGAGTTCTGTAAATTATAATATATTTTCTTTTTATTGTAGGCATGCTCATGACATATTCCCACCAAACAACTTCACCCTTGTTGTCTTGTGTCAATATGGAACTCACCATTTTGAGGTTATTAACCTACTACATAGCAAAGATGCCTGCTGCCCAGTGAGAATTCCTATTGAACCTTTATTCCTTAAAAAATCTTCTATTAAATATCTTGCTTCACCAAGTTTTTAATTTGATTTGATAAGTGCTCGTGTTAAGAAAATATTTCCCAGCAACACAAAGAAAAATGATGAGACTCAATATTGGCAATTTAGACATGATCCATATGCATTATGTTTCCAGTCTGGTAACTTTATTCCGGAGATACTATTAGCTTATGAGCTAATAAAGAGTTGATCTTGGGATTTTTCTTTCTTTTGTCAGAGTGGACAGACCAAGGCTCAGCTACTTCTTATCGCCATTTTCATTCCCCTTCACTACCAGTGCAGCGGTTTCAAGCACTTTCAGCCATTAATAATACCCTTCTTCATAAAAGAACAGATTCTAATGAGTCCAAGAACTCTGGAATCCTATCTCTGGATACTGGTCAAGGGGAGAATATTTTGAGCTCTTTTCCCAGTAATTCAGAGGCAGGCATTACAAACAGTCGGGCTTCTAGTTTCAACAACTTGGTAAGAGACCACCAGTCATGGACATCTGATCAAGCTTCTACCTCAGATGCTCTCCCAGATATTTCATCTGGAAATCAGGTAAGACTATCATTCTATGAAGAATGGACACTTAAGAAGGTGACGTATTCTTGTCGGACACTCTCGAACGCATGTCCGATACTCTTTTATCTATGTCCATAATTAAATGATAAAATTTTAATTTTTGACACGTGTCCGACATTTCTTTAGGCCATGTTCACTACTAAACAATAAACATGTGTTGATAAAAAAACTTAAAAATTTGACTAGTGAGTGTCTGCTACTATAAGAGAACATATAATTATCACCACTAGACATGTTAAAGTTGTACTTAAAACATAATAATTAAAAAAAAAAAATACATAAAAGTTTTATAAGAAAAATCGAGAAAATGAGAGCAATCATTTAAACTTATATTTGTTGGGTACAAGTTGTCTACAAAAAAAAATTATGATTATTTGACTATTATGGTGCTTTAGTTTAAAAATTATCACTAGATGACTAGACATAACATTTACTTATCATAAAGTATTGATTTTTTTATGAATGGTATATTATTATCACTACATTTACATCAAATTATATAATTTTATATATTACACACAATCTGTAGCAAGTCCTCAACATATCTGTATCTTTATTTTTTTGATAAATGTCATGTTGTGTCCATGTCCGTGTTTATTAGCTACCATTATATATGGTTTTATAATTATGCTCATTACTTGCCAGATAGCATATAGTTAGGCATGGTTAAGGATCAATACTTGTTTAATCAAGATGACTCTACAAACAGTGGCCCTTTAATCCATCACCTTTTTACCAAGGTCAGATTTTGGTGGGTATTTCTTGTTAAATAAATCATTTTGCACATGATTTACCTTGATCACTTGAAGAAAGTTTGGTACAATTTATATGATCTCTAGTGATTTGAAACGTAGTTCAGACATTTTGTAAACTTTAGTTCCTTAAAAAATATGGGCTCAAGCTGAGAGTCAGTTTCCTGCATAAATGGTATTTTTTTTTCTAATGTTAGGGTGGACATAAAACTTCAGGGTGATTTTGAAAGTTTCTGTCCATATTAATTGTTAATCTTTTTATGAATTGCAAACAAAGTGTGAACCTTTTTTCAATAGTGGAGAGACTAAATTACTTGAACTGAGTGCAATATCTGTAATATGAATGTCCTGTCTTTCCGATTTTGGAAAGTTCGAAATTTGGCCATCAGGATCAGTCCTGGGCAAAGCACTGGAATTTAAAAAAATTCATTGCTTTCTATGCAGGTTAATATCAGTTTTGAGGTTGAAAAACTAAGAATTGAACTTAGACATATTCGAGGAATGTATGCAGTGGCTCAAAGTGAGGCAATTGATGCTTCGAGAAAGGTGAAATTTATTTTCCTGGCCAAAACAAGCGATGAACATTATTAAGCCTTTTTCATTTGATTATGGTGCTTGTAATTTATTTTGATTGTCCAATAATTGCACTATTCTCCACAGAGAGGTTCAAATCCATAATTATTGGAGTGAGAACTTTACTACTGGACTTTCTTCTTCTATTTATACATGCACCTTTTTTTTTTTTTGCCAGCAATAGTTGTAGATTTTATTCTTCATTCAGTATTATTACTGAAAATCTAGCCAAAATTTGCCACATCCTTTAGCTTCTGATCTTGTGTCTTTTGCCTTCACATGACTTGGGATAGGAGATTTTGTACTGGTTGTTGTAATTTTGCATGTAAGAATTCAGATTTACATAGGTGCTCATTCGTTAAGTGCAATAGTTCCTGACTATATAACAGTACTGAATCCTTTGTGGGTGAACATTAGGAGGACTGGCCACTACTTTTGTGGACCATTACAGCAAATGCATTATTTGTAGTCATTGAATCAACCAGATATGGATCATCTTTGACAATGGGCTACCAATGATGCCTTGCATAATAGGATTAAGGGATCAAAAGGTGGGTATATTGATGGTGACTGGGCAGTTGGACAGTTAAACTTTATGTTTTGCTTCATGCTTAATGTTGTATAAAACTCTGCTCAACTTTTTTTTTTTTTTGCTTTTTATCAGCTAAGCGACCTTCACAAACACCGACTGGAGGATTCAATTAAGCTCAAGGAGTGGAACCTGAAAGAGGAGGAAACCAAGGAATTAGCTAAACAAGAGAAGGACATGTATGAAGCTGTGAAAAGAGAAGCTGAGTATGTTAAGGAACGTGCTGAACAAGAAGCTGCACGAAGGAAAGAAGCAGAAGCTAAAGCCTTGCATGAGGCCAAAGAGAAAGATAAGCTAGAGAATGCCCTGGTAGGCCCTTTGCAGCAGTACCAGAAGTTCACATGGGAGGAAATCGTGTCTGCTACCTCATCATTCTCCGAGAAGCTCAAGATAGGAATGGGAGCATATGGGACCGTCTATAAGTGCAGTTTGCATCATACAGTTGCTGCAGTGAAAGTCCTCCACTCTGAAGAAGCTCACAGGAGCAGGCAATTTCAGCAGGAAGTATGAGAACTCTCTGAAAAAGTAGAAACCGGAAAGCTTTTGTATTTTGTGGGTGTTTAAACTGATTAAGTGCTATTTGGATTTTCCATTTAGCCATTTACTTTTGGCCAAGGAATTAGTTTACTTGATTCAGAGTTTAAATGCTTATCTCTGCTGTTTATTGGTTTTCAGCTTGAGATCTTGACCAAAATTCGTCACCCGCATCTTCTAATTCTTCTCGGTGCATGTCCTGATCATGATTGCCTAGTTTACGAGTACATGGAGAATGGTAGCTTGGAGGAGAGGTTGCTCAGGAAATATAACTCTCCTTCAATCCCATGGTTTGAGAGGTATCGAATTGCTTGGGAAGTAGCCTCAGCCCTCGTCTTTCTTCACAACTCAAAGCCAAATCCAATCGTCCATCGTGATCTAAAACCAGCTAACATATTGCTTGATCATAACTTGGTGAGTAAGATTGGTGACCTTGGCCTTTCTATAATGCTTAATTCAGAAAACTCTTCGATATCCACCACATACAAGGATACAGGCCCCGTTGGCACGCTTTGCTATATAGACCCCGAGTACCAAAGGACTGGGTTAATCTCTCCAAAATCTGATGTTTATGCTTTTGGGATGGTGATTTTGCAATTGCTGACTGCAAAACCAGCCATCGCATTGGCCCATCTGGTGGAAACTGCAATTGACGATGGTTGTTTAGTGAATGTACTGGATCCGGAGGCTGGGAATTGGCCAACTGAAGAGACAATGGAATTGTCTAAGCTTGGTCTGAGCTGTGCAGAGCTTCGTCGTAGTGACAGACCTGATTTGAAAGATCGAGTTCTACCTGCATTGGATAGATTGAAAGAGGTTGCTGATAAGGCTCGAGATTTGGCATCCAGTGCTCAACCGACACCTCCAAACCATTTTTTTTGCCCCATACTCAAGGTATGCATTTCTTTCTAGTGCCAATATTTGCAGAATTCTCTTACGCTCATGTATTTGCACCAGATAATTGATTAACTGTCGTTAACAGATGTTTTCAAGTTCAAAATGATGGAAATTGAGCTCGCTAATGCCTTTTGAGTCCTAACCCCCCCCCCCCCCCCCCCCTCCTCCCAAAAAAAAAAAACGGGCACACACACTGTGGTTCATAGCCACTTGCTATAATCCTTTGAGCTATAGGTCCAACTAGGGAAAAGAGCCATTCCTCGAATATAGTCTAGCTTTACGCGATTATTGTCTGTTGTTAAGGGATTTGTTATGCTACTAAATATTTGGTTTTACTTTATTAATGGGAACTTTTCTTTTTTATATAGGATGTAATGGATGAGCCTTGTGTTGCTGCGGATGGGTACACATACGAGCGCAGGGCCATAGAGAAATGGTTCGAGGAGAACGATAAGTCACCAATGACCAATTTACCATTGCCAAATAAGAACTTAATACAAAATTATACACTTCTTTCTGCAATAATGGAGTGGAAGTCAAGAAAGCATTGAAAATCCTGCATTTATGGACATAGTTATTTCTTTCACATTTCCTTATTGCTGCAATGTACATACATTTGTTAGTGTTAGATGCTTACACAGTCTTCTGTTTATTAGGGGTGCAATTTGGGTTGGGTAGCCCGAGCCCAATCTGAATTCAAGATTTTTAATATTTGGGTTGGACTTGGATCGAAAAATTTCAATCCGAATTCAATTTGGGTTGGGCTTGGGTTAAGGCCTAGGGTTCACGGGTTCAACCTGAACCCGACAAATTTTAAAAAAAATATATATATATATATATAAAGCATTAACACTGATTTTTCATTTTTGTTCTATCATTCTTTGTCTCTCTTGTTCATTTTTATTTTTGTTCTAGCATTAACACCGTTAAAAATTTGGTTAAAATTATTAGTTGTTAATTTAGATGAATATTATGTAATATATGCATTAGATTTAGAATAACAAGTCTATTTTGGGCTCTATCTAAATACAACCCGAATTGAATCTGTAAAGTAACCCGAAATTATTAACCCGAATTCAACTCGAGCCCGCCCGAATTAAACTCGGGCAGTGCTCGAGTTGAGTTTCTCAATCCGAGGTAGGGTTAGGGTTAGGGTTAGGATTAGGGTTAGGATTAAGATTAGGATTAGGGTTAAAAATTATATACTTAGAATTAGGCAAGGGTTGATTGTTCAACTTGCCCAACCCATCCGAGTTGCACCTCTACTGTTTATTAAGGTTTTCACCAAAAGAGAAAAAAAAATTCCCATTTGCTAGAGTAACAAAAACATAGAATTGTATACGGTTTGATTTTATTTAAACATTATTATGGTTGTTGTAAGAAAAATCATGAATAAATAGAAAATCTTGTTATATTCTCCCTAGTGATATATTGATGTGTCCCTCTAAATATTGTTGTGCATGCTATATGGAATCATTTGATAACGCTATTAAGTATTCTTTTCTCTTTTTTAATAATAATATTTTCTTATAATAGTATAGTATACATGCACATAGTAATATGTACTTATGTTAATATAAATATATTCATACATATATTTCATTACTTAACACCAAAACTATCATTAAATAACTAAAAAAAACATATAAGTCTTTATTTATCTCTATATTTATGCATATTTATATATAAATTATATGCATACTATAAATTTAAAAAAAATAAAATTATAATTAATAAATAATATAAAGGTTTATAATGTCAAGCTGATTGAAAAGATTTTGAATTTGTATATTACTGTTAGAGTATACATTAAATAAGACAATATTGTAGTTGTAAATTAAAACATGAGTTGTTATTTTTTTTATTACTAGATTTATCATGAATATTCATTTTAATTATGTTATAATTAGTAATAAAAATTATATATTTAGGACACATGAAATATCATTTAACTTAATTACTCATATATTTTATGTTCTTTCTATAGATTTTATGAAATTTTTAGCTAGTTATATGTAAGTGTGTGTATATATGTGTGTGTGTGTGTATAATATATAGATAAAAAATTCAATTATTGACTTATAAAAACATAACAATGATCAAAATTGATTAAGTTTTTATATACTTTCATCTAATGGTATAAAATTAATCACAAATTTTTTTCTTGCTCTAAAAAATCATATTTTCTAGGGTTGATAATTGAGTCGAGCTTCTCGGGCTTGGCTCGGAGAAGACTCGACGAGTTAAGCTTGAACATTTTTTTTAGGCTTTGTTCGTTTATATGTAAAATAGTCGAGCTATTCGGGCTTGACTTGGTTTAGGTTAGGTCCAGACTCAGCTCATTATCTAAATGATTTAGACTTAAAATAATTTTTTAGACTCGTTTAAAAATATGAGTTCGACAGGCTCGGCTTGAGCTCGTAAAATTTGGCTCAATTGACAGTCCTAATCTTTTCTGCATGGCCCCCCAATGTCAGATAATTTAACATACATACTCTTTAATATCAAACAACCTCATTAATTCAAGCTTATCTCTTTTTATTTTTTCTCAATTCTTTTTAATTTTAAATTACATAATTAAAGAAAAAAAATTATTTAAAATCAAAATATTTCACGATGAATGTTTAATTTTTAATACAAAATGACTCTAGGCACGAGATTATTGTTAATATGCGTATAGATATATAAAACTGTTAATCAACGTATATATATGATCAGTGCAGTGAGGGGGCTTTCTCACTTCTTGCTAGTTACATTGTGAACTTCTTTCCGGTGATCGATTGCGTCGGCGACCCTCTGAAACCGAGTGCCACATTTTGCACACTCCGCCTTCATCTTGTTCTTGTGCTTAGAGTCGTTGTGGGAATCAATAGCCTTCTTTGAGGGCAAGGATGTTTTGCAGATATAACAATGGTGTTCTGTGGGGTTTTCACCTTTGTCTATACTCTTGATCACTTTACTCATCTTGATCGATCAGCTTTCTGATAAAAAATCCTTTGCACGGTTGTTAAAGAACAAACATGCATGCAAGGAAAAAACATTAAAAACAGATAAATAAGAGAGACGTAGCATATACAACAGAAGACTACATAACAAATCAAGACAGTCGAAACCAGTGTTGGTCGAGTATCAATCAGAACTGATTTTAGACGACAGTGTCAAACACCAATCAGGACTAATTTTGGGCAACAATGTCAAAAAAATTTGTAAGATCCATTTCGGAAAACTCTTAGTAATTTGAGCAATTAGCAAAAAAAATGACGTGTAAGACACTTTTATATTTTTATCCCGTTGTTAGGGATATTTTTGTAATATTGTGTATTTGCTTATTTTTTCTAATAATTTAGGACCATTAAGGTTTCTTATTTATATTGCGTTGAAAACTAATTCAGTAGCATTGGTTTATTTTGAATAAAACTTGGAAACGAGTTCACTTTCAATTTCTAATTGATTTGATATTTTTAAAAATCAACAAGGCTCTTGAAAACTCTAATATAGTATTATTGCGATAATTAACAGATTATAATTTCTATTGTCTGATCGCGTTTCTTTATCCATGCTTTCCTGCATGAGAGAGAGATAGAGAGCTATACCTTTGTTGGCAGAATTCTCTATGCCTTTGTGTATCAGCAAATATGAGGATGGAGCCAAAGAAATGCAGAGCATGGTTTCTATATGGTGAATTGTGCGAGTTTATATACTTTGTGGAGCTCTTAAGTTTGTTCATATTATTTATTACATGAATCCTGATTCATTAAATATTTCACCAAAAATGGCCATTGATTAATATATTCTAGTATATGCAAGCCATGTTTGCTGTGAGCCATGAAGAAATATAATCTCTCTCTCTCTCTCTCTCTCTCTCTAAAAGAAAATACTACGTAAAACAAATTTGTAACCCAAATACAAAACGTAAATGAATGGAGATCATTAGATGAGCGGGTCTCATCAACTTTTTTAAATGAGAACCATTGATTCAATGGTCTTTATTAATTTGATATGCAAATTTGAATTACATAGTATTGCTCTTGAATAAAATTGGGTAAAAATAATTAAAATCCACATCAATGGCTTCATCCACAAGCAAACGTCTCAAAAGTTACATGAGGGTAACCCATCCATATAATAAGGGAGTTGGGGCCTTTTCAAATCACAAACATGAATGAAAACATTTTTACTTGAACATGGAAAAATTGAATTTGAATATTGACAAATTCAATTGTTGTTATTATTATTGGATATTTCGCAAAAAATTATAAAGAAAATGCAAATTATGTACCAAACCTATGAAGGGGATTCATTTTGAGTGGTGATGGTTAGGGCAGTGTGTGACAAATTCTCTGAAATCATAATAAAATATTTGCTTAGTGATTCTTGTAATTATGACAAGACACACGAGCATTTACATGTGAATAAATTTAGGTAACGAGAATTTTATAAAATCAAAGAAAAAACAAGAAATATATGTGCAATTAAGTTAAATGAAATCTAATATTTTTGAAGTTTATACTTTTATTTTCAATCGTGTGTTATATAATTAAAACGCTTATTAATGATGATCTAGTAATGAGAAAAAAATAGATAGTCCATATTTTTATTTAGAACGATAGATTTTCTCAATATATATTTTAATGATAGTACACTAGTTTAAAAGTTTTCAAACATTTTAACATTAAAAGGTTTTAAATTAATTAATTATTTTTGTTATATCTAAACTTACTATATATATGTTCACATAACCACATACACAAATGAAGAGCTATTTAATGATAATAGTAGTGTCATGTAATATTCATAAGTTGTTTGGTGTATTTTTAGATTGCGGGGGTGAACTTAAGATTCAAACAAGTACAACGTTACTTATTCGACCTGGAATGAGGTTCTAATATTGTGATTGTTTAGGTGATTATAGGTTTTATAACGAAACGTAAAATTACCTATGAGTTCTTTTTATGCCTTAGAGATCAAGGACTTAAATAATTTTCTGATTGACAATGTTATGGACCAGAATGTAAAAAGACAACAAGAATTCAACGTAGATAAACTAAACTTGAAAAATGAAAGAAGTATTATACTTAACATTAAATGAAAGATGGTAAACATCATTAGAGTGATGAACTGCACATTGCTGTAAAATAAAGTTACTGGGAAGTAAAAACAAGTAAGTAAGAGAGAGATTTTGATTGAGGATTCCTTCTTTGTAGTCTTACCCTTATTATTTATAAGGATGACCTTTAACCATTAAAGTCATCTTTTTTTGTCATGACTGTAATCATAATTTTTTTTCTCGAGATGTACAAACCCGCAATGAATCATTTTCAATTGACGAATCATGATGTCATATTTTCGCCGCTTTTCCAGGATTCTTAGTGCCCACTTCCTTAACTATCCTGTTAAATATGAATTTTCAGAGACTCTTACATGATTGTCGAATTACTTCCACGTGTTGCCCTTTAATTTTATTATTTTTTGGTGTAAACATAAGTATATGAAGAAAGATTCATTTCTATTTGAGTTATTAAATGACAATAATATCATTAACTACTTTAATAAGATTATATTTGTCAATCAAAAATTATTCGAGCTAAGTGACTCTTCCTCGCATAGAGGTTCAAACCCTGCCATTAGCTGAGAGAAAGAAAGAAGAAAAACAGAACAGTGGAAGAAATGGAACTACCAGGTGATATCCATAACCTTACTGGTCAAGACACAAAATAGTACATTATTTTTGTTATCAAGTATCATCACAACACATGCTTGAAATTCCATGACTATAACATCAGCACAATGAAAGCAGTGGGACTCTAATGTTTATTGCAAGAAATAGTGACAGACACAACAGACTTGGGTGTCACAATTACTTGAATAACAGAAATCGTCTCTCCACATGCAGAATAAAATTGCGTATATCTAATTCTGTGGAAGTTGGCGCACCTCGTGCATTGGGTTGTCCTCTATTTTCAAGCATTAGAGAGAGACTCGATGTAGTGAAAGGCAGCATACCATCCGAACATCAGGGCAGAGTCAGACCACATTAGCTTCTTGAAAGTCCTGTCCTTGAAATTGTAACGAATGGCCTCACCAGGTATGTTCAACACTAGAAATGACTCATCATCATCATCCCTTCGAATAACAGTGAGTATAAGAAATTTGTAATAATGCAAGCCTGATGGGTCAAGATAGGTACAAATGGACTCTGGAAATGCGTCCATAACTGGGTCAAGATCGACAAGGTACTTCACAGACCACCCAGAGTAATCTTTGGCCATCTCATAGACACTGAAATGTGTAGTACGAGGACCATAGATCTCAATAAGATGAAGATGGTCACTATATTCTCCGAAGTATCTAAGCCTCCTCTCCTCCCAACCATCGGGCATTGGAGGCATTGGCATTGTACCAAGATGCTCTTCATCAACATTGAAATATAAAGAATCGCCCCAGGAACTGACCCAATTAATCGCACCATTCCAGAAAACCCCAAGATTAAAGTTAACTTCTGCAATGAATGGATCAGATGAATATACTTGAATTTCATAATGTTCAGGCAATCTCTCAGAGAAATAAACACAAAAAGCTTTATAGTGAGTTGATTTGTAAGGGTCAAGAGCTAGGCTTACACCATGAATAATTCTTGAAACCCCTGTCCCACGTCGTGGTTTCGGAAGAATGGTGAACTGCTTGGTAGTGGGATTGTATATATAGTAATTACGTTTAGGTTCATGATCTCGGAAGCTGCAACAACACAATAACCCATTGCAAGACTGTAAAATTCTTATGCCAACCGGGTCATGGACAAAGGTGAGGCTTCTGAATGGGGATTTTTCTGGGTTTTGCGAATAGTCGAAGTGTACATATTCGTGTTCGGGATTCACTAGAAAAGAAGAGCAATGGATGAATAGGCCAATGGCGGGATTGGTGTGGGGAGTTCGGAGGAGAGAGAAATGGGGGTTGGTGATGAGAGAGAGCCAGTGTTTGGATACGGATTTGAATCGGATGAGTGATTTTATGGGTAGTCGGAGGAAGATTTCAGTCTAGAGATCATCGTCGGCGGCGACTGTGTGAGCCGACGATGTTCGGTTTCGTGTGAGTTTGATCTTAATGATTCTCATTTGGGAATCAGAAACAGCATGTGAGACTGTAAGAACAAGAGATCAGAGATGTTCTTACATATAATTTGCTCTTCCTCTCTTCTCTTACACGAAGATTGCTGTGTACTCTAGCTATGGTGTTGACTATAATTGAATGAGGATTCCATTGTAAGCTTAGCTTGCAAATAAAAGGGTGATCCCACACTGACTTGTTAAGAGTTGGGATGAGGTCGACTCATCTGACACAGTTGACAAGTCTTTGCCGGTGGCTAATATGAGTGAGTTAATCTGAAATTAATTCGAGAATAAAAATTTTTATTACTCGAGTTAGGCAATACTGAAGCGAAGTCCTAGTTTACATTTGGATAAGTCATGGAGTGGCATCTTGAGTTTTTGAGATCTAATGGAGCCCGACCCAAGTTGTGAATTCGGTATCAATATAAAGCTCAATAGTCAAATATAATCGTTTTTTTATCCCATTATTGTTGGATTACTTGATCTAGTACAACCCTGAAACCATGTAATGAGCTGCAAAGATTAATATCGAATGCTTTTAGCTGTCATTGAACAAAGCCAATCTGTTTTCATATCATCTTGATTTGGAAACACCACTAGAATCAAGTGATGCTGGGGTTCCCAGTTCATTACAATTTGGCGACAGAGAGGGATTAGCATTATTGACCCAATGAGAAACCACTAAGACATTTCTCGCTGGGGCTCCGCACACAGGGAAAATGCTCTAGCAATGGTAAACCAGCCACTAGTTTCAAAGTTCCAGTAAGGTATCAAGAGGGTTATCACAACCAAAACAGCCTAGTTGTATGAAGAAATAATTAAGCCTAATATTTCACCAAACGCTTGTAATTCTACACCACCTTAATCTGAAAGTGCAGGGGGTTGGTTCCCTTCCAAGACTTCTTCCTCTTTGTCAATGATTATGGGTCACTCCTGTCTTGTAGTTCGATACACTACTTTAAGGCCAGTTGCCTATACAACATCTTGAGTTTATAGTAAAGTAAGCTTTGATTATCGCTATACCCTCTCTAGACAAATGATTTGATTCCGGAATTCAGTAGTATCAGAAGATGGAGAGATAAATAAGATAAAGATTATGTTCCAACAAATGAGGGCAACTTTCATCTATAACTAAATTTGGACTTCACCTATAGGTTCAAACAGTGTCACTAATTGAAAGAATGAAGAAAAGTACAGACAAAACAATATTCATAATTCGAACATTATCACAACACAATCTTAAAAACAAGCATTATCGCAATTCACAAGCTTGCGATTCCTTGACTATGGCAACAACAGAATGAAAGCAATCAAAGGACCCACTGGAGATCTCAGCCTCATGGTTTACTTGAAAGAAAAACAAAAAAAAAGTCTAATAAGACTCTGTAAAGCTTGTCATCTTCAGACTCTACGGTGATGAAAATCTCGTGCAATGCACTGAATTGTCCCCTTATTGTCAAACACAAGAGAGAGACTCAATGTATTGAAATGCATTACGCCATCCAAACACTGGGGCACGGTCATTCTCAAACAAAAGTGGAGATAAGTCACAAAGCTTCTTAAGAGTCTTGTCCCTGAAATTGTAACGAATGGCCTTACCAGGTGTGCTCAACACAAGAAATGACTCCTCATCATTATTCCTTCGAATAAGACTTAGTATGAGAAATTTGTAGAACTGCAAGCCTGATGGGTGGGTGCAAATGATCTCTGGAAATGCTTCCACAACTGCGTCGACATCGACAATGTACTTCACAGACCACCCAGAGTAATCTTCGGTCATCTCATAGACATTGAATTGTGTAATATGACGACCATAGATCTCAATAAGGTGAAGATGGTCACCAGACTCTCCGAAATATCCGATCATCCTGTCCTCCACACCCACGGGCACTAGAGGCATCGGCAATGTTCCAAGACGCTCTTCATCAACATTAAAATACAATGAATTAACCCAATCACTGGCCCAATTGATAGCACCTTTCCAGAAAACTCCTAGCTTAAAATTAACATCTGCCCTGAAAGGATTACCAGAGCGCCTCCAAAGGCCGGTTTCAGATGAATATACTCCAATTTCGTAATGTTGAGGCAATCTCTCAGAGGAATAAACACAAACAGCTTTATAGTGTGGCGATTTCGATGGATCAAAGGCTAAATTAACTGTTTGAACTGATTCAACACCGGAAGTATACCCGAAAACTCGATCAACAGGATCAGGAAGCGTAGTGAATTGGTGGGTAGTAGGATTATAGATGTAATAGTTGCATTTAGCATTAACCCCAGTGGTCCAGCAACACAACAAACCATTGCAAGACTGCAAGATTCTTGTAAGATTGGGACAATCGCCAAAAGTGAAAGTTCTGAAAGGGGGTTTCGTCGGGCTTGTGTCTTCCAGAGGGATAAAATAATATTCTGAATTTAAAAGAGCCGAAGTCCGGCGCAAGAATAGGCCAGAGGCACCACGGCTTCGTCGATGACAGAAATGTGGGTTAGTGATGAGAGAGAGCCAGTGCTTGGAAACGGATTTGAAACGGAGGAGTGGTCTTATGGGTAGGCGGAGTAGTATCTCCGTCAAGAGGTCATCATTGCCGGCGATCTTGTTGGCCGATGGTATGCAGGCCATAAAGCTCGTGTATAAAAAAAAGAAGGGAAAAGTCTATGCTCGGAGATTTTCTTCTATTCTATTAAATGCAGACTACTGCTAGGTACGCAAGCTGTCGTGTTAACTTTAGTTGAGTGAATAAGATTTTTATAAATTATACTTTGACCCCTAACTATGGACTTAGTTTCACTTTTTCCATTGTATATTAATTTTTTCACGTCCAATCACAAACGTCTACTATTTTTTTGAATGAAAATTGATGACGTGTCAAGAAAAATTTAAAAAAAATTCATAATTTGAGAGATAAAATGAAATAACCTTCCACTAAATATATGATAGAAATTAATAATTGAGACAGTGTGAAAGTAATCAAATAGTTGAGTGTATAATGTATAAAATATGATAGGTAATGGGACAATGTTAAAAGAAAAGTCATAGTTGAGGTGATAAAACTATAATTTACCTTTGAAAATTTGGCAGATATTTTCATTGTGTTTTGGACGGCCATTCTACAGGGATGACATAACAATTAATAATAGCTGATTTTTTATGAAAAAAATATCGGAAGGCCATAGAAGATTTATATTTTAATATTTTTGATATATTAAAGATGTAATATAAATAATTTAATTTTTGAGACTAGCAAGTGCGAAAAGTCCTAATGGAAATGTATGGAGCTCCTAAAAAAAAGCAATAATTGAAAAATCGAAAAAAGATGGTGCCATGAACGGCTTAATCCACAAAGAAAGTTCATGAGTACGAATAACATGAATATAAACATTTTTTATAGGTTTTAATATAAATAGGAAGAAAAGAAATTTGAATATTGACATGCATATCTGGTTATAGGGGTGTCCATGGCCGGGCCGAGTTTGGCCTGTGAAATTTTTTCGGGTCAGACTTGGATAGTGTAAGTTTAATCCCTTATTCAAGTGAGTTATTAGACGGACTGAGCTAGAATTCGGGTAGGAATAGGCTATCCGTAGCCTGACCCGCGAGCCTATTGGACGAATCTTCTGAGAGGGCTTGCTGGGCTAACCTGTTTGCGGTCTTTTTTATATACAATTTCATTAAAAATAATGAATATTTTTGTTACTTAATATTATTGTAAATTATATTTTTAAATTAAAAATATAATTAAAATAGATAAAAATAAAATAAGGAATGAATTACATTCAATAGAATAAATACATCCTAACTAAGTTGACACATACTCACTTATCTATTATTTACTTAATATATGAAAAATAAAATAATACATTATTTATAATATATAAATTTTTAAAACTTTAAATTTCGACATTTAGAAACTTATTTCAAAATTTCAAATTTAATGGTCTAATAGTATAATTTTTTTTCAAAAGAAGGGTGGGCGGACTTGACGAGTTAGCCCTTGGATAAGATTTTAACGAGTTTTTTTCGTAAAGGACTATTGAGGTGGGTTTCAGATCAAGTAATGGGTTTAGGGAGAAACTCAAACCCTTTTTTTAAAGATATTAGACTCATCCTCAGGCGAGCCAACTATTTGACTTATCGAATTTCAGAACTATTTTTTTCGGGCCAAATAACAAAATCCGTAGTTAATCTAACCCATAAACACCCCTAGCTGATTGCTTTTCATAAAAAGAGAATATTCTAATGAGTCATGTCTATACCAAGGGTCATGAGATTAATGGTCATCAAGAAAGTATCCACCAAGGTTCATGGGATTAATAGATTATGATTATTGGATTTGATATTTGAGTCTTGTCATCAAGAAAGGATAAAGTCATGTTATTGAAAATTAAATTTTTAGTATTGTATCCACAAAAAATTATTTCTTAGCCCATAAATCATGACTTGAGTTATTTTTTAGCCCACCCTCTGAGTTTGGTGGGTTGTCCTCCTCTCGAACTTAAAGCTTGTTTATTTATTAATTGTAACCATCACTTTCTTACGTAATGAAAATCTTTGATCAGTTATTTTCAAAAAAATAAAAAAGTTATTTATAGCTATTAATAATTAAAACAATAAAATAAAAAGGAAAAAATAAATTGTAAAACTTTACCCGGGCCATTTCGTGATTTAACCAAAAGAAAGAGAATTTTCATTAGTGTAATCAAAACTCATCAAAGGAAGACAACTGTATCCGTATTTACAATTTTTGGAGGTGTTGCAATTGAAAAAATCATAAAAAGCTATGACTTCTACAGATAAAATTACTATTTTTTAAGGTCAAAGTATAACTTTTATATGCGAAGTTACAACTGAACTGATCGAGCATTACTAAAATAATGGAACAACCGGTCAATTTTATCTTTTGTGAACAGAGATCTAGTAATTAAAAAAAAAATGAAAAAGTCAAAGCTCATTAGTGAACTGTATTCGTTTCTTATCCCAATATTGTTGGATTAGCACAATCCTAAAACCATGCTATGAGCTGCAAAGATTAATATAGAATGTGCTGTTAGCTGTCATTGAACAAAACCAATCTGTTTTCATATCATCTTGATGTGGAAACACCACTAGAATCAGATGATGCTGAGGTGCCTAGTTCATTACAATTTGTTTGACAGACAACTCCAAACCAACCCAGTTGAATGAAGAAGTAATTAAGCCTAATATTTCATCAATGCTTGTATTTCTACAACACCTTAATCTAAAAGTGCAGGGGTTTGATCCCTTTCCAAGCCTTCCTCTTCATCAATGATTAGGGGTCACTATTGTCTTGTAGTTCGATAGACTACTCTAAGGCTAGTGGCCTATAAAACACCTTGAGTTTATAGTAAAGTTAGCTTTGGTTATCACTATACCCAGTGTCACAAGTTGAAAGAAAGAAGAAAAGTACAAACATAACAATGTTCATAACAGGAACATTATCACAACACACAATCTTATAAACAAGCATTATCACAACACACAAGCTTGCAATTCCATGACTATGGCAACAACAGAATGAAAGCAATCAGTCTATTAAGACTGTTGTGTATATCTTGTCATCTTTAGACTCTACAGTGAAATGCATTGAACTATCCCTTATTGTGACACAAGAGAGAGACTCAATGTATTGAAATGCATTATACCATCCAAACATTGGGGGCATGGTCAAGCTCAAAATTTAGATGATCTCGAGGAACGTCACAAAGCTTCTTGAAAGTCTTGTCACTGAAATTGTAACGAATGGCCTTACCAGGTATACCCAACACAAGAAATGACTCCTCATCACTATTCCTCCTGAGAAAACTTATTATAAGAAATTTGTAATCAAGCAAGCCTACTATAGACTCTGGAAATGCATCCATAACTGGGTCAAGATCGACAAGGTACTTCACAGACCACCCAGAGTAATCTTTGGCCATCTCATATACATTGAATTGTGTCGTAGGAGGACCATAGCTCTCAATAAGATGAAGATGGTCACAAGACTCTGCGAAATATCTGAGCTTCCTCCCCTCGCAACCGTAGGGCAGTGGAGGCATCGGCATTGTTCCAAGACGCTCTTCATCAACATTGAAATACAACGAATTACCCTGGTAACTGACCCAATTGATGGCACAATTCCAGAAAACTCCTAGCTCAAAATTAACTTTTGCACTGAAAGGATCAGCAGAGTGCCTCCAAAGACCGGTTTCGGATGAATATACTTCAATCTCAAATTGTTCAGGCAATATCTGAGAGTCATAAACACAAACAGCTTTGTAGTGTGGCAATTTCAATGGATCAAAGGCCAAATTAACTGCATGAACTGATCCAACACGGCGACTGTTCCTGAAAACTCGACCAGCAGGATTAGGAAGCGTAGTGAATCGGTGGATAGTAGGATTATAGATATGATAGTTGCATTTAGCATCAGGTCCTCCAAAGGTAAAGCAACACAACAAACCATTGCAAGACTGCCAGATTCTTCTTCGATTGGGAAAATTGACAAAAGTGAGAGTTCCGACGGGGGGTTTCGTCGGGCTTGTGTCTTCCAGAGGGATAAAATCACATTCGAGGCTAAAGTCAATCGAAGACCGGTACAAGAATAGGCCAGAGGGAGCTCCAATGCCACGGCTTCGGCGACGGCAGAAATGGGGGTTGGTGATGAGAGAAAGCCAGTGTTTGGAAACGGATTTGAAAAGGACGAGTGGTTTTATGGGTAGGCATAGTAGTATCTCCGTCAAGAGGTCATCGTCGCCGGCGACCGTATGGGCAGATGGTATGCGCGTGGAGGTCATAACGGTCGTGTAGAAGAAGAATGGGCGCTGTTGACTATGGTTGAGGAAGTATTGCTTGGGAATCTTTTGGTGGTGTTTGGATCCATGCCGGATTGGAATGGACTTAAATCCGAACTCAATGCTACCCATTGTAAAGTGGTTTGGATTAGATGATTATAAAGTTTAGATTCAAATTTTATTCTATCTTTGGATAAGTTTTATTTGGTTTATGGGCCTTATGCACGTGTGAAGATAAAATATATTAAAATGATCATTTCACCATTATGTACAAAAATATTATTCAATCCTATACTATGTTTGGTATGGAATAAAAAAAAGTTCAATTCATTAGTATTGTCTTATTTACGAAAAAAAATATGAACCAACGCATTTTTACAAAATATTGAAATAAATATTTGAAAAAATTACACCTAAACTCTCTAAAGTTTGTCAGTTAATCACTCAGAACTCTTGACATTTGAAATATTACACACAGATCCCCTTAGATTTATACACGCGTAGTACTTAGAACTCTGCTGTAAATATATTTATTAATAAATTATACTTAGACTCCCTTGAAGTTTATAAGTATATAATACTTAGACTCTTTAAGTTTAAAATGTTATAGTTAGACCAAAAATACTTCAATAAAAGATAAAATATCAATTATTTTAAATTTTATGATTAAAATTTATATTCTATTTATCTTTTATTGAAATAAAATTAAAAATAAAAATTTAATTTTTTCTTAAAAAATCGTAATTAATATAAAATTATATTGTCTATTAGAATTTAACTTAGTCGTTTAACGACCAAATTAAAATACCACCCCAATTATAGCTAAAAAATATTGTGTCAATTACAATTTGACCCCTTATTTAATTTTTTAAGTTTTATTCTAATAGATAATATAATTATGTATTAATTCTAATTTTTTTTTGAAAACTAAATTTTTATTTTTGATTTTATTTCAATAAATGATATAATAGAACATGAATTTTGAATGAAAAATTTATGTTTTATTGTGAATGACTTAGACCATTTATTTGATTTTTTAGTTTTATTCCAATAGATAGTATAATTGTATATTAATTACAATTTTTTAAGAAAAAATTAAAATTTTAATTTTATTTCCATAAATGATACAATAAAATATAAATTTTAATTATAAAATATAAAATATTTGATATTCTATCTTTGATTGGAATATTTTTTGTCAAAATATATAATATTTTGAACTTTAAGCGGTCTAAGTATTATATATCTACAAAATTTTAAGGGAGTCTAAGTGTAATTTATTGATAGATATATTTACAGCAGGGTTCTAAGTTTTACGTGCGTATAAATTTTAGGGGGTCTGTGTATAATTTTTCAAATGTTAGGATGTATAAGTGATTAAGTGACAAATCTCAAAGGGTCTGGATGTAATTCTCCCTAAATATTTTGTTCATTTATTTAATTTAATTTGTACAATACATAATTAATCACAAAAATAATAAGCATCATGAAAAAATAAAAAATAATGTACAACACACAAAAAAAAAAGAATGATTATGTTTGTACATAAAAAAAAAAGCCAATAGTAGATAAAAAGTCTCTATATTACGGTCGTTCGTACACATAGTCGAAGGTAACTTTGCTACTAAGTTACAAACGGTAATTTTGCTACATCATAATGAAAAAAGATATTAAAAAAATCAAAAAAATTATAGTCAAAAGTGTGAGGGTCAGATCTATATTTGATCAGACAAAGAGAACGGATGACTCACGTCATGGATGCAAAACCAATTGCATGTGAGATAAACGCCCACACACCATCTAGTTTGCCCCGCCAAGATACGGGTCAGATTATCTCAATGCTTGATTCATTTGCTCAAAAAATATATCATCTCATCCCAGCCTCTCAAATATACGAGTCGGATCACCAGAGCTACAACCGCCACCGCCACCGCCACCGCCACCATCACCATCACCAAGAACAACAACAATGGCACCAACAATGGAAGAAAAAAAGAAGAAGAAGTAGAAACAGAAAGACATGAAAAGGGTTTCAACTCGCTACATTCTTACTCCCACAAACACACAAATATGTATGTGTGTGTGTGTATATATATATATATAGCCATGGACACTCTTGAGAACAGAGTGAAGAAGGGCTGTTGGTTTACAGAGGAATGAAATCATTGGCTTTCAGAGAGGAGCAACCACCCTTGATTGCCTAGAATAAAAGGGAGAATTGAAGGTAAAAAACCCTAGAATATACTATATATATATAGATATAGATATTTTGCATTTAATCCCACTACTCATTCCACAATCCCACATGTGCCATGGGTTTGTTCAAAGGCCTACAAAGGGGATTATACCCTTCAAAACATACGGCTAAGGAAATAAAAAGCAACGAAAATTTCATCTCCAAAAACTTAACCAAATCAAGAATAAGTGGACTCATTCACAATTTTAATCCAATCTCCCCTCTAATCCCCCAAATATTTTGATCCAAACAACACCTCTGGGTTTTATTTGGGGATTTGCATAAATTACACTTTGACCCCCAAAACTGTTGACTTAGTTTTACTTTGTTTCTTGTAGTATTACATTTTTCTTGTTGCCCCTTAAACTATTAAATTATGCACGTTGGACTGTTCAGTGGACCACCATTTAATTCCACAAACTTGAAAACAAAATAACTATTGGGGGTGCGCAAACCACGCACTCAGTGAATATATTAAAAAAAAAATACATAAACAAAAAACATTTATAATCATATTACATATACACATTATAAATGAAATTCAACATTAAACATCCAATACCCAACATCCAATGTCCCATAACAGTTAATGCTATCCGTTTTCACCTGGGAGTCATGACAATTATATTGTTGTTGTTTACAGCTAGTAGTCTCAATAATCTCATCGCTACCTTTTATGCCAAATAATTTTAATTATTATATCGCTAATGTTTATGTTTGGTAGTCTCAACAATCTCATATTAGTAGGCACTCATAATCAATTTAAATACTTAAAACTACACCCAACACCAATTCATAATTCATAAGTCATTAAATCACAACCTAGTTATTTACAAATAAATATAACCGACAACAAAACAATCATCATTTCACAATTCACAATCTACCAAATTACTTTTTAGCTATTTCATATAAGTATAACTAGTAAACAACAAAAATATTCCACATAATTAATGCAAGTGGTGTATAACTGTGCGTGCAAGATCCTGCACAATATAAAAAATGNAGTAATGTCTGAAAGTATCAACGACAATTAATGACAATCTGTTTCTGTCTGAGAGTCATGACAATCACATCGCTGCCCGTATACGCCTTGGAGTCTCAGCAACCATTCTCATTTAAAAATAAAACACAAACATTTCAAGTACTTGAAAATATAACCACCAACAATCCACCAAACACAGCCACAAGTCACAATCCATCAATTTTCACATAAATACAACTAGCTTAGTCATAAATACAATTTTCACATCAATTTTCATATATAGAAATTCTTACCTATAACAAAACTCACTCTCTCTCTCTCTCTACATATATATACACATACCCAAAATCATAAACTACGCCCTCAACCCTTCTCATTTTCTTCCATACCCAAACACTAAAATTCATAAACTTAAATCCAAAACTAATTTTTCGGCGTAACACGAAGAGGTTATAAAATCTCCAAAGTTAAAGATCTAAAACACTTGTCTTACAATGAATCTTACCAAAAAAGGCTGGAGTAAGGCAAAAGTGAGGGGGTCTTCAATGACTCACCCCATTTTTTCAATATTACACTTAAGTCCCCCTTGTTTCATTCACTCACACATCCACCGCTTTACTTTCCAACGCATATTGATTTACACCCAAAACATTTTTGTCACCTAACAATTTAACTGAAAATCATTTTCTCATTTAATAAATCAACCCCCAGGGTTAATATTTACCAACACTCATAATTCCAATCACTGTAGTTTAACCCCCAAAGTAATTATCACTAATTATACATTAGACCCCATCATTTATAAAATATTATGCATTTACAAGTTCAGGTCTCACAAAATTATCCTAATCCATTTTATATTTGGGCACTACTTAGATAGATCACGATGAATTCAATCCTAATTTGGAACTCGAATTATGTAATTAAAGAATTAAATTAATCAAAAAAACTGAACAGAGGAATTGAACCCACCTAAGGTTAGGGGTTCAAAGGTTGGTAGATGAGAAAAAAATTGAACCCAATTTCAACTCGTATCGTGCGACTTCAATTCAAAAAATTAAGCATTGATAATTTTTAGATTAAAGGATTAAGGTTGTATTCGAATACAGGTTAAACTCAACTGTGATGGGGCTTATGTGGTAGAGATGAAGACAGGAGCATATGGAGTCATAGTCAGAAATCCTCAATATATTAAAAGTGTTGTAATGTGACTTTTATTGCTCGTTCCATTAAAAATCACACTATTGAAGATGACGGAATGAGCAAAGCTAGTTAACGGAAGGGGCGACATTCCTTCACTTTGAAATGGTACAAAGAGACCCTTGGGAATCAATCTAAGTAGATAAGCAATCCATTTATCAAACTGTTTTCTCACAAGAATAGAGGTGTTTTGCTTATCTTGGCAAAACTCAAAAACACACATTTTCTTTCTGTATTACTATTACATATCCCTCAATAACAGACATGCTCCAATATTTGCAAACAAATTGTTTATAAGATCGTTTCAGGTTGGGTTGTCAGCTTGGTTGCCTCCTTCAGGCAACCAAGCTGGACTTCATACAATGGTTGGGTTGTCAGCTTGGTTGCCTCCTTCAGGCAGATATGGCTAGGTCCATGTAATGGTAATACCACGTCTTCAATGACTTACTTTTGACGATAACGCAATGTGTCACTTGGGATTAAGTAAGTATCAAAGATCGCATAGAAAGACAACAAAATCTACTTCCCCAAACAAAAACAGGGAATAACATTCATCTACTACTAAAAATCGGACATCAACTAGAGGTTGAAACCCTGTCATTAGTTGAAAGAAAGAAGAATAAAACAGAACAGTGGAAAAAATAGAACAACCCGACGATATAGATAATCTTAATGATCAAGACACAAAATGCTAAATTACCTTTACAATTAAGTATTATCACAAAAACCTACATAAACTGGACTAACAATTAAAACAAGCACGAAGATTAAAGCTTCTACAGTATATATATATATACCCAATACATCAAATCTCATTGCCCATGGATAAGAAAAACAGCTTCAACACCAAGAACTAAAAAAAAAAAAAAAAAACTAAAGCCCTTACATACTAACGGTTTGGTAATTGTGGCCAAGCGTCACCCAGTGGGAAGTAGTGTCAAACCAAAATACCCAACAAGCATTAGCTCTCCCTGAAAAGGAGGTGATCCAGCTGCACTAGTCCTGCCTTCAGCATTCCCATCAAATCTAAAAATTCATCAGCTCAAAGAAACAAAAAGTATGGTCACCACACACATGCTTGCAATTCCATAAATGTAACAACAACAGAGTGAAAACAGGGGACTCTACTGGCTCTTGCAAGAAATATTATCAGACACAAGCCAAAGTTTCAATGTATGGAAATGCAACAGCCCATGGGACAATTGGGGCAATCCCGCTTTGACCTTCATCCAAGTCTAAAGCAATCTTAAAAGTCCTGTCCGACAAATTGTAACGCATGGCCTTACCTGGTAAGGTAAACAATAGAAATGACTCATCATCGTCATCCATTCGTGTAAGATTTAGTATAAGAAACATGTAGTAATTCACGTCTGATGGGTCAACACCTTCGTTAATGGACCCTGGAAATGCTTTCATAACTGCGTCAAGATCAACAATGTACTTCACAAACCAACCAGAATAGTCTCTTGGCATCTCATAGACAATGACATGTGACGTAGGAGGACCATAATTCTCAATAAGATGCAAATGGTCATTAGATTCCACGAAGTATTTAACGAACCTCCTCTCACCACCACTGGGGACTGGTGGCATTGACAGTGTTCGAAGGAGTTCTTCGTCAACATTAAAACACAAAAATTCATCCGAGGAGCTGAACCAATTAATAGCACCATTCCAGAAAACCCCTTGCTTAAATTTAACAGATGAGCGGAAAGGATTACCAGAGCGACTCCAAATGCCGGTTTCAGATGAATATACTTCAATTTCATAATGGCCAGACAGTCCCACGGCGGAATAAACACAAACAACTTTGTAGCATGATGATTTCGACGGATCAAAGGCCAATTGAACACCGCGAGTGTAATTGAAAATCCGACCACTAGGATCAGGAAGTGTGGTGATTTTTTGGGTAGTAGGATTGCAGATATAATATTTGCACGGAGCATTAGTTCTTTGAACGGTAAAGCAACACAATAAACCATTACAAGATTGCGAGATTTGTATACCACCGCGTTCGACAATATTGAGAGTTCTGAAGTGGGGTTTGGTTGCGCTTGTACCGTCCAGGGGGATAAAGTCATGTTTCGGGGAAGAATATCGGCGCAAGAATAAGCCGGAGGGAGTGGTAATGCCTTGGCTTCGGCGGCGATAAAAATATGGGCTGGTGATGAGAGAGAGCCAGTGTTTGGAAACGGACTTGAAACGGAGGAGTGGTTTTGTGGGTAGGCGGATTAGTATCCCCGTCAAGAGGTCGTCGTCGCCGGTGACTCTATGGGCCGATGGTATGCTCTCGGCGGCCATAATTGTGGCAGATTTTGTGGTGTCAGTGTTGGGCTGTCGCCGGAATGAGAGGACTTTGTGTATAAATTGGTGGGCGCGCAGTTTCACGGACGTTGACTGTGACTAATAGCGGGACAGTAGTGACGGAACCTTTACTTGTAGACAAAGAATAATAAAGGTCGGGGAGAATTACACCGAAGTTTCCTTAACTTTGTCACGAAATCGGTTAGCCAATTTGACATTTAAAATATTTTATACAAATAATCTAAAATATATACTTGTACAATATTTAGACTCTTACCGTCAATATTTTTTAATATATTTATTAATAAATTAAATTTAAACTTCTTAAATTTTATAAACGTGTAATACTTAGATCTATCAAATTTAAAATATTATACTTAAATCAAAAATATTTCAATTAAAAATAAAATATCACATATTTTAAATTTAACAACAAAAATTCATGTTCCATTATGATATTTATTGAAATAAAATTAAAAATACAAATCTAATTTTTTTCTTAAAAATTTATAACTAATACACAAATATAATATTTATTAAAATTTAAATTGGTTGTTTGAACGACTAAATTAAACTCCAAATTATCACAATTAAAGCTAAAATATTTTGTGTCTATTACAATTTGGCATCTTGTTTAATTTTTTAGTTTATTCTAATAAATAGTATAATTATAATTTTTTTAAGAAAAATTAGATTTTTATTTTTCATTTTATTTCAATAAATGACATAATAAAACATGAATTTTGTATTATGAATGACTTAGATCGCTTATTTTATCTTTTTAGTTTTATTCTAATAGATAGTATGATTGTACGTTAATTACGAATTTTTAAGAAAAAATTAACTTTTAATTTTTGATTTTATTTCAATAAATGATACAAATAAAATATTAATTTTGGTTTAAAAAATTTAAAATATTTGATATTCTACATTTAATTGGAGTATTTTTTTATCTAAAAATAACATTTCAAACTTGAGGGGTCTAAGTACTATACGTCTATAAATTTCAGGGATCTGAGTATAATACATTTGATGGCAAGAGTTTAAGTGTTACGCATGNAAATAACATTTCAAACTTGAGGGGTCTAAGTACTATACGTCTATAAATTTCAGGGATTTGAGTATAATACATTTGATGGCAAGAGTTTAAGTGTTATGCATACAAACTTCAGAAAATTTGTATATAATATTTTAAATATCAAAACATCTAAATGATTAAGTGATAACTCTCCAGCGATCAAGATATAATTATACATAAAGGTTTACTTGTCTTCCTCTTTTATCCAATGTAATTGTGATATAATTGATTAATTATAAACAATAATGATGAATTAATGGATTCTATCATATTATAATAATTGCTAATAATTTTTAAATTCAAAATTATTACATAAAATTATTGGTATTCACTAGTTTTATATAATTACTAGTTATTGTCTGTATCTAAAGGCACAGAGTAATAAAAAATAGTAAATAATAAACATATTTATATTCATTTCTAAAATCAAGTCAAAAATATAGAAAAAAATTAAATGAATTTAAATATCGGTTTGTAGTAGGGGTGAGAGGTAGTAGGCAGCAGTGGTGGTGGTAGGAGACGGTGATAGTTGTGGTTGATGGCAATAACCGTAATGGTGGCGAAGGCAACGACAGTAGTGGTGGTGGTGGCGGTGGCAAAGATGTTGGCGGCGGTAGTGATGGTGGCGATGACAATGGTGGGGGGTGGTGGTGATGGAGGCAGTGGACGGTGGCGACAATGATGATGGAGATGGCAGCGGCGGCGACGGTAGTGGTGATAGAAGTAGTGGTAACGTGGTTTCAAACACTTTTTTTTTAAGTATTTATAAAAAATAANGGGGGAAACTCCCCTTGACCTGCAGTAACATCATTACAATTTGTTGACAGACAACTCCAAACAAGCCCAGTTGAATAAAGAAGCAATTAAACCTAATATTTCACCGGTGCTTGTAATTCTACAACACCTTAATCAGAAAGTGCAGGGTAGGATTCAGTAGTATCAGAAGATAGNACTTTTTAAAAATACTTTTAAAAAATCATTTCAAACACACCCTCAGAGCCTATTTTTCTATTAAATTTAGAGTATTAATATTATCCGTTAAATTAACTTTAAAGTAAAATTTAAAACGATTTCAATCGCGAATAACAAAAGTCATTTTGTTTATTTTTTAAAATTTGAATTGAAAGCTACTTTATTTTTTATATATATATATATATATATATATATATATATATATATATATATATATATATAATATTATTTATAGGAGAAATTATATAGGACTCCCTCAAACTTCGGGTTAGTGGGCCGTCACCACGCTAGACTTTTTTGAATTACACCTAAGCCCTCCTACTTGTAAATAAACTGCAAATCGTAACAGAACACTGCTTATAAAATGCCTAAAATATCCTATGATTTTGTTCTAATTTTGTTTGTGATGCCATCCATTAAACAATTTCATATTAATCAAATAAAAAAGGAAAATCCAGCTCCACAATCACTACCACCAGCTCCACTACCATCAAACCACCACTCAACAACAATCAACACCCCCCACCATCGCTCTCACTCACATCCGCACCACTACCAACACAGATCCACCCCAAAAAGTCCACCATCATCTCCAGCTCCACCACCATAAAGCCACCACCGAACACCCAAACAAACAACTACTACTGAACACCCAACAAACCCTCGCCACTATCACTAACACTATTCAACACCTAAACCAAACAATTGTAATCAACCATCGCCCATTGGTTCTATACTCGATTCATCAGCTCAAAAAAAAAAAAAGTATTATCACCACACACATGCTTGCAATTCCATAAATGTAACAACAAAATGAAAACAGGGGACTCTACTGGCTATTGCAAAAAATATTATCTGACACTAGCTAGAGACTCGATGTATGGAAATGCATCATCCATGGGACAATTGGGGGGAAACTCCCCTTGACCTGCAGTAACATCATTACAATTTGTTGACAGACAACTCCAAACAAGCCCAGTTGAATAAATAAGCAATTAAGCCTAATATTTCACCGGTGCTTGTAATTCTACAACACCTTAATCAGAAAGTGCAGGGTAGGATTCAGTAGTATCAGAAGATAGAGAGATAAATAAGATTCGATTCTGTACCAAAAAATGATGACAGCTTTCATCTGTAACTAAATTTGGACCTCACCTATAGGTGCAAACAGTGTCACTAGTTTTTTTGAAAGAAATGTACAAAGAAAACAATATCCATACCTGGAACATTATCACAACACAATCTTCTAAACAAGCATTATCACAACTCACAAGCTTGCAATTCCAAGACAATGGCAACAACAGAATGAAAGCAATCAGAGGAGCCACATGAGATCTCAGCCTGACAGATTACTTTTTTTTTTTGAACATGAAAGCTGTCTATTTCATTCAACTCGAAAATAAAGTGTTATATTCAGAAATTAAGAAAGCCTTAACCTCAGGTGATGGACAGCTGACCCAACTCAAAGGAAGAGAGTTAGTCATAACAGATGCTGCCACCCAATAAGCTGCCCTGTTATGAGCTCTAGGCTTGTGCAGAAACTTTAGATTAATATCTCTTGCAAAGTGCTTGATGTCTTCAAACAAGGTGCTGACTTCCCAAGGAGGTACTCCTTCAGTTGAGCTGAGTCTGATAACCTCAGATTTATCACTCTCAATGGTAGCCTGTTGTAGGCATAGGGTATATGCAAGAAGGCAGGCTTGCCATACTGCTGCTGTTTCAGAATACAAGCTTGATATGGCTGGTATATGTTTGGCTATGCCATCCACTACCTTCCCGTTGATGTCGCTTACAATTATTCCGACTGCAGCATTTTCACCCTTGAAGGCCCCATCACAGCTTACCTTAAGTCCAGATCTGTAAAGGGAGTTTTGAATTCCCAATTGATTTGATGCTGAAGAAAGTTCAGTCTGAGGATGAATATCAAGGGATTTTATCTCCATACCAAAGGATTTGTGCTCTGAGGACTGTGGCAACGGCATTTGGATCTTTTTGATCAAACACTTTCTGATTTCGGGCCTTCCAGATTGTCCACCCTATTGTTGCAATTATGCCCAAGACTTCCAGCGATCGGGAAAGGTCGTTAAAGGACTCCAACAGTGAGGATGACCACTGAGACTGAAGTTGGTAGCTCTCTCTCAAGTCTATATCCAATATCAGAGCCAAACCAAACCCTCTTGGTCCATTCACATCCTAGTAAAAGATGTTCAGTTGAAAAACAGAAATAGTTGCATACATATTACCCCATTCAGATTCTACAGCGACTGGAATCTCATGTAATTCAATCAACTGTCTCTTATTGTCAAACAAAAAGAGAGAGACACTCAATGTATTGAAATGCATCATACGATCCAGACATTGGGGCATGGTCAGGCTCAAAATTTAGATGACCTGGGGGAAAGTCACAAAGGTTCTTGAAAGTCTTGTCCTTGATATTGTAACGAATGGCTTTACCAGGTATGCCCAACACAAGAAAGGACTCATTATCGTCATTCCTTCTCAGAAGATTTAGTATAAGAAATTTGTAATAATGCAAACCTAATATGGACTCTGTAAATGCATCCATAATTGGATCAAGATCGACAAGGTACTTCATAGACCACCCAGAGTAATTGTTGTTGTGCGTGTTGGATCTTGCACAATATAAATACGAGAACAGATCTCTCCCTTGGTGAACTCGACTGAGTCAATCGAGTGGTCAACCCCGCTGCTTGGAACAGCCTGTGAGGTCTGGTGGTAACCTGGAACGGTAATGGGAGACCCTNAAAGCTGTCTATTTCATTCAACTCGAAAATAAAGTGTTATATTCAGAAATTAAGAAAGCCTTAACCTCAGGTGATGGACAGCTGACCCAACTCAAAGGAAGAGAGTTAGTCATAACAGATGCTGCCACCCAATAAGCTGCCCAGTTATGAGCTCTAGGCTTGTGCAGAAACTTTAGATTAATATCTCTTGCAAAGTGCTTGATGTCTTCAAACAAGGTGCTGACTTCCCAAGGAGGTACTCCTTCAGTTGAGCTGAGTCTGATAACCTCAGATTTATCACTCTCAATGGTAGCCTGTTGTAGGCATAGGGTATATGCAAGAAGGCAGGCTTGCCATACTGCTGCTGTTTCAGAATACAAGCTTGATATGGCTGGTATATGTTTGGCTATGCCATCCACTACCTTACCGTTGATGTCGCTTACAATTATTCCCACTGCAGCATTTTCACCCTTGAAGGCCCCATCACAGCTTACCTTAAGTCCAGATCTGTAAAGGGAGTTTTGAATTCCCAATTGATTTGATGCTGAAGAAAGTTCAGTCTGAGGATGAATATCAAGGGATTTTACCTCCATACCAAAGGATTTGTGCTCTGAGGACTGTGGCAAAGGCATTTGGATCTTTTTGATCAAACACTTTCTGATTTCGGGCCTTCCAGATTGTCCACCCTATTGTTGCAATTATGCCCAAGACTTCCAGCGATCGGGAAAGGTCGTTAAAGGACTCCAACAGTGAGGATGACCACTGAGACTGAAGTTGGTAGCTCTCTCTCAAGTCTATATCCAATATCAGAGCCAAACCAAACCCTCTTGGTCCATTCACATCCTAGTAAAAGATGTTCAGTTGAAAAACAGAAATAGTTGCATACATATTACCCCATTCAGATTCTACAGCGACTGGAATCTCATGTAATTCAATCAACTGTCTCTTATTGTCAAACAAAAAGAGAGAGACACTCAATGTATTGAAATGCATCATACGATCCAGACATTGGGGCATGGTCAGGCTCAAAATTTAGATGACCTGGGGGAAAGTCACAAAGCTTCTTGAAAGTCTTGTCCTTGATATTGTAACGAATGGCTTTACCAGGTATGCCCAACACAAGAAAGGACTCATTATCATCATTCCTCCTCAGAAGATTTAGTATAAGAAATTTGTAATAATGCAAACCTAATATGGACTCTGGAAATGCATCCATAACTGGATCAAGATTGACAAGGTACTTCATAGACCACCCAGAGTAATTGTTGTTGTGCGTGCTGGATCTTGCACAATATAAATACGAGAACAGATCTCTCCCTTGGTGAACTCGACTGAGTCAATCGAGTGGTCAACCCCGCTGCTTGGAACAGCCTGTGAGGTCCGGTGATAACCTGGAACGGTAATGGGAGACCCTCGTGGATCAACGGAACGATCCAGTAAGGCTGAAGAAAGGTTCCTGCAATAAAGAAGAACAAANCTGTGAGGTCTGGTGGTAACCTGGAACGGTAATGGGAGACCCTCGTGGATCAACGGAACGATCCAGTAAGGCTGAAGAAAGGTTCCTGCAACAAAANGAATGTCTTCTCTTTTAACTGCTCGAGACCCCGAGCAATCAAGACTGTGTCATCGGCTTGCCGACGGTTTAATGAACTCTTCTCGACAAGGATGTAATAAATGTCCAGCCTTAANGTAAGGCTGAAGAAAGGTTCCTGCAACAAAAAAGAACAAGTTAGAAGGGCGCCGGAGTGTTTTCCGACGTATCCCCTCCGACGATCAAGTCAGTTTTTGAGAGAGAGGAAGAAGAAAACACTGAGTATAATTTGTAGCAAAGATTTCACCTTGTTTGTCTTGCCTTTTGTGAGGAGTATTTATACCTCAAATACTCATGATTGCTGTCAGTGTGGTCAGTAGGTGATCATTAGATACAGGCAACGTGCGCACTGATTCCTACGAGGAATGTATTCTCTTTTAACTGCTCGGGACCCCGAGCAATCAAGACTGTGTCATCGGCCTGCCGACGGTTCAATGAACTCCTCTCGGCAAGGATACAATAAATGTCCAGCCTTAGAGACATTTATTACCTTTCACTTCCGAATCTTACCGCATTAAATGTTGTCTCATCAAAGGAATGGTATAATTAAATGTTTGTTTTCCCAAGTCGTATGTCAACAAGGGCATCCGGTCTTTCTGTCTCTAATGTGACACAATATGCCACGCGTCCATTCCCCATTAGCTGTGTCCCCTGCCCTCTGTGCCTTCTGACACCAATTGCGTAAGACGAGGTTATGATAGCTAACCTAGCCTAGCCTAGGCTAGTGACTTGTACATCAATAGCCTCTGCTGGAGCAGAGCACGGCATCCTGGACGAGGAGGTACATCTCGGTATCGAGGAAGAGGTACATCTCGGAGCCGAGGAAGAGGTACATCTCGGAGACGAGAGGGGGAGGCCTAGCGACCGATGTACCATATCAGGCCGAGGGGTACGTGTCGTTACATAAAAACGTACTGGATGCCACTTGATCCCTATGATAAGTACCTCGGGGGAGAGGGAACTTGTGAACCGATGGGTACGTGATTTCGGTAACAAAAATTAGTGACACCGAGGACACGTGTCTTCATTTTGGAGTATTTTGGAAATGTCCCATCAGTTATCCATCTCGTAGACACTGAATTGTGTCATACGAGGACCATAGATCTCAATAAAATGAAGATGGTCACCAGACTCACCAAAATATCTGAGCCTCCTCTCCTCCCTACCGTCAGNTATCAGGCCGAGGGGTACGTGTCGTTACATAAAAACGTACTGGATGCCACTTGATCCTACCTCGGGGGTGAGGGAACTTGTGAACCGATGAGTAAGTGATCTCGGTAACAAGGATTAGTGACACCGAAGACACGTGTCTTCATCTTGGAATATTTCGAAAATGTCCCATCAGTTGTCCATCTCGTAGACACTGAATTGTGTCATATGAGGACCATAGATCTCAATAAGATGAAGATGGTCACCAGACTCACCAAAATATCTGAGCCTCCTCTCCTCCCTACCGTCACGCAGCGGAGGCATAGGCATTTTTCCAAGACGCTCTTCATCAACATCGAAATACAATGAATCAGCCCGGCGACTGACCCAATTGATAGCACCCTTCCAGAAAACTCCTAGACCAAAATTAACATCTGAACTGAAAGGATCACCAGAGCGACTCCAAAGGCCAGTTTGAGAGGAGTATACTTCAATCGAAAATTGAAGAGGCAATATCTGAGAGTANTCCTAGACCAAAATTAACATCTGAACTGAAAGGATCACCAGAGCGACTCCAAAGGCCGGTTTGAGAGGAGTATACTTCAATCGAAAATTGAAGAGGCAATATCTGAGAGTTATAAACACAAACAGCTTTGTAGTGAGGCGATTTCGATGGATCAAAGGCCAAATTAACTGCATAAACTGATCCAACACCACGACTGTACCAAAAACCTCGACCAGAAGGAATAGGAAGCGTACTGAATTGGTGGGTAGTAGGATTATAGATATAATACTTGCAGTCAGCATTAAATCCTACAGAGATACAGCAACACAACAAACCATTACAAGACTGAAAGATTCTTATACCATGACGATCATCGGAAAAAGTGAGAGTTCCAAAGGGGGGTTTCGTCGGGCTTGTGTCTTCCAGAGGAATAAAATCGTACTCGGGGTTAATGAGATTCGGACGCCGGCGCAAGAATAGGCCAGATGGTGCACGGCTTCGGCGACGACAGAAATGTGGGTTGGTGATGAGAGAGAGCCAGTGTTTGGAAACGGATTTGAAACGGAGGAGTGGTCTTATGGGTAGGCGGAGTAGTATCTCCGTCAAGAGGTCATTGTCGCCGGCGACCGTTTGGGCCGTTGGTATGCGCTTGGAGGCCATAACGCTCGTGTAGAAGAAGAATGGGAACGCAGGTCGGGTATTGCTTGGTAAGCTTTTGGGTTCTATTCGGAGATTTGAGTAAATTACACTTTGACCCCAAACTATAGATTTAGTTTCAATTTGTCTCTTGTACTATTACATTTGTCACATTGCCCCTCATACTATTAAATTATGCACGTTTCCCTCTCAACTACTTGAATTATTTTAAACTACTTAATCGCAAATATCCTTTGCCTGTTTGAACGAAAATTGTTGATGTATTAAGACAAAGTGCAAAATTTTACATAATTGGAGAGGTAAAATAAAATAATATTCTATTAAATATGTAACAGATGTTAATAATTAGAACAATGTTAAAATAATCACATTTCGACCTGCATTGTGCAACCCAAAGTTCAGAAAATTAAGCATTGACAATTTTTTGGATTGAAGGATTCAGATTGGATTCGAACAATCCAAGGGAGTTACAAACCTTGATCTGGAGAAGTTGAATTTGGATACATTGACACCCTTCATAGAGCACTCTTAATGAGAAAACATGATTTCATTCGCAAGCAAGAGGTGTATATACATGTGGATACCTCCATTGATAAGCCTGGAATACAAATTGTAGCAGCTCACTCTCTGTCAATTAAACATATAATTGTTGAGAGAAGTTGTCTTTTACCTCCACCTGCCTGGTGCATCACCTCTGCAAAGTGCAGCTTCAAATACAAGCTCACATAAGGCCTTAATATATGAGAAAACAAGCTATGGCATGAGAAACAAACAATCATATTCCTGGAAACTTGGAATGTAACAAGCTAAAGGTAAAGTTCACCATGGCCAGTACCGGAGTGTGAAACCAGCAGGTTTCATCGTAAACAACATAGAGAAGCTTGCGCTATCCATGGAACATTTTAAACTATATGCAGGAAAGATAAAACTTGCCTCATTTCCTCTCAAGCTCTTCATCAAGCTCTTCTTTCCATTTTCTTTCCCTCAAAGAGAAGCTTGCGCTATCCATAGAACATTTTCCAATCTCAAATTACAAAAGGGAACAAACAGTTCACTAAGGAAACATAAGCTCAAGGAAATGTGAGACATCAATTACTCAGGTCCACCAGTGTTCACAATTAAATTTAGCTTCTATTTGCTCATATCAAAACTTATACATTAAATTTATGTGCAGTTGGAGGTATTACATCAAAATTGATCAACCACAGCCCTGCACCCAGGGAAAACATTCAGGGCATATAAATAAGGCCAATAGATCATTAAATAGGAGTACATAAATTTTATCTGCAACAATGGAGGATTGGAAAAATATAATTAGAGGACTCTTTTTTCAGGATTGAATCCTATATCCACAAAATCAGTTAAAAAGAAAATTTTCCAAGATTCTAAGGGCCTCTTTGGTACAAGTTTTTGGAAACTCTTTTCAATGCATCTTCTAGAAAAGGAACAATTTTTAGAGCATAATTTTTTTTCAATTATTTTAGTAGACTCAAGTGAAAAATGAAATGAGGGAGCGCAAACAACTCAGTTTTTGGAGAGCAGTATCAAACACTAGACCTTGCAGGGAAAAAATTAAATAGAAATTGCCAAACAGACCTAAGAATCCAAATTTCATTTCCTAAACATATTGACCAAGTTAATTTACTTTACCTATAGGAATTGTTGTCAACATAGATTTGTTTTACGGTGACAATTTTAGGGAGTATTAAGAATGTGTCCCTCCATTCTTGTATAATTGAGAAAAAGTTATTGCTAACTTTCCTCAATGCTGGTATGCAATGTAATTACGCAACAATATTACCTCAAACCATGAAACGGTACCATCTTCTTAATAATCAGACTTGCAAAGAAAGCACTCACGAGAAGGTTTTTTTGTTTCCAACCGTGAAAAATGAAATGCCAAAGCTACTGCTAGAATGCTAAGAAACATGGAACTTGAGATAGGGCTCCAACCGAGAAATAAACCACCAAAGGTAAGTAGAAAGCTAATTGATTGATTATGTGCATGATTTCATAGTAAGAATGTTACAGTCTCCATGCTTGTATAACGAAATGTAACTTTTAATAGGATGATATTCTTCACTGCTAATGTCATGAAATAAGGAGCTGTGCAACTAGGATATGTGATACAAATTGGAGATTGTCANGATACATTGACACCCTTCATAGAGCACTCTTAATGAGAAAACATGATTTCATTCGCAAGCAAGAGGTATATATACATGTGGATACCTCCATTGATAAGCCTGGAATACAAATTGTAGCAGCTCACTCTCTGTCAATTAAACATATAATTGTTGAGAGAAGTTGTCTTTTACCTCCACCTGCCTGGTGCATCACCTCTGCAAAGTGCAGCTTCAAATACAAGCTCACATAAGGCCTTAATATATGAGAAAACAAGCTATGGCATGAGAAACAAACAATCATATTCCTGGAAACTNATACAAGCTCACATAAGGCCTTAATATATGAGAAAACAAGCTATGGCATGAGAAACATACAATCATTTTCCTGGAAACCNCCTGGTGCATCACCTCTGCAAAGTGCAGCTTCAAATACAAGCTCACATAAGGCCTTAATATATGAGAAAACAAGCTATGGCATGAGAAACAAACAATCATATTCCTGGAAACTTGGAATGTAACAAGCTAAAGGTAAAGTTCACCATGGCCAGTACCGGAGTGTGAAACCAGCAGGTTTCATCGTAAACAACATAGAGAAGCTTGCGCTATCCATGGAACATTTTAAACTATATGCAGGAAAGATAAAACTTGCCTCATTTCCTCTCAAGCTCTTCATCAAGCTCTTCTTTCCATTTTCTTTCCCTCAAAGAGAAGCTTGCGCTATCCATAGAACATTTTCCAATCTCAAATTACAAAAGGGAACAAACAGTTCACTAAGGAAACATAAGCTCAAGGAAATGTGAGACATCAATTACTCAGGTCCACCAGTGTTCACAATTAAATTTAGCTTCTATTTGCTCATATCAAAACTTATACATTAAATTTATGTGCAGTTGGAGGTATTACATCAAAATTGATCAACCACAGCCCTGCACCCAGGGAAAACATTCAGGGCATATAAATAAGGCCAATAGATCATTAAATAGGAGTACATAAATTTTATCTGCAACAATGGAGGATTGGAAAAATATAATTAGAGGACTCTTTTTTCAGGATTGAATCCTATATCCACAAAATCAGTTAACAAGAAAATTTTCCAAGATTCTAAGGGCCTCTTTGGTACAAGTTTTTGGAAACTCTTTTCAATGCATCTTCTAGAAAAGGAACAATTTTTAGAGCATAATTTTTTTTCAATTATTTTAGTAGACTCAAGTGAAAAATGAAATGAGGGAGCGCAAACAACTCAGTTTTTGGAGAGCAGTATCAAACACTAGACCTTGCAGGGAAAAAATTAAATAGAAATTGCCAAACAGACCTAAATCCAAATTTCATTTCCTAAACATATTGACCAAGTTAATTTACTTTACCTATAGGAATTGTTGTCAACATAGATTTGTTTTACGGTGACAAATTTAAGGAGTATTAAGAATGTGTCCCTCCATTCTTGTATAATTGAGAAAAAGTTATTGCTAACTTTCCTCAATGCTGGTATGCAATGTAATTACGCAACAATATTACCTCAAACCATGAAACGGTACCATCTTCTTAATAATCAGACTTGCAAAGAAAGCACTCACGAGAAGGTTTTTTTGTTTCCAACCGTGAAAAATGAAATGCCAAAGCTACTGCTAGAATGCTAAGAAACATGGAACTTGAGATAGGGCTCCAACCGAGAAATAAACCACCAAAGGTAAGTAGAAAGCTAATTGATTGATTATGTGCATGATTTCATAGTAAGAATGTTACAGTCTCCATGCTTGTATAACGAAATGTAACTTTTAATAGGATGATATTCTTCACTGCTAATGTCATGAAATAAAGAGCTGTGCAACTAGGATATGTGATACAAATTGGAGATTGTTGGTAACAGTATGGCCATGAATTTCCACAAGTTCATGTTCATAGCTTTCTATAACCCTAGTGTCTTCAATATAATCGAACATCTCGTTTTGTTTCATCAATTCTTAGTAGAGAGCTAGTGAGAAGAAAATATCAGCTAGCAGTTAGAGAATAATAAAAAGTCAAAGCACAAATGGCCAATGCTAATTGCTTTCCTTATACCAGTATTAGGGGATTTCAGGGTCTAACACTACCCTCAAACTATGGTATCTGCTGCAAAGGTTACCATTAGAGTATGCTTTTAGCTGTCATTGAACAAAACCATGCTGTTTTCCTCTCAGTAGGTCATGGAAGGACCACTAGCATCAGATGATGCTGGAGTGTTTTATTCATTAGAATTTGTTGACAGACACGTCCAAACCTCCACAGATGACTAAGCCTAATATTTCACCAGTGCCTCTAATTCTAGGACACCTTATTCAAAAAGCTTGAGCACCCCATGGGGCAGGTCAGTGTCATGGTAATACCAAGTCTTCAATGACATACTTTTGACGATGATACAGTGTGTCACTTGGAATTAAGCAAGTACAAAAGATGGCATAGAGAGACCACAAAATCTACTTCCACAAACAAAAAGCAAGAATAACATACATCTATAACTAAACTCGGACCTCAACAAGAGGTTCAAACCATGTCATTAGTTGAAAGAAAGAAGATAAAAACAGAACAGAGGAAAAAATAGAACAACTCAACGATATAGGTAACCTTAATGGTCAAGACACAAAATGCTAAATTACTGATGTAGATAAATCTATAATATCTATCCAACTCCAACATGATCCTCATCAATTACCTTTACAATTAAGTACTATCACAAAACCTACATAAAGTGGACCAAAAATTAAAATAAACATGAAGATTATAGCTTCTACAAATGTATATATACCCAAAACATCAAATCTCATTGACCATGGATAAGAAAAACTGATTCAACAACAAAACTAAATGTAACAACAACACAGTGAAAACAGGGGACTCTACTGGTTATTGCAAGAAATATTATCACACACAAGCGAGGGACTCAATGTATGGAAATGCATCATTCCATGGGACAATTGGGAAAATCTCCCTTCTTACACGACCTTCTTCAAAGTCGAAAGCCTTCTCAAAAGTTTTGTCCGACAAATTGTAACGCATCGCCTTAGCAGGTAAAGTAAACAATAGAAATGACTCCTCGTCATTACCCATTCGTGTAAGAGTTAGTATAAGAAACATGTAATAATTCAAGTCTGATGAACCCACACCTCTGTTCATGGACTCTGGAAATGCTTTCATAACTGGGTCAAGATCGACAACGTACTTCACAAACCAACCAGAGTAATTTCTTCCCATTTCATAGACAATGAAATGTATCGTAGGAGGACCATAATTCTCAATAAGATGCAAATGGCCACAAGATTCCCCGAAGTATTTAACCATCCTCTTCTCACCACCATTGGGAGCCGGTGGCATTGCCAGCGTTCGAAGCCACTCTTCATCAACATTAAAACATAAAAAATCGCCCGAGGAGTTGAACCAATTAATAGCACCATTCCAGAAAACCCCTTTCTTAAATGTAACAGATGAGCGGAAAGGATTACCAGAGCGCCTCCAAAGACCGGTTTCAGATGAATATACTTCAATTTCATAATGTTCAGGCAATCCCACAGATGAATAAACACAAACAACTTTGTAGCATGGTGATTTCGACGGATCAAAGGCCAATTGAACACCGCGAGTGTTCTTGAAACTTCGTCCAGTAGGATCAGGAAGCGTAATGAATTGGTGGGTAGTAGGATTGTAAANCAAACAACTTTGTAGCATGGTGATTTCGACGGATCAAAGGCCAATTGAACACCGCGAATGTTCTTGAAACTTCGTCCAGTAGGATCAGGAAGCGTAATGAATTGGTGGGTAGTAGGATTNGTACAGGATCGTTCCTCCTTTCCCAGGATCGTAAGCTGTTTCGATCAGTGTGTTTGGCCACTCAATCGGCTCACCCAAAGTTCACCAGGGGAGAGATCTGTTCCCAATATTTTATATATATCGTGCAGGATCAAGCCCGCACAGTAAATATAATACTTGCGTTGAGCTTTAGTTCCTTGAAAGGTGCAACAACACAATAAACCATTACAAGACTGCGAGATTTCTATACTACTGGGTTGGTTGACAAAATTGAGGGCTCTGAAAGGGGGTTTGGTTGCGCTTGAACCATCCAGAGGGACAAAATCGTGTTTGAGAAAATCGGGGAAAGAGAATCGGCGCAAGAATAAGCCGGAGGGAGTGGTAATGCCATGGCTTCGGCGGTGACGAAAATATGGGTTGGAGATGAGAGAGAGCCAGTGTTTGGAAACGGATTTGAAACGGAGGAGTGGTCTTATGGGTAGGCGGAGTAATATCTCCGTCAAGAGGTCGTCGTCGCCGGCAACTATATGGGCCGATGATATGCTCTGGGAGGCCATGGTGTCTGTGTTGGACTGTCGCTGGAATTAGCTAACGCAGCTTCACACGGTCGTTGACTACTGCCAAGAGGACTAGAGGAGGTGGAAAAAATATTAGTGTAACCTCCGCTAATTAATAATATAAACGGCTAATCTCAAATTACACCTCTAAAGATATTTAAATTTTAATTTATACCTTTAAAATTTAAAAATATTAATATATACTAAAAGAGATAAATTTATATCAATATACATCGGGGTTAACTTCCGTCCATTTTACTGTTAAAAAATTTTGGATTAATTATAAATTGTACCTTCAAATTTAAATATTACATTTATGATCCAAAATTAATTTTATCCATTAATACTCATTAAATACCTCTCAAGTTTGGTGTATCTTATCATTTTCGTGTCGTATCATTTGTGTCATGTTTATTATTTTTGTGTCGTGTTCGAGTAAATAAAAAATAATTTTTCACACAATTTTTTCTTATCGAGTCAATTGCACTGTGTCGCATATTTCACATTTATGACAATTCATATAATATTATTTAAAAATAAATAAAATACCTATTTTTTTCCTACAATACTTATTAAGTAACTATTTTCTGTTTAACATTAGACACGAAATAACACAATTGAGAATTATTTTAACGAGCATTAATGTGAGTAATTTTTTAAAAATCATAAATATGAAATATTTAACTTTGAGGGTGTAATTTATAATTAATCAAAACATTTTTAACTGTAAAATGGATGACATTTAGCTCTAGATGCACATTGAAACGAATTTTATGTCTTTCAGGGTTCAAATTGAAAATTTTAAACTTTGAAGGTCTAAATTAAGATTCGAATGATCTTTCAGAGTGCAAGTTTATAATAACTCTAATATAAAATAGGACCGATACTTCAATAAAAATTATTCGACCGTCTTAAATAAACTCATCTAATGGTCACCAATATCTATCTCAAAATCATTCACATTACATTGTACCTTCAAGCACGAGATGTCTTTAGCAGATAAACATATCAATAAATGATCTCCACTAAAACTCATAACCACTCAATTATGTCATATATAACCACTTCAACGGTGAAATAAACTAACACATTTATAATATAAAATACGTTATATTTTAATAAGTATATTTGACGTCTCAAATAAATTTATCCAACAACTACCAATACCTTTCTTAAATTCATTCATATTATATCGTGTTATCTATCGGATTACCACTAAAATTCAGAATCATTCACAAGTTACCCCCTAATAAGCTTGTGTCTATAGGGTTATGGTTAAGGTTGTTAGTCGAACGAGTTCGAGTCGAGTTTAAGCCGAACTTGAAAAGCTTGTTTCTTATTCGAGTTTTAAAAATTATTCAAGTTCGACTGGTTTAGAAAACGAGCCGAACCTGAACGAGCTGAACTCGAGTATTTGCATATAAACGAGCCGAGCTTGTAGGACTTGTTTTCTAAATGAGCCTAAAAATTTATTCAAGTTCGGACTCGTTTAAAAAATAAACTGAGTTTGAACGAGCCGATCTCAAGTCAAACTCGAGTAGCTCAATTTGATTAACAGCCCTAGTTATGGTGGGTGTAGTGGTGGCTCACATAGCATATGTGTTCTGATAAAAACAAAAAAAACATAGTATATGTGGAATTCACTTTCCGTTGTGTTATTTATTACTAAAACATAATATTGTGCGAAGATGAAAAGAAGATATCGTTGTTGCCTTAAATATTTACTCTCGTGTAATTGCACAACATGCAACTAGTTGTTAATTGATGGAATTTTGTTTCAAATTTGATTAACTAGATATCGATCAATATTTCTGATTGATTTATATGCTTTAAGAAATTCTGTTCAATATATAAAAATCTTGAGTTTAGTTGTCGTCTAGTCTGATCTAAATACCGTATACATGTATATATGGTAAAATCAAATTGCAATGAAGATATAAGTTTGTTAAAATTCAACTCTAGGCTTCAAATAGAATCGAATATTTATTTTTCATCGTGTAAAAATAAAATCCGTCATAATCAAATCAGACTTAGACTAAAATTTTAACTTGGATTCGATTCAAATCAATTAAAATCTGCCACGCTATCAAGAGTAATTGATATATTTCATTTTTTTGTTCAACGGTAGGAATCTTCGAACCAATTTACGTGCGCGTTAAATAATCTTTTTTTTTGTCTGGTCAAAAGGTAGACCATTTACGCTAAGATTATGGTATTCATGAAGGATAAATCGTTTATGATTTACTATCAAAGAGTTATTAAAATTCAAACTCAAGATGTCTGAATTTATATCCCGTCATTTTTACCACTTGAGTTACCCCTTGGATGAGTAATTGATACTTTTTTTTTGGACTATAAGGTGTCTAGACTTGTACCAATTACTCTCTCGAATTCTGAGTTAGTCACCGTAACTTGAGCAAGTTTAAAGACATGAAAAACATGAATAATTAACTCTTAAGAGGTGTAAACAATATCGATTTGAATACCTCTTACTTATAAGAAAACAGACTTATCAAAATAACCCGAACGAGAGGCCGGTTTAATGAATTATTTCGAAGTCTCAAGCTCGAGTCTCGCAAGAGATACTTTCATCGACTACTTGCTTTTGATTTTTAGGTGGTTATACATACCCTAAACTTACAAAAGAATGACTCATCGAAGCTTTACCAAAGCCGCCATTATAGAAAGGTGAAAGAAAATTCTCATGGTATGTCTTTTGACTTAGACAATTAGGGGTGCCGAATTACGGTCCACTTTGTCTGCCGAATTTTTTGTGGGAACATATGGTTAAAAGAATTTATTTTTCAATTTTTTAGAAGTCAAAAAACATAGATAAAATTATGCGTATCAAAAGTGTACACTAAAATATGTACCAAATCATTTATAACCATCAGATCAATACTAAAAATGACTGATTCAACGACTACAAGTAATTTAATTTAATACTAATTTTGATACACAGTTTTAGTCTTGCACAACATTGCTCCAAAAAAATGTTTTTTAACTTTTCTAATCGGTCAACCCTTTCAACCAACCCAAAAATAAATAAATAAAAATTATAATTAGTCCTTAAATTTTGTCCTTAATTTTAATTTAGTCTCTAAACTTTTTATTGTCTTAATTTAGTCCTTTAATTATCAATTTTCTTTATTAGATCAACCGGAAACTAGCTCAATCTGAGCTATTTCAACTTTGTTCTAATGATGAAAATAGGTGGAATGAGTTAAAATTGATAATTGATGGACTAAATTGAGATAATTGAAAACTTAGATACCAAATTAAAATCATAGGCAAAATTCAGGGATCATTTTCACCTAAAAAAGACAAAATATGTCATCTCTTCCCCTTTTTCCTAGTCTCTCTCTCTCTCTCTCTCTCTCTCTCTCTCTCTCTATATATATATATATATATCTCACATCTGGGTATTGTGTTTGTTGGTTGGATTATAGTTATTCTCTCTCAAGCTTAACCAAAACATGAAGAATATCTTTCTGGGTTAGAGTTATATATGAAGGTAAGATTTCTGTATTTCGTCCTATACTCCATACCATGCTCTATTCACTTAAGCACTTAGCAATTCACTTTAGATGAGCTTAGATATAGTTTGTCTGTATTACAATTTGTTTTTTTGATTGTTCTTACCCTATGTTTTGTTGTTGGAATCGTTGGAAAAAGAAAAAAGAAAAAAGAGAAAATACTATTGGAAAAAAAACCCTGAAAGCAGAGAGAGAGATTTGTCTTTCTTTTTATTCATTTTGCTTTTGTTTCTAGAAAATAACCTAGAATAAACAAGTAGTTGCAATAGGCATGATTGAATTGGAAATTAGCCTTTCTAATTGATATTACTTTCTTGATCTTCTACAATATTCATCTAAACTTATGGTGAATAAAGTAGAATTACTCATTTCAAGGTTTTTCCTTCAAAATTCATCTGAATTACATTGTTCTCTGGAATTTCTGGAATCTTTTTGAAAGATGGTTGTCACCAACTTCTTCAGATTTTTCCTTCCCACTGAGATTGAGGTCATCTTTTTTTTTGGTTTCATAAACATCTGCACAAGAATATATAGTTTGAAAAGGCCAATATTCTACTAAAATTTTGAATGAAATGTAATTGAATCTTAGGTTTCAATGTTTCCACTAAACATTGATGCTGGGAATGACAAAATTCTTCTTTCTTATGTTTGTATTGTAGGATCTAATAATAATGCATTACAAAACAAGCGAAATGGCCGATTGGGCGAATCTACCAAAGGACCTTTTGACTCACATAGCTCAAAGCTTGATTTACTTGGATGATTTCTTGTGCTTTGGTGCTGTTTGCAAGGCATGGCAATCTGCTAATGTTTTGGAGGAAAAGCCTTCACTACCTCCCAGGTTTCCATTGCTCATGCTTATCGAAAATGAAGAAAACAAAAGTGGAAACAGCAAAAACTATGAGAATATGAAAACATTTGGATCAAATGATGTATTGGAAACTCAAATTTACAAGATCAAGTTACCAAGAACCTCTTGTAAAAGTTGCTTGGGAACAAAATTAGGATGGTTGCTCACTTTAAGCATGGATATGGAGATATGTCTCTTTCATCCCTTCTCTAGACACCAAATTCAGCTTCCTCCTTGCCCTTCCTTTGATTATCTGCTTCGCTTTGGGCGCCTTCCCTTCAGATATCTGTCCAATCCAGAACCTAGGGACAGGTTTGAAATCATGAGTGGCATATACGTAAGAAAGGCTGCTCTGTCCTCGGAACCATTGAAGAACACGAACAACCATGAAAGTAATGAATGTGTAGTCATGGCAGTCTTTTCTGGAGCCTTCACTTTGGCATTTGCAAGACCAGGAGACAAGGCCTGGACCAAAGTACCTATGCCTCAACACCTTTGCCTGGATGTGATTTACTACAAGGACCAATTTCATGCTATCAATTCAGAAGGTGACTTGGTTGTTTGTGACATTGGGGATCAAAATCTAAGAACTAGAGTCATTGCAGCAGGTCCAA